TAACCTGCAGCAAGTTTCTATGATTCACACCCACAACTATTTTTTTATGACTGAATAATACTCGGTTTTCATTAGTTTAAACTGAATTCCAACCAGAAATTCAATTTAAAGTATTTAGAAATATATTATACAAGCCACGTGTTTATGTTCATCATTTTTTACAATATAAATCAGCAGATAAATGAATGACATCAAAAATTTAAAGAACAAGCTTTGTAACGGGAGCATTAACCTTGACCTTAAAAATAATTTTGTTTTTAGAAATGTTTTCTTGAGAGCAAGGATAAAATCAGTAATCGTCTCTACGCAAACGATTGGCAGAAACACAATTTAATATGATTATATCAAAAACAAAGCAACAAAGAAAAAACAAGCATCATGAGTCATGACAATTGCTAAAGAACCGATTAGATGCAAACTTGTGATAGAACACAAGCCCATCGAACAAACAAGTCTGTTCAAATATCTTAGACCCAACAAAAGACTTAAAAACCAAATAAATAAATAGACGTCTCTATCAGGGTGGATAAGAGAGATTCGGAAACAATCCCGAAAGATTGGAAAGATAATATCATCTTACCAATACATCAAAAATGAAGCTACTGTCATCTATAAGTTACAAATTATACGCAAAGATATTAGAAAAAAGGTTAAGAAGAGTAGTGGAAAATACTCTAGAAGAAGAACAAGCAGCATACAGAGCAAGCAAACAAACGAATGATAACATACATGTAAACCGAAATATCATTGAAAGGAAAATAGAGACGGGCAATGAACTATGCGTAATGTTCTTGGAACTAAAAGCAGCTTTTAACACGATTAATCGTAGTATTATATGGAAGTGTCTAGAACAAGTAATGGTACCACAAAAACTAACAAAAGTAATTGAAAACCTGTACAAGAAAATCAAGGGCACAGTACAAATGAATAGAGAAACATCAAAAACTTTCGAAATGAGCAAGGGAATAAAACAAGGCGATAGCCTATGCCCCTTGTTATTTATTATATTAATGGACAGAGCGATAAAAAATACAAGAACAAAACCGAATAAATATCAAACAGTAACAGGTTATAAAAGTTTGGAACCAGAAAAAAATAGATAATTTACCATATGCCTAGAGAGACCGAGAAAGAAGTGGGACGAAAGAATAGCAGAAGTTGGGAAGAAAAGATGGAAGACACTAGCAGATATAAAAGAATTAGCCAGGAACCGGAGGGAGTGGAACAAGTAGATGGAGGAATCGAAAAATATTTATCCGACGTCATCAAGCATAAGGATCAGGAGAAGCAGAAGAAACATAAGACCCATATGACATACGGAATAGACATACATGCAAAACTAAGAGTACGCTAAGAGTTGCTGAAATGAAACTATTCTGTATAAGATTAGACGAGACCGGATAAGAAATATAGACATCAGGAATCGATATAAGAAAGAAAAAGAGGTTGGAATGATCATGTGGAGAAGACGAATGAAAGGAAATTATAACATATAACATATATATTTATTGCCATAAATAATTACAAAATAGATTTACTAAAAAAATGGAAACAATCAATATTATTACATAATTATTAGACAAATGAATCAATTTATCGATCCAACGGCGATATCTTCCAATTGATCCAATTGATAAAACAAAATTAATAAACTTAAATAATAATATCCAATATGGCATTACAAAAATCCAAAAAGGAAAGGAAAGGGAACATTGATAAGAAGAAAGGAATTACAGTAACATGAACATGCAAGTATTTTAGAACACACAAACATTTAAAAAAAAGTTTAGTATGACGAGACTTGACGAGAGAACAATAGGTGAGCAAGGGATACCCTAAAAGATGGAAGGCTAGGAGCATTTCGAATGACAGCAGGAAGATTGTTCCAGAGTGAAATCGCTTGCAATGTAAAAGGCTTATGATAAGTATTGGTGTGATGTATTGGGAACATGAGTAACGAATCGGATTACGATCGTGTGGATCTGTTATGAGCTGACAAAAAACACAATTATTCTGTAATCTTTGCAACTTTTTACAGAGTGTAATCGATAAATCGTTGCAGACTGTATCAGCATAATCTAGATGAGGAAAAATTAACGTGTAGCAGAGATTACGACGAATAAAAGGAGGAAGGAAACATCTAATCCTACGTAGAGAATAAAAACAAGAATACACTTTTTTTGCAGATAAGTTGAATTTGGGGGCGCCAGGACAATGTTAAATCTATCATAGCACCCAGATTTTTCACCACATCCGAAAATTGTATGACGACGCCATCGAGGACAAGTTGTGAATTAGTAAAAGCGGGTAATCTATTTAAAAGAGAATTTGTACCAAACACAATTGCTTGAGTTTTAGTAGCATTTAGTTGTAACTCAAAAAGCTTAGACCAGTCATGCACTTTAGCAAAGTCACGATTTAGACGCTCCACAGCCAAAGGGAATTCACTAACGGTTGTACTGGTGTAAATCTGAAGGTCATCTGCATATAAATGATAACTAGAAGAGATTACTTTTGTGACACTATTGATGAAAATAGAGAAAAGTAGCGGACCCAAAACACTTCCTTGGGGCACCCCACAAAGAAGTTCGTGAGTGGACGAAGAGCCTGTGTCAGTGCGAACACATAAGAGGCGATGGTAAAGGTAGGATCGGAACCACAATAAAGAAGTAGGAGACAAACCGAAATTACTGCGTATAATATTAGAAAGGAAATCGAACACCAGGAAGATTATGCAAAAGATGAAATGACAGTTGGAAGTCCACATATTAAGTATCCATAAGACATACTTGGCTATGTCTAAGAATTCAACAGATCGACAATTCTAAAACAATCGGATGAAGATGAATAAAATCAATCGAAATCTGCCAGCAGTATTTGGTTTTGAATTAATGTCTCGTCTTTTGCAAATAGTATCAAGTCTTCTGTCAGCAAGATCTGGTCTTCTGCCATCAGCGTCTTGTCTAAAATTAACAATGTCTAATCTTTTGCAAGTAGTATAAATTACCACACTCAAATTTACCAGAAATTAATAAAATTATAATGCAACCATCTCACCCAAAAGGTTGGTATGGGGGCGATATAGTTTTTTCTTGAATTAACAATGTATAGTCTTTTGCAAATAGTATAATAAGTAGAATAAATTAAGCATGTGGCTTAAACAACCGCGGTATCAGCGTGGTACATCCATTCCTCTTTATAAGGACTCAAAAAAGAATCAAACCCGAAATTTGTAAACAACAAGCTTACCAATGATAAGAAGAGCTTTCGAACAAGGTTGAGGTTTTGTAGTAACAAAAACGTTTTCGTTAGAAAAAGATTTAGTCACGAACGTTTCACCGAGAATTGTAAGAGGTACGACTTCCTGCAAAAATAATTATGGTCCACAAGAAGGATCCTTTCTAAATATTACATCGATTTCGAAAAAAACACGAAAGTTACTGGTGAAAAAATCAAAAAGTAAAAAAAAGAATTTTCTCGAAAAAATAATAATCGCGAATATAATGTGTAGTTATAAAGAAGATAAGAACTCGCTGTTATGACGGTAAAAAGTGCCTCGGATGCTTTAGAGTTGAATTTGTCGACTCCCCATGGGATGGGTGAATCTGGAATGGGGTTAACTTATGGGCAAAAATCCCAATTGGTTGAAGGAATGTCAAAGTGGGGTTAAATCGGTAACAGATATTTCATTTTTCATTAAATTAACACCCAACATCAATGAAACCAATTAATTCAATTTCCCTACTATCGGTTTGATTTGGCGTGGATGGGTTGGATTGAGTTCAATTTCAGTATGGCTTATGTTTTTTAGATTAAGTATGGCTTGAGTTAGCTACACTTGATTGGATATGGTTTGGTCGTAGATCAAATAGGTTTCATTTGTGGTTTTGGTGGATGTACTGATAGATCAGAAAGGTTGGAGTTGGCCTTCGTGGGTTAGGTTGTATGTCACTTTGATGTGATTAACCTGAATTAGCCATAGGTGGTTTGTGTTAGATATAATTTCGGTATACACATGTATGTGTTGGTTTGGCTTGCATCTGCTTTGGGTATAAATGTGGTGGGTTTCGTTTGGCCGTAGTTGAACCATTTAGTTGTTTAAGTACACTCTTGTTCCGGTGTGAATGTCGTGGTTTGGGTACGAATAGGTTGGGTGTGCTTTGATTAGGATTTGGATCTTGCGGATTAGATGGATACGATTTGGAGATGACATCGTCGTAATAGAAGAGGAAGAAATCTAAGAGGAGGGAAACGATTTGAGTGTGTATGTGTTTGTAAAGTTATCATGGTTTGTGTAAGAGCTCAGTTGAGTGTTTGTTAGTTGAGTTTGGTTGAGTGTGGATGAGCTGAATCGGGTTTAGTTTCAGTATGGCTTATATTGTTCAGTATGGCTTGAGTGTATCTTGATTGGATATACCCAATATTATTTACCTGGATTGCATTAATCTTGGATTGCCCAACATTCCTTGCTTGGAAGTCCTTGGCCCTAGTAAACAACACTAATCTTACTCAAAATGTCTACGTGAATTTCATTTACCTTAGTAAACATTACTATCTGTTGTGTAACTTTGAAAGTATTCTAGAAGAAAAGTTATTGGCATATCAAGAATGCTGATAGCCAAGTTGGTAAAATGTAGAACGGTATCAAATGCGAAACTTCAAATATCGTTTTAGTGTATATCCATGGAGATAGAGGTTGTGACCTTTTACCACATGACTCAGATGACATTAAAGGAGAAGTGAAAGAGAAAAACCATCAAGTTCTAAAGGCTTGGCAGGAAATCTGGGATGGGTGTGAGTGGGCAAGGACAACGTCTTTTTTTGTCCCGAAAGTTAAGGATAACGCTATAATTAGGATTACATGAATTATTTATGAAAGTCGGGCTCCAAAGAAATATTAAGTTATGGTCACTATGTGATGGTAGAGCATATGATAAAGAAGTGTGATAAATACGAAAGGTTTAGAAATACTTACACTTTTTAATGGAACCTGAAACAGTGTGTAATCAAAAATTGCTCACGATAAATAAAATTTGAAACTAATTGGATCTAACTAGAGCTGAAATAACGTTAATAACATTTGAAAAGTTTGACAATGACAATTTATTATCACAACTTTGACGGTATTGCAATTAAATTCAACGTATGCTAAAAACGTAAATGAAAAGCGCTGAAGAGCTACTTACAAGCTCAACGTAGCATATATGAACTTATAAGAACTCAAGCGCTTTTTCAAAAAAATTCCGACGAAAAGAAAAAAAATTTAAGGTTTGTGAATGCCAAAAACAAAATGTCTGGCGAGAATAATAGAAAAATCCAAAACGGGAATTGGAACACATCAGATCGTGTTATTTCTTTAGGTTCTCGTTCTCGAATGCCAAGGGAAACCGAAGATAATTACGTGATCGAACCAAAAACAACTCCGCATTTAAATTGTAATCCGAACAGATCACACGTAGGAAGGTATCCTAGAGAAATTCAATTATTCCCATTGGAATTGAGGCCAGTTATCGACGATCAAGAAAGGAGGAAGTTCGATTTTTATAACGAAATTCGTTTGAGGAAGTTGCAAGAACAGCGAAGGCGCGAAGATGAAATGATGGATAATCGCCAACAAATGTCCGAGAAAAGGTTTCGGGTCCCACGCAGACCGAGAGGTTGCGACGAAGAAACGTGCCCGGCACTGAACAGGAGTTAGTATAAATCATTTTCAGTTTGTTTTGTCTTATGTCTTACATATGTATCATGTGCGTTATCGAAATAAATCATTTTCTGTTGTCGTTTGTTAAGGTAGTTGCACCCAGGGGAGTGACGTCTACAGAAATATACTTGGCCCAACGCCTGACGAGTCTATCTTAGCCGGATTACAAACTGTCATTGAAATTTGCGGTTTATCTGACGTTTGTCACATTGACTCCGACGTAAATGATCAAAGACAATAAAGAGTTTCTTTCCGATTATTTAATTTTTTATTTTAGGCAACCGATTCTCGATTACTCACCACAAGTTCGAGAAATACCACGTATACTTCTCAAGATTATTCTCTACGACGAACTACTTCCGATTCATCTCAAGATGATTCTTACTCATCACGCCCTAGATATTCGCCTGATACCAATTGGTGTCATATGGGACGTAGGCCGTGTTGTCGATGTGATTTACACGATCAATGCCCTCAAAGATATCAGCATTTTCCTCGGGAATGTGTGCCAATGTGTCCTTGTGCAAATCGACAAATTGGCGATTCTTTACCATCAACTAGTTTTCATTGTGGATTACCCCGCTGCCCAGTACCGCTTTATAAAGATGAAAAACGAACGGAGAAGAAAGGTACTATAGAACCGGAACCACATTTACGAAATCTGAAGAACAAATCTGATTTCAGACCCAGAAAAGAAACAACAATTACCGGATTAATGACAATGCACCCAGAAAAAGCTCGAAAATTTAATGTAGCACTCCACGAAGACGTCATTGGAATTGTAGATGAAAATGATACCCAAACGAAACCAATACTTAAAAATGATAAAGGAACCACAATGTCTAAAGCTAAGCTTAAACCAACTGAGACACCACATATTCTTAAACCAGAACAAGAATCATCAATAAGTAATGCTCCAAAAAAATTAAGTTTCCTATTAAATCAGAATGAACACCAAATCGAAGTTTCCCCGGAAAGTAGTACATCGATTTTTATTGCAAAAGGAACATCGATTCAACCTCAATCTGAATCTGACGAGAAAATACTTCATATTTATGAAGGTTCTATAAATACAGAAAATGATAAAAATGTTCCTGATGATAAAAATGTTTCTGATGATAAAAAAAATATTGTTTGTAGTGGAAGCGAAATTGAATGCTTGCAAGAGCGACCTCCATTAGTCAATAAAGGTTCTAGTGGATTTACAGTTTCTGAACGAATTCGTGAACGAAAATCTGCTAAGATTATTAAACAAAATAAACATATAAAATCAACAACTTCAATGCAATCTTACGAAGAAATCAGTTCATCATTTCTCCCAATCGAACATGAAACCAAACAGGATTACAAACTAAAACAGAAAACCACCAAAACTCAACTTTATCGAAATCCATATTCGTACGAAAAAGTAAGCAAAGGAGAATTAGTGACTAAACACGCACAAGGGCAAAAATTTCGTACTAGAAAACCATCATCAACAATCTCCATTCTCAAACCTCGTCCATACCAATCAGTAAGCAAAGCAGAAATAGTTAAAGAATTAGAACTAAAAGATGAATACTTAATCAGAAAAGCTTTGTCAAGTACTACAATTCTTGGACAATCATATTCATACGAAGCAGTTAAAAGACAAGAAATAATAAAGAAATTAGAACAAAATGAGAAATATCACATCAAAAAGGCTCTATCGAGTAGTACAATGCTTAAACAATCACGTCATTACGATATGGCAAATAAAGGAGAAATTCTTAAAAAATTTTCCCAAAAAGAAAAATACGACATCAAAAAATCTTTATCAACCGTTTCACTTCGTAAAAGACCAGCTTCAATGGAAAAGCAATCATACATTTTCCCAACGCAAGCCGAAATTGCTAAACGTGCTTATATTAACAAAAAAATGGAAATAAATACTTCATTACAATCAGTATCAAGTTCCGCACAACAATATATTTTTCCAATCCGAAATTACTAAACGTGCTTATATTAACAAAAAAATGAAAACAAATACTTCATTACATTCAGTATCAAGTTCCGCACAACAATATATTTTTCCAACACAATCCGAAATTCGTAAACGTGCTTATATTAACGAAAAAATGAAAATAAATACTTCATTACAATCAATACCAAGTTCCGCACAACAATATTACCAAGCAATCGATGTAAGAGACATTGTAGAATCCCAAGAAGCACCTAAACAAACAAAATCGATTAATTTCGATCTTTCCGATCATGAACCATCGTTACATTCTGCACCAATTACTCGAGAACCAACGTTTGAATCGCTCAGCATGTCGTCGAAAAGAATGCAAATGAGACATTCTTTTCCTATAACATCAAAAAATAAATATGATTCGAATCCAAATTTAAACGAGGCTATCATACACCATCCAGATACACATCGTTTATTAATCGTTCCAATTTCAGTAAATCAATCTTATGAAGCTGTTGGTGTTGAAGAAAGTCCTAGTATAATTGAGGAGATATCTAAAAAGGATGATATATCAAAAAGTAAATCAAGGGAAGTATCTAAAACTAGATCAAGGGATGAATCAAAAAGTATGTTAATGCATAAGTCAATAGAGAAATCAAAAGATAGATCAACTAATAGATCTTTAGATAGGAATCTATCCCACCAAAGATCTCCATTAAAATGTAACGAAGCTGTTGGTATTGGGGAAAGTCCTTGTATAATTGGGGAGATGTGTAAAAACGATGAAACTTGTAATGAATTAAATGATGAATCAATGGTTGAACCATCACATGGTTTTATACCAAGAGATATATCAAACCGTCAAGATATATCAAAAACTAAATCAAGAGATATGTCTAAAACTAGATCAAAAGATAAACCAAAAAGTATACCAATGCATAAATCAGTAGAAAACTCAAAAGATAGATCAACCAATAGGTCTATAGATAGGAATTTATCCTGCCAAAGATCTCGATTAAAATCTAATGATCTTGAAGAAAATTTGAAAAAGACGTCTAGTGGTGCTCAAAAAGTAATGAAAAAATCTAGTAGTAGTATTGATAAATGTTGTGGGCCATCATCGCACGAACGTTATCCTTGGTCTAAGTTTAGGTTAAATAAATCGATTAGCGGAGGAAGCTGGGATATGTCATGGAAAGATTCGCGTGATCTCACCGCACAAAATTTTCCACCGGTGAATCTGCCAAGTAGTAAATCGTTTCTTCTTCAAAGTTGTGTTAATGAAGATTATACATCTTCTTCTAATCAATGTTTATGTCCAAGTTGTCAGTATAGGCCAAAAACATCAGCTATAAGTAAGTTTATTGTTATTAACTTTATTAATTGTTGAATCATTTTATGATACTGAGATGGATTAGTTTTAATACTTTGGTTTAATAACAATTAGTATATAACAAATAGTGATAGAAACATAGGTTTAATTGGAGTTGGTCATTGCAATTGGCCATTACCTTTAAATAATATTACCTGAAAGGGACTTATCATTTAAAACGAATATTTATATTTAATCATATTTAGTATTTAATTATAAAAAGATTGCTCGTTTTCGTCTCCTTTTTCAGCTTTATGTTTCATTATTAGTTTATTAGATATCTTGTATTTATTCCTAACATAAACTTAATGTGCAACGATCTGCGGATATTGATTGCTATTTACGGTTATGCACTTAAGGTAGCGAAGAACGATAAAGACTTATTTATGAGATGCTCTAACATGAAAGTTCTGGCATATTCCTTACATAAATAAAAATTGCTTGAATGCTTAGACTCCATTTAGCAAAACACGAGATATATGATAAATAAATACTACAACCTAAGTATACTACAAAAATTGAACTTTATAAAGGTCTATAAAGGAAACAACTAAGCAGTTAAAATCCACTGCATACATGATCTCATGATGCAAAAATCTGAAATGTTGCTGAACATATAGTATTAAATACAATAATAGACGCAAAAGAAAATTATCTTTTAATAATATAAAACTCTACTTGCTGAGTCTTTATAAATTTTATCAACTCTGCCTAATATTTCTGCAGCCAATTTACTTCTAAATGAATTCCGCACTCTGTATTCAACTTTATTACCTTCATTCTCAACTGAAATCCTTTTTTCAACATAAACATCAGAACCGCGAACAAGATTTAAAGTAACTAATGTATCTTCTTTCCCTCTGCCAATAAAATCCCCTTTATGCCTATGAGGTTCGATAATGACTGTTTTACCCCCTTTGAAGCCTCCTCTACCACCCCCGCGTCCACCTCTACCTTTTAAAATGTTATAAAGCAACTTTAAAATTTGATAAGCATGGTTGGACAACTTTATAACAGATAGATTAAATATAGCTTTAGTATTTGATACAGACGTTTTAAAACATGCTAAAGTTATCAGGATTTTAACTTCATCTGAAAGGAAGTGTTATCAGTTGGTAAGTACATGGTAGCAAATAAATTCAATGCTGTAGGAATGGAGTATTGGAAAATATTTTTGAAGAACATTTAATAAGACACCAGCATTTGTTGCCTATGCAAGTTCGCTATCGAAGAAGTAAGGATGATGATCCTATCTATAGTGGTGTAAATATACAGCAGAACAACAAACAGTCTACAACAGAAAAGTGAATCTATCTCTTACCTAGAATAGATTGCTATGCTAGAAACAGACTTAAATAGTGCAGTCCTTAGCAAACTTAGGTATGAAGCTAAACCGAAAACAGAGAGTACTACAGGCAGTACTAAGCCAGAAGTGATTTGATTTCTTAACTAGTGCCTTAATAAATAGTCTCTAGTAAGGTCTAGTAAGGTAGGTAATAGATTATCTGTTTCTGCAAACCCCAAATTGCAAGCCTATTGAAATATATGAATTAGCTCATTAGAGCACGACGCGACGTTTTATTTCGTGTTATAACATTGCTCTTAGTGGTAACACTTTAGCTGCTTATTTCTGATCTACCACTATCTTTTCTGACAATTAGAACACAGCACATTCATGCTGATTACACTAACTCCAGCGTTGTGGACGCTTAACAAACTCAAAAGCGAATTCTTGCCTCCTTCAATTTCTTCAACATCTCCATTGGAAAATCAATGGTTGAGTAGTTACTATAAACCAATATATTATTAATTAAATAATCTTGTACTAAATCTTTAGATGAGGTATGGTAAAGTCTTTTTTGAGGTTGCCTGATAATTAACATCGTGGTAGTGACTAATTTGTTCTTATACCGAATATGGAGAGTGATCGTGACTTATTTATTTAATTCAGAAAATAAAGCAAGAAAATGATAGTTCAGAAAATAAGGATTTTTGTCCCAAACTTCTAAGCCTTACCATTGTTGAGACACAGCCGCTCCGTACCCTTAACGAGACACCTATATGCGTGCTGAATGTCGTATTTCCTTTTGTGTTTTAAAATTTATTAATGTTTAAGCAATAAATATCATTTTTTCATGTCTCCAAAATGATACCTGATAGGCCACCAGATTTTCGGTTTTTTATGACCTGAGCCTGGAAAGTCTGCAATTTGTTTACGTAGATCAGCATTAAGTAACCCCACAGAAAATAATCTGGGACCGTCAGATCGGGCGATCTCGCTAGTTAACCAAAACTCCCTAATCGAGAAGTCAAACGGCCTGAAAAACTGTTAAAATCACCATGTCGTAGCTCGCTGTGTGTCTTGCTCTCACCAAAAATCCGCCAAATTCTACTCAACCAGTTTCAGTATTAAGAACTCATTCAACATGGCGGTTACAGTGTTTTCGTCGTCGTCTTCAAAAATACGATCATTTTTTGTAGCTGGAGTGGTATCTCATGGAGAAAACAAGGTTGGTTGCCCAATAGCGAGTATATTAGTTGTTTAGATGTTTAGAGAGGTGAGGATGCACATCGTCGCTCATCATCAATTTCTCGATAAAATTTCAACCTCTGACTGGCACTAGCTGTTGAACCATCTGAATTTTTTACGGAATTTTGTAAACACCTTCAAATCTAAGGTCAAAATTCACTATCCAAGCTATCACTCTCAGCTTGGATGTTCTCAGGTAATCGGTTTGTTCGAGATTATTCACGTGGTTTTTGATCTTGGTCCCAGTGTCTTCAAAACGAGCCACTAGACGTTAAATTGTTTGAGAAGTAGGTGCCACACGGTTCGGATATTTCTTCCAAAGTTCACGATGACTTAATACCGCTGTCGAATTATTCCACAAAATATTGAAACAATTTTTTCGCCGTCTGGTAACTATTACTTGCCAAATGATAAAAAGCATATAATATTTACCACTAAATGAAAACGTTTTAGCCTTTTCAAATGGATTGTGATAGGTGATACTTTTTGTCATCGCTATAAAGCCCTATAAAGTAACAATAGAAACATTTCAATTAATATGTTTGCCTATGAAGTGAAGTGTTCGATAGTTTTGCATTCAAATAAGACTAGTTTTTCTAAAAACTAGAACATTAAAATCTAATTAGTTCCTTCCCCATGCTCACTATACCAAAAATGATTGTGTCCACAATGCTGCGAAAATACAGCACCAAAATTGTCATTAGATATGCGAAATAACAACTAATTATGTACAGTATAGTATATTAATTAACGTATAGATTTTGCATCACTATTAGATACTTTTCGAACTTTTTAAATCAAATTAAAAATTTGGTAATTAACAATATGAAAGTTCGACAAATACAAGTCAAACTTTCGAAAATTCCTTATAAAACAAATAAGATAGTTGACAAATGATTTATTTGTCATTTGAATAATGGTCGAAATGTCCAACTTGTTAAATTAAAAATTGTCAAAGTAATCCGTCAAAATTTTTCGTATCGCAAAATTCATCGTTTTAAAACAATAATAATAAAACAACAACTGTTCCCGAAATCACGAAATGTTAGCAAAGAAAACGTTGGTGTATGCTATAGAAAGTGATACGTCAACGAGATCGTCCAATAGCTCATCGTCCGGTTGTTGTTCCTCGAAAAGTTCATCGGGAAATTTAATTAAGTCGAAATTTTCTCAAAAGAAGTGTAAAAAATACTATAACAAGAACGCAATCGGTGAAGAATTTTCATCGCGTTATAGTTGTGTTATTTTGGTTAAATATTGTTGATATATTATTTTGAAAGTTTTTAGATCAAAATCAAGGATTTTATCCGGTAATATTATATACAGATAAGAACGTATCCTACGGAGATAAAGACAATCATTCGAATATGTCGAATGCGTCTGAGAAGGGTTAAAATTAATAAAATCGAATTTAAACACAATATAATGTTGTGCTTGATTCTTTTTAGATCATGATAGAGGCTCGCAAAAATCTGTGGTTGTGCAAGATCCCAAGAAATTTGTAGGAAGCAGCTCTGTTTTTGACAGAAAATATGTTTGCAATAGGGATTATGTGTTTCCACCACATGAAGATAATAAAAAAGTTAAAGATTTCCGAGCCAGCGGAATGTCTGTTCCGCCCATTGTTCAACCCGTTATCGGAGTTTGCACCGATAGAAAATGTGGTGGTACCGGGAACGAAAAATTATTGGACGTTCGCTATTCTGTAGTCCGGATATCCACTTTCACCGATTATACAACCTACGAAATTTTAAAATCGAGCGCTAAGAAACCTAGAAAAATGCCGTGCATCGTCGAAGGAATTTTTGTTACTAAAAGGTGATCTCTGTATTCAATTAAAAAAAAAACGAACAAAATAATAAACAAATTAAAAAACAATTTTTTTCTTAAAATTATTTGTATTGATATAAAATATTCATTACAGGTATTTTTTTTGTATTTAGGGAATTCCAACCAATTATGAATAGCTTCCGTTCTATTGAAAGGTCACGTTTTAGGGATGTTTTGAATCGCCTCATTTCAAAGGATAGTCACGTTTATCTCTATTGTACGGGAATTCGGTGAAAATTACCGGTGGACCGATGGAATATCCAGAAACCTATATGAGATTTTGGTGGGGACTAGCACTAAAACCTATGGCCGCGGCACAATCCTGTCATTTCAGTACCTTAGCGCACGAGAATCGCTACCCGCGCATTCACAATTGAAACGTCACGTGGTAATCGGGAGTTAAAGATTTTTGTGCAAAAAATTATTTTTTTGTGAAACCCCAATATTTAGACCTAAAAAAAATTAAATCAAAAACGGTAAGTTTAAATTTTTTATAAATAATTTTTCTTAATTAACTTTATCTTAAATTTTTCGATTTACTAATTAATAATTTATTTACGATTTATAAATTCAATAAACGTCGATATAGTTGCATTGGAAAACGGTGAATGGTATCCGCGCCAATAAAGTTCAAAACATAATTGCCATTCATTTACTTTGCAAATAGTTGTGGGCAGGTCGCGAAGTGTAATGCGAAAATTGTTGTGAGACACCGTTTAAAATGTCATTTCCGACCTATAACATTTTTTTAACAATACCTACCGGAACTGATTGATTAATGACGTCACGTGGGTGATATTTAAAATCGATAATGTAATTATCCCAATGAGGCTTTACGTAAGTCGATCCAGGTGTCATTAGCATTCCACCTCAACATTTTACATTCAAATGTCGAAGAAAATTAATTCTGCAGGAATTTAAAAAAATGTTTTTGTTCTTTTTATATAAAACTGTTTAGGCTGTAAGTACCTAAATTATTTTAACTATTCCGATTTGCATAGTATACATTTACGAGGTTGCAAAACGAACACACAACACAATTCCTGCATCTCGTCGATCCCGAAATATCCGTGTAGCCAAGAGGCTCTCGCTACATCCCGATGCCTACAACGTTGGCGCCACCACCAGAATATCCCAGTGATTGCTTAATCAGGAAACATGTAGCCGTCGGCGTCGTCCAAAGTGGCCGTGCTATGGCGCGTTGTTAAGCAAATTTGTTTTTGAACGACGCCGCGGCGCCGCACCGATCGTGGGACGTCCAAAAAGAATACGATACCGTCTCGAATTCCGATCAACTTTGCCCTTTTCTTCTTCTTCTACATCCACCTCTTCTTCTATATCTTCCTTTTACCATCTACTTATTCTTTGTCTTTATACAACAATAATAAATGTGTTACAAGTACAATGTAATTTTTTATATAAAATTTTACAAAGGAATTGGTCACAATAAGTTTGGTTTTATTGTTTGGATTATTAACAACAAAAAATTATCCAAATTTATTTAATAAAATAAAATAGACTCAATAGTTTTTGTTACCGGTTCGTTAGACTGCGTGGCACTTCGACTAATCACTGATTATGATGGTAATTTAATGCGTTACATAGACCTTGTCATTTAACACAATTTGAAACGATTGTAAAAAACTATTTTTTATTTATAAAAATTTATAACATCTGTCTAAAATATTATTAATAAATATTTTTTACCATTATAATTGCGGGTTTCAAATCATGTTGTGTCATCCAAGCCATAATACAGGATGATTTATTAGCTCACCATCAAACTTTGACATATGATAGCTAATCCAATTACCAACAAAAATGTTAATGAACTATCCTATTTCAATTATTTACGAAAATATAACACTTTAAAATTTTCTGCAGTGAATTTATTAGTAGTCAGTAAAGGTTTAATTATTACATACAAGAAGAAACTCAAAATGTACACTTGTAGCACTGAAGAGGATGCTGATATAATTTTCGTGTATGGTTTTTGCAATGGAAATGCTCGACAATCAGTACGAGAATATCAAGAAAGATTTCTACAGCGTCATTTGCCATATTATTCAGTTTTTAGCGATTCTTTCAGAAGACTTCGAGAAACAGGTAATCCTGCTTCAGCAAAAGCTATTCGACCGCATGTCATTGATAATCCTTCCATCAGCACTCAAAGAATAGCACACAACATACATGTAAGTCAAAATTTTGCATGGCGCGTATTGAACCGCGAAGTCCTTCATCCGTGTCGTAAACAGAATGTTCAAACTCTACAGCCAGGAGATAATCAGCAACGGTTAGCATTTTGTCAATGGTTATTGCAGCAACATGCCCAAAATAATGACTTCATTTCAAATGTTCTCTGGACAGATGAATCATGTTTTACACGAGATGGTATAAATAATTACCATAATGAACATATCTGGCCATTACAAAATCTGCATGCGATTAGACCAAAGAAATTTCAACAACGTTTCAGCATCAACGTTTGTGGTAGAATATTTAACAACAATTTACCAAGTTTGCATGTACTTGATGGACGTTTGAACGATGTAAATTACAGATTTTTTTTGAGCAATACACTTTTTGATTTACTTGAAGATATACCTCTTAATGTAATTCAAAATATGTGGTGCCAGCACGATGGTGCCCCAGCTCATCGCGGAAGAGTAGTTGTCGAGTGGTTAAACCAATATTTTCCAAACAAGTGGATTGGTAATAATGGTCCATTCTCTTGGCCACCTAGATCCCCCGACCTTAATCCATTGGATTTCTACTTATGGGGCAAATGAAAGAAATTGTGTATCAAGTGGAAATTAACACACGAGAACAGTTATTAAACAGAATACAAATAGCTGCTACTGAAATAAGAAATCAACCAGACATTTTAATTCGGCTGAAGAACTCTTTAATTCTTTAATTTACTATTTTGAACAATATTTGTAATATTTATGTGTTTTAAAAGAAATTGTGTTATAATTTCGTAAATAATTGAAATAGCACATATGTCCATTAACATTTTTTTTGGTAATTAGATTAGCTATCATATGTCAAAGTTTGATAGTGATCTAATAAATCACCCTGTATATATTTTGCTACAAAATATAAAGATATTTGGAAACAAGTCATCTTTAGTGGTAACGAAGGCATCGAAAAGCATTACTACAAGCATTACGAAAGCATTAATTAAAGGTATTATAGATGATAGGATATTGACTTGGCGTCTGCACGATAATCATCCGAAACATACAGCTACAAATGTTGATTGCTCTATAATATACCCAAACACCTTGTCTATCCATTCCACTCAAGGTTCCAAAGATTACAAAACTTGTTTGGGAAAACCTTACTCGCCGAATTCAAAAGCTAAATATAAAACTCAAGCTTATTAGATAGAATTTGGTTCTATTCGTGCTTCTATGTTTCGTTGCTGTGATTAAAGCGAAAGGAGGTCCAGCATAATATTAGTACTGACACCTAGTTTAGAAGAAGTCTTTTGTAACTCTATAACGTATGCTTCTTGATTAAGGCCCAGTTTTACTACCTCTTGATAAATTTATCCGATAGATAAATAGGCGCTCTTAGCCAATGAGAGCGCTTAAAACCGCAGTAACCATGGTAACTATTCCTTAGATAGTTTATCAGGAGGATGGTAAAAGTGGACCTAAGAAGAACATTATTTAATCTCTTAAATAAGAACTTAAAATGTTACTTGTTTATGTTGTAGTTTGTGACTTTTACAATTTGTTACATCAAAGATCTTTATTTTGTATTTTTTGAAACTGTTTTTTTAGGGCTAGAAGTTTAGCATCCTTTCTATCACACAAAATTAGTACAACATCTACTTATCTTCTTTAGATCATACTTTTAGTAAACAATCTGTATTTATTGATGAAGTGCTCTTCCTCGAAACCACTTTCAAGGATCTTTGTACCCCGATGTGGGAAAATCCATTGCTAATCATCCATCATTGTACATTTACCATTAAATGTCGTACAAGTTTAATGATTTTATGTTGTCTCTAATAGGAGTTAATTTAAAGTCTGCTGTGAGAAAGCTCAAAGACAAAGTTGTTATTTATTGGGACATGCCTAGATTGCCAGAAATTGCTTTAATTATGTTTACAATGAAGATTGCCACTCCTGTTTGTGGTCTTATTTTTGGCAGTACTTATTACTATTAGAAATCATTAATTTTCGAATTGTTTCTAATAATTAATGGGCGTTTCCTAATAATGCTTTTTCTCAATAGTTAATAATACCGTTTCGTTTCTTTGCGATTACTCAATGCTCCTCAAGTATTGGTTTAAGTTATATTGATCCCCGGGTTTAATGAAGAAGAAATGTTCTTTTCTTCGAAACCTCGTGAAAATAAGTGATTCTAATGACAAGATGATTCATTCCAAGTGGCGCTTTTTCTACGATTTCTATATCTAATGCGTGTCCTTCAGCTCTTTCAGTTGTGTAGGCTGCCTCATCTTCACTTCTAATACAAATTAATCATCATCACAGGGTCTGCGAGTTATGTTAATAAATAGAAATAGTATAAAATTGTTGTAATTTTGTTAGCATGTACCAGCGTTGTTTCGTTTCTTGACGGTCTCTTTTAATTTTGCCCATGAAATTGAGATTGTGGTTAGCGTCTACTGCTTTACGGACTTTCCTTTTAAGCTTACCAAGCAAGTACTTCAAAAGTTCAAAGTTTAGTATTCAAAAACTCCTTGATCAGGTGTTTTGGACTCCTCGAAATTAGTATTCAAAAACTCCTTCAGGTTCCTCCAGGTATACCTAGGTGTGTACATAACTGCGTACTGTGTTTAAAATTAAGTATAAATGTTTGATTAAAGAGTTTTATTTGACTTGAGTATTCCATAAATAGCAAATTGAAATTATCATCAATCTCTTGTATACTGGGGTAGTTGAGTGAGTTGAGGTTGGTCTAATTCAAAACAAACCTCACTCAAGATAACCCTAACTTTAAGGTGTTTAAATTTACCATTTGCTTATTCTTGTCTAAAAGTGGATTTGATTGGCAATAAGCAGTGGTGGCTCTACGAAAAGTATTTTATACATATTATTAAAATTAATTTATAATTAATCACAACGTATTATTTCACACATTTTTTACAACATATTATTTCCCGTTTTCATGTTTTACAAATTTCGATAAACATTGTTTGCTCAATTTTTATTTATTGAAAACTAAAAATATTTATTGACAATTTAATACAAATATTCCAAATAATAGATTTTATAAACAAGGTAAGTTATTGGATTTCTTTAAAAATATTAACTGACAAAGTGATTTATAATAGTATAAGTTCACTCGATTATTTTTTAAATCAATCTTATAAACTTCCTGGTATACCAATACCAATAAATCCATTTCACAGTCGCTATACTTAATTGGTTCATTTCCTGTTTACTTCTGGTTGATTTGCTATTCTATTTTCATGTTAATTAATAGCGTATTTATCTACACAACATTGTTTTCCAATTTGTTTAGAATATTCCTATGCGATTAAATCTTAAAAATTTGCACAACAAATATTTCATAATTATATGTGTAATTTAGCTATACTTGGTTTCAATTTATTTACAAAAAATTCATTAATCTTTTAATCACTTTATTCAATAGTACTAGTCCAAAGTGGGCATCATTGTATTACTCCGAATTCGATGGAGAGAAGAAGTATTTATTACTCATCACTTCGACATACCAAGTAAAAACAATTTTTCAAGATCACACCACAATTTGAAACATGTTATGCAGTACATTTTGCTCTTCATATTCCAATGTTGTGGTCTGCAACCTAAATGATCATCTAGTATCATCTTTTTAAGATTGCCTGTCAACATTCAACAACATTTCTTTCAGTACTTTTGATGGTATTATCAGAAAATTATCACAATGGTAAGATCGAGTTGAGTTGAATTAAATAATAGAATAAATCAATTATAAAATATTTAAATACTGGAATACTACAAATCGTAGCAAACAAACCCAATTTCTTCAAATTGTAATATAACCCAACCCAAACCACCTCAAACCCAATTATCATACATTAATTTTTCCGTACAACCAAGGTAGAAACTTCTAGTTACAGAATAGCAGAGGTTACCTGGAGATATATGATTTGCATCTCATGCAAATATGATAAAAGCTTATTGCCTTATTTCAAATCAGTTTAAAATAGTTTAGTCAAATTGTTATATTTTCTAGTTTCTATTTTGCTTCTCAACACAAGTTTTTAATGAAAGGTACTACGTGAAACATGTGATGATACATCTGATAACAACATAAAAATACTTCGATAGATAGCAGACATATTGCAGAAGTTTCTTACCAGTTAACATCCAACATCGAAGCAGTTTAGGGTGGTTTTAGGACAAAGTGTTATTTTTAGTTACCTTAGTACATAGAAGTGAATGTACTAGATAGTACATGATACCTTAATTTCTGAAACGTCTGATACAGTAAAATGGGCTACTTTTTAGTTACATCCATGCTTCTGAACAAATGTATTTATTGTATTGGACATGAAACACTAGGTGGATACAAAATATATGTATAATAGGAGCTTTTGTTAGATGATAGAAGAATAGCAGATGATTCTGATAAATTATTATCCAGCATCGAACTACTTTCCAATAGCTTTGACCTGAAAATGCTACGAGGTCTTATACTAATACCTAATTTATTAACCTTGTAGTAGAAGTAAGATCAGAAGTAAGGTTTAGTAACTTCTACTATAGATATAGGATAATGATGACAATGATGGATATGGAGTATAATTAAAGTTTATGTTAAAAGAATAGCAGAAGCATTGCATAACCTAATGTCAGATAATAGAAGCATATCGCAGAAGATTCTGATAGGTTATCATCCAGCATTGAATCAGTAGCATTAAAAATGTTATTAATTTAATTAATTCGTACTCAAAAGAACTCATCTTTGATTGAATTTGATTTACTTAATTATTTAACAATTAACACAATCCATCTAGAATTTCAATCTTTTCTTCTTTTTGTTCGTCTTCGTTTTATCATCTCCTTATTTTTATTCTTTGTACGCAACAATTACAATGAAAAGAATCGAAAAGGATATAGATTATGGAGAAGAAATCGATCAAATTAATCTGTAAACATCATCAATTAACCTGCAACAATCTCTCGGTGGATGATGACCGGTAGTAATTAAGCCTTCGAGTTTGTTATTAAAGCCAACGCTCGAACTTGTCATACGATGAATAATGGTGATTGTAATGAAAGACGTAAACTTAAACACACCTTGTAACCTTCAAACACATGTTGCTGTTCATTTAGTTTCAAATTAAGAAAATTAAGAGTAATGATCGTTTCCTATTACGTCGATGATTACTTTATCACCGTTGAGAATTTCAAGAAAAAGAAGGAAAGTTGTAGGTAATACAATGGATGTGAATAACTCTCCTTGTCTTGTACTTTTCTTCTTCTTAAATATCACGTTTGCCTTTTGTGGCGTTTACGTTCATTGAGGATATCGCCCACGAAAGTTCTCTTGCTCCTACAGACTATGTTCTTTGAGCCTTGTGAAGGAATTTGTCAATCGGCGGCCTCGATGGGTGAAATTTGTTAATGGGCGTTTATGGTAATGAGAGGAGGAGTGTGTTGATGATAAATTCAGACCCAATTTAAAAATTATAATTGCTGTGAAGGTCGATTCGAATCGTTCCGCGTCCTTCCTACCGTCTGGCAACTACCACATCAGTCTGGCTACATAGTTATATGGTAATTGTACAATCCTCATTACCCTTTCATACCGCGCTCTCGTCGATCACCGAGTCGACAGTAGTAGTCCCATTAGGATCATGAGAGAATGCTTAGTAGCTAATGGTCGTTAAAGACGCTGGGCCACGCGACCAAGGCGGCGTCTCAAGATGCAAATCTTCAACGACGACGACGACGAGAGAAGGCAATTTGTAGGTTCGTACCGTTTACGAGCCCCGGTAGTATATCTGGTGTGGTCCGGCTCGAGAGTATCAATTTACCTCCTGCGATGCCAACGAACCATACTCTCCTCGATCACCAGACAGTACTCGGCGCGACGGTTACAAACCAGAATACTTTATCAGAAGTAATTCGAAATATATCCAAATATAGATATTCAATTACAAAAAAAGCTAAAATAAGTTTTTATCTATTTAATATATCAATATATTTTAATATAAATGTTACAGCTCATAGATTGAAGTAAAACTAGAACTAATACTAGACCTAGAACTAGAAACATTCAGGTGTAGCCGTCTTAAGAGACGTGCGGCTAAACCTGAATGTTTCTAGTTCTAGCTCTAGTATTAGTTGTAATGCTAGTGATAGTTCTAGTTTTGGTCCTTATTTTAGATTGTTGTATATTTTTCATTGAAGTAAAACTAGAACTAACACTACACCTAGAACTAGAAAGTTTTGTGCGTCTTCTAGTTTTGATTGTTATTCACTGCTGGAATCTTGTATATTTTTATTGAACTAAAAGTAGAACCAACACTAGATTTAGAACTAGAAACATTTGGATTTAGCCGTCTTAAGCGACGTATGGCTAAACCCTAGTTCTAGGTCTAGTGTTAGTTCTAGTATTAGTTGTTATTCAGTGCTAGAATGTTGTATATTTTTATTGAACTAAAAGTAGAACTAACACTAGATATAGAACTAGAAAGATTCGGGTTTAGCCATACGTCTCTTAAGATGGCTAAACCCGAATGTTTCTAGTTCTAAGTCTAGTGTTAGTTCTAGTGTTAGTGCTCTAGTTTGAGTTGTTATTCAGCGCTAGATTGTTGTGTATTTTTATTGAACTATCTAATACAGAATGCAACAGTGTGAATATCTGTTTATGTATACATTTATATATTATATAATATGATATGGTAATAAATATTGATATTCTAAAAATTTTTGTTATTTCTGGTGAATTTTATTCTGTGGTGCTGTGTGAACCGTTCTTGGCGCCTCGTCTGGTCGAGCCGGTCACAGCCGCCTGCAGGCGCGCCACATTGTCGCAGGATCATCGTCGGCCAGGCATGAATGAATGAAGTTGTGGGCGCCGCCGCGAGGGGGCGGAGCGCACGACGTTGTGCGCCCCCGTGCGGCCGGAACCTGTTGCCTCTCTTAACTGCCTCACGATTGTTTTCTTCTTTTGTTAAACCATACAATTTATATTATAATTTTTCAGTACCCCAAAAAAATAAAAATCCATTCCAAAGATTCATTCTTCATCATCAATTTTTCGATTTTCCTTTTTCTTTTATGTAATCGTAATCACGTGGGTTTAGATTCTTAATGAAACTAATCTTATCTAAAAGATTTGTAATTTATGTGATGGGAACAGTTAGGTGTCTTATGAAGTATGTAAAAGAGATGTTTTCACACATAATAAAAATAGCTAAAAGCTGGTGTGTGTGTGGACCGCATTAATTGGCCATCCAGTATTCTCCCGATTACCAAATACGGTTTAAAGATCGTAGGCGACCCGACACGTCGTAGATAATATTCGGCTCTTGCTGTAACATGAAAAGAAAAGAGGCCCAGATCGGCTTCTTATACCCACGCAAAATGTGGGCATCGCCGGATGTCTGTAATTTGTCAAATCAAATAGTACTCTTTCATTCTTCATTCATAATAATACATTTTATTTTTCTCATTCTTAAATGTTCTTTGTTGCAGATGAATTTCTTGGGAACATTCGTTATTCTTCTCCAAACAATATTAACAGCTTTATCCGTGAGGGATTCTCAAAGCGACTCAATCGCTGATATAATAAACACTAAAGAAGTTGAAAAATTAATAGCAGAGCGACAAGAAAATGAAGCAAAAAGCGAACGGAGATATTTATTAGAAAATGAATTAGACGAAAACCCTCCAGATCCAGAATACGAGTACCAAAGGTTTGTAAATGCAGATCCGGATCCACCTCGTACTGAAAATCCTCGCATAGAAATCGATTTATTAATGAGAAGAAGTAACACGAGTGATCCATTTAAAGGAACAGATTTGCTAAATGATCTTCGTGGTTACAACGGAAGAAATATATTAAAAAGTAGTAAAAACGCTTTATACATTACAAAAAAAGAATACCTACAAAAAGATTGGTGTAAAACGGAGCCGTTGGTGCAAAAAGTGAAAGAAGAGGGTTGCATCACGCGGACGGTTATAAATCGCTTTTGTTACGGACAGTGCAACTCGTTTTATATTCCGAAGAACCCCAAAAAGAAGAATCGAAAAAGGACCGAAGAAAACGAAGAGGAAGACGAGAACGGACCAGCTTTTAAGTCTTGCAGTTTTTGTAAACCGAAAAAATTCACTTGGGTGAGTGTTACGTTGAAATGTCCAGGATTAAGTCCTCCTTATAAAAGAAAAAGGATACAAAGAATAAAACAATGTAGATGCGGAACGATCGATGCTTAAAATTAATTTTTATTTTCAAATTAATTTATATTTTAAAATAATTGTTTTAAAAGGCATTTTTAGACATATCTATTTATTTTGTACCTGTGATCGTATCTTTCGAAAGTAGTAATTACCAAATCAAGGTAAAGAAAACAAAGTGTTAAATAGTCAACTGTTAAATCAGGTCGTATGGTAATCATCTCGTTTATATTGCTTAATTGAGACATCATGCATATTCAAACGAGTGGAATCATAAAACATCGACGATAATAAAGCTGTCTACCGATCCAATTGAACGAACCGATAGTAGATATACATCAAGTGATCTCAACGTTGTTTTTCTCACGTTTCTAATAAGTTAGAAATTTATTCTGGTGGCATATCACTGTAATGTCCGCGATGTTTATCCCGTCGTCTTGGAATTACGAATAGTAGGTACGCACGGCGTCGAATAAGTCTACTTGAATCGATGCCAAACGCGAACGAAACCAAAAAATAAAAATACAAAACAAAAATCGCCTCATTATGTAGATTTCAAATGTAAATGTGGACTTGAAGAAAACGTCACCATCGGGGCGTCGTTCGTCCCACTCTCATCCTGTGGATACGGCGACGTTGTGGCGTAATTTACGCCAATTACACCGCTTTTGCCCACAGACAGAAAATTACGTTCTCATAGATTTAAAGATATTGACACCCGGAAGTCGGAAGAATCTTTTTCCTTATAAACCCGGTAACTTCTCAAACGATATTATATTTTATCATTTACGTCGGATTTTAGGGAAATCTTTTTAGTTACGAACACTTTGCATTTTAATCTTGGGAGGTAATAATTTCCTAGTTTCCATAATTTAATACTCATATATTAAATGAAATAGATTTGAAACAGTTTACATCCTTAATACACAGTTACTAATCTTACCCATTAATTATTAATGTTTGTAACTTGTCTAATTAATTAATTCTAACAAAAAAGTTTTGTAGAATTTTTTCAAAAACGTTTCACAGGAAAATTTATTATAATCTGTTTATAAATAACCATGGATTTATATTAAAGTTAAATTTAAAGATTTTAAAATTTAAAAGAGATAAATCTGAAGTCGTAAATTGAATTAGATTGGATTCACTTTCAAAAGTATTTCGCATTCAGTCTAATGTTAAACATCTAATTTTAAACCAATATAAAAAAGATTGTCTGCTTTAAATTGGCCTTCATTCTCAAAATAATAATGGTTTAAAATTAATTGAAAAACAAATATAAATATTAAACACAATCAACTTAATCCAACAAAGATTATTGGAAAACTGAAACAGAATAATGTATACTCAATTTTCATAATACATACGCGTTTCAAACATAAATAATTATCGCAACCTTCATAGAAGTATTTTGTCTTGCGATCACGACCATGATAGACTTAAATCACAGCTACGTTGTGTGTACTAAAGCTTAAAGATTTGATGCCCGACTTTACTTAGAACCATCTAATGACAATACATAAATTAATTTTGAAGCTTTAACTAAACGTTGAAAAAATTTTTAAATTACAATTTCAAATCATCTTTCGGGTTAAACTTCTTTTCTTTCATTTTCTGTCGTTTTATAAACCTCCACTTTTTTCTTCAGTGATATCACCGAATTTCGCAGAATTGCACACAATATACATGTTACGTACAGTACTTACGATAAATATTGGCATGAAGAATACGATCGGCTTGCGACCTTGTGGTGCGATTAACAGCTAACAGAAAGCTGAACTAATTCATCAAATACAGAGAATTTAGCTGTAAACAATTTTTTACAAATTCTATAGTACATGAAAAAATCTCAGTTTTATTTGGTGGTAACTTTATATTGTTACGATAAGTTAAGATATTGCAATATCAATCCAGATCAAATATGAAACCAATGCAATCATTTTGCAATCTTGGCGGCTTGTGACGCAATGACATCGATAAATCTGGATAGACTATATAATGTCTTAGGGAAAAAATTAGTATGTAATAGAGACTGTGAGTGACAAAAGGAGGAAAGGAAAATCTAACACGAAAATTCAATAATGCCTCCACTAAAGACAAGTTACGAATCAGTACACATGGTCAATATATTATCACCTGAGAATTATTTTTAACTCCTACGTCTGCAAAGCAGTAATTTGGATTTAAAGGTTAGCAGATCGTTTTTCTTTCGCGATTTCAGGTCCTATATCACACAGTTGCATGCTCTGTTTTCATTGGTACAATACAATTACACAAAGTAAGATTAATAAAATAAATCTCAGGTGACGATATGTAATAGGGTTTTGAAACAACCAAACGGTCTGAGTTTTAGTAACATTTAGCATTAATCGAAAAAGTGCACTCTAGGAAAATCACGGTTAAGATACATAAAAGAAATCCCAACAAAGAAAAAGGAGAAAATTAGAGAGATGAGATAGCTACATAAAATTAGCAAAGTTAGACGATGGTTATCACAAACCTACCTTGTGTCGCCAATAATCTTAATCAAAGTAGTTGTAGTACTATGGCTAAGTTGCATGTCGATTACTCGATGTTTCTCAAGATAATTATATGAGTGTATACATGAAGTGGGAATAGATGCAACATGAGCAACATCCTTATAAATCATAGAAAATGAAAAGTGAGAGACAAAAACATTACATTAGTCCAAGCCATTAAAGATCGCAAGATCGGTGAGTCTAAAATTTCGGCAATAAGAAAGCATAGAGATCACGATTACAAAATTACTCAGCAGGTAATTAATCGTGTGGTGGATTATGAGATAGTATGAAATTGAAGAAAGAATGCCAAGATGGCAGACTGTGCTTAAGTTGAAAAAGTGCGATAAATTGAATCTCTTCACTAAAGAATTTATTTAATTTCATATCTCTTATCACAAGAACACACAGGAACTTCAATTAAGTCTCATACAACGCTAAAATGTTAAACTGACAATCGACTACTATGCCCCTCATCCCATTATTGCTGAGCACTAAGTATTAAGCTACAGCTCAAAGGTCTCTATTTCTATTCCCCTCTTTATACAAACCATACTATTTTCTGTTATAATAATAATTTCCAATTTGTAGCCCGTCACAAATCCTTTCTTTATGTTTATCAGAAGATAGTTTCGGAAATCTTGTTACCAAGTGCTGGAACCAATTACCATCCTTTGGAAGTGTTTTGTTGAATTATTTAACGTGTATTAAAGCTTTATCCCTTATGTTGCTTATTGAACAATTAGTTCATCTACTTACCAACATATCGTTTGACGTTTCAATGAATTCGACCCAATTAGCTCCTCATTTACTTCAAATTCTTAACTTATAGTTATTAATGGAACCGTCGAGTGGCAAATCTAATCGTCTGTAAAAGGCAATTTCTTATAGCTTGCTGGCTTAACAGTTTCTATTTAATTCTTATATTACTATGAGGTCACTGCAGACCCAAACGTAATGTAAAATCGTGTCACAAAAAATGTCTGGTGTTATAAGGTAAATGGTCATTTTTTATTAGATTCAAGCTACGAGTTAAATCATTGAGTTCGTTTTGACTGAATCAGTACAGGACAGAATCTTCTTTCTGGTTATATTTATAAGTATCATCACATTTTCTGAGCCGCTCTCGACTGTCAGTGGCAAATTTTTAATAATGATAGGTGCTCCTTTATAAGAAAGAATGCCTTAATGCAAGTCCAGAAAGTTACCAGTATCTATAAAATATTTTATACTTCTAGTTATATTCAATATGCGAAATTCAAATTTGATGATTTTTTGTAATTAGCCATAAAGGGTGCAAGTTATTCCTTAAACCAGTGACATTAATATCAGGTATATTGGGTTAAATCATAATGTTGTAGTGTGTATTTCCCATTTTGAGATTTGTCATTCTTTCTGACGCACTCTGTATAAAGGTGGTTGATAGTTTAGAAGGTATTTAAATTATCTTGGAACTTTTGAACGTTAAGTCGTCGGTGTAATAATCAGTACGCTTGCACGGAGAAAGTGTATAATACTTATTTCCTGTGCGATATCTTGTGACTGAACTTGATTTTCCTTGCCTAGAAGAATACATGGTGGAGTTCTTTGTTAGAAACGAAATAAGCATCTCTTATCACAACAACAGTTACTTAAATGATTTTACATGTCCCCTTACGTGCTTGCTAAGATAGCTGCATATCTTTAAAGAATTGTTTGAGTGTAAACAGTGCAATTTTGAACATTTAATATCAGGTATGTGCTGGCAGCAGTAAAATTTCGATATATTTTCTAACATATTTAAATAGAAACTGTCCCACATCTAGGAATGTTATGTTCCGATCTTGCATGTTTGGACATTGCGTACTCTTTCCCGTTGCTCGAACTTATTGTGGACCGATGTTCCATGTGCAATAGATTTAATTACAATAAATGAAATAAAAAAACCGGCCAAACATTGGTGTTAGACGTTTCTTGATGGAAAATGTTGATCTTGTTACCATTTTGCTATCAATTAGAGACGAAACTGTAACTTTGGCTGGCACCACAAGGCTTTAAGGTTCCTATTTGAAACGTCAATTTTCTTGTGCTGGCATCAGGATTTTCCACGGGTTTTAGCACTCTTTCCTCATTAACCACGTCTCTTACGAGTCGTTTTGCTCCAAGTTTGCTTTTTGGTGTCTTTATTTCAATGGTATCTCTAAAAGCTTGTAGGGAGCACGATAAGGACCATACCCATAAAAACTTTTCTTAATATTTTTTGATGCAGAATGTCATTTCCAGATACGAGAGCATAAATAGTGAATCGCTATGTACTTTGTATCCTCCTTTGTTTTTTGTTGGAATATTTATTATCCAATCTTCAACTGATAAGTTTGTGTACCAAAAACATTCAAATTCTATCCTCAACATGTCTAAGATTCATTTCAAATTTTGACATTAACTTCTACATTTTCGTTCAGATTTTCCACATTTATTAATGAAACACAAATTCACTGTGACTCAAAAACAACCTTAAATTTTATAAAAAAAAGCAATAATAAATTAAAGTGGTTTTGTATGCATTGAAGTGATATTGTGGTATTCATTGCAGTAAAAAAAACAATTTCATTTTGAAATTTGATATTATCTACATTTGAAGAGATTAGCATCGTGATTTTTATTTAATATGATATGTTATGTAAATTAGAGTCATTTATCACATTTCAGAGATAATAAAATTCTGGCAAAATAATTTCAAATGTAGAAATAAAGCATTCAAAGTAAAATGAACACTTATTAATCTGCAACGTTAGCCAAAATATTTTTATAAAAATAAACACGATTTCACACTTTGCATAATTTATCAAGAACTATAAAATAAAGTGTTGTAGCTAATATCCTACTTACTTATACAGTTTTGTGTAATATCCCCAGATTATAAAATTTCTAAAAGATTTTTTATAAATTAATACAATATTTAGAGTGTTAAGATTGAATAAGATATAGTTATTTATACAAGTAAGTGATTTGGTCGTGGGATCTCATTGGCGCCCGTCATCCAACTCATTTAAATGATTAACCTAACTGGTTAATGTTTATTACTTGTCGCCTACCTTGTCTATGGTCACGCGTGTTGCACTTTCTTGGCATCCGCCCACGTGTCCTCCTCCTTCATTCATACAAAATCTCTTCTCGGTTCACCGTCCGGTTACTTCCCAGAAGAAATTTGCGATTGGACACGTTCCAAATTTGTATAACGATAAACAAACCTCACAAAGAAACAATTTGTATACAAAATAAAATAATAATAATGATATGATTTATCAGCAAAAAATGTTTTCTTAACCACTTCTTTTTACATTCTAATTAATTGCGTAATTACTACCTTCGAGAGAGTAGAAAAAATCTTTCTGCTTGACGTAGAGTTTCAAAGAAAAGAGCGGAAATATGCACGTGCAACAAACCACGACTTAAACGTTAAGTTAATCCGGTCTAAAAATGCCTACATTTAGCTTTGCATGCATGCAAATCCGGAATTTATCGTTCGTCTGTTTAAGGACAAAGTCGATCAAAGGCTTACTTTATTATTGATTTATTCAAAGAATTTACGAACTAGAACGAACAAAACGTACAAAATGCCATTTATGTAGTTAAGATGAAATAAGAAAAAAATATTTTTTTAAAAAATTTATTGAAACCACCTTGAAAAAGAAAAGTATTTTACAATTCAGTATTTTTTTAATTACTTTTTTGATTTTACAGAAGCAAAACATTTTTTAGTGTAGTGTTTTATACTTTTTTTCTTAGTATAAGGACAGTACAGTTCCTACTATTTTAAGCCATACTAGAAGGATAATCGCATGTATGTACTTATTAAGTGTACTTTAATTTATTTGTGTACCAAGTAAAGTTATTTTAATTATATCAAATTAGAAATGTAGATTTCAGAATGAATGAAAACTAAGTATGTTATTTGTTTATAAATGATTTTCTTTATAAAACTTAATTTTTATAATTTATTAACTTATCTATAACAATTTTAATTATTATGTACTATTTTACAAGAATAAAAGAATTTACAAAACAATTTTATTTTCTCGTTTTCTTTAAACGAACGAATTAAGATTCCAAAAATAAATAGTGAACTAATCCATTCACCACACTTATAACTCACTATCGCATTTAATTTCCAACAATCACACTCAATAGCTATAATAATCGATCCAGTTTAGTTCTTTATACGTTTATACCAAGTGACATAAGTGGGAAAATAACCAATGTCGGGCAAATCGATGGCATCATTTCTATAAATATTACACCTTCATTGTGAAACAATCACAATGCCAAGGCTTTTGAGGCCGCGGCTCATTTCTCAACCTTGATCTTGATTTCCTCGTTCCGTTCGACCTCACAATTTAAACAAATTTTAACAATTGGGTAATATAAAAAAAATGTTTTGCTAAATTATCAAATCAAATTTAAATCTTAATTATCCCTTATTATTGATTGTTTGTAACGCAAAAATATATAATATATATTTTTAATTAGTAGTTTTATTTAATTAATTTTTGTATCCAGTTAAGATTTTTTTTTTCATTTCTAATTTTAATAATGATCTTACTAAAGAACTATGTCACTTAATTAAAATCGATTGGAAAAAGTTATCGTGAGATTATTGAAGTGGAATTAAAACTTGAATAATATTTATTTGTTTTTGTCGTTTTTGAATAAATCTTAAAAGGCCTTCAAACTTATAACTGTAATTAAATCAAAAGCAACCACGACGTTGTTTACGTTTACATTCTATATCGACGATTTTAAAATAGTTCTTACGTCGTTGAAGATGGTGAAGGCGCCGGTTTTAAATAACATTTTATTTTTCGAAACGATCACATCAAATATAATGAAAAGGAGGATTTAAAGACGTAATATTTCAAAAAAAATGTTCGAATTTTATTTACTTTAAACTAATAACTTTAATAAACAAAGATTTTCTTAATTTATGTAGTTAGCTATGATTATAGAATATTCTTTGATTAAATTATTCCAACCAGAGTTATATTTGTTTATTTAATTAAAATTAATACAGAAAATGTTCAACTAATAATAAAAGAGTATGGAGTAGTGGTTGAACGGATATCCGGCAACTATCCGATATCTTAAACCTTATTACTTAGTACTCCACCATTCACAGGAATTAGTATCTCTTTTAGGTGTTGGACAGTGCAGATAATAATCAAGTTTAACCCCAATAGGACTTTTTTTATTGAATATAATTTTATTTATCATTAACAACCTCATTATAACAATCCCAATACGATATATAAAATCTCTTGTTGCAGTTTCGTCTAGTTTTCTTCTCTTCGCTTGTAATTCATCATCACATTCATTACTAACAGAACTGTCGCTGTTATCATTTTGTATTATAAATTAAAGTATCCTCTTGTTAATGCAAAAAGCCATTTTGAAAAATCACTTTAAGTTCTTGAGAAATACATTTTTGAAATGATTTTTCGAATTTTGCAATTTTCGCCCATTAAGTTTTAAAAATTCGTATAAAATCGGTTTCTTGGAATATGAGTATGAAAATTTCCCAAAATGTTAATAAAAGTGTCCTCTTTCCAATGAATCAACCCGTTTTGATAAAATTTTCGATGTTGCAATTTTCATCGATAATTTTCAAAATTCGCTATAAAATTAATTTCTTGAAGGATCCCTGTGGAAATATCACTAATTATTAATTAAAGTGTCCTCTTTTTAATGCAAAAAATCGTTTTAAAAAATCACTTTCAGTTCTTGAAAATAAATTTTTGAAATAATTGACAATTTTTTCGAATTTTGCAATTTTCGCTGATTAAGTTTTAAAAATTCGTATAAAATACATTTCTTGGAGTATGAGTATGAAAATTTCACAAAATATTAATAAAAGTGTCCTCTTTCCAACGAACCAACCCGTTTTGAAAACTAACTTTTAGTTTTTGAGAAATCAATATTTGATGTTTTGATAAAATTTTCGATGTAATTTTCATCGATAATTTTCAAAATTCGCTATAAAATTCATTTCTTGAAGGATCCTTGTGGAAATATCACCAATTATTAATTAAAGTATCCTCTTTTTAGAGTTGCTTCGTTAGTTAAATCAGCATCAAAGAAGTTCATTTTGTATCTTGGATCCAAATAAGTTGACATATCACTTATCAGCTTTCTTATTAATTTCATTTTTATTCAAATATCGCAATAATGTGGCAATATAGGGTATCACTTCAGAAATGCACCAGAAATTATAACCATATATCCGGCCGAATATCCAGTATCCGACTCTTCGTTAAATCACTATCCGTTCCATCACTAGTATGGAGAATAGTTTAGGTTTTTTTAATCTCCTTTTTGGCTTTGTTAAGCCAACGAAAAATTACAAAGAGGTAAATAGGAATGCAAAAAAGACGGGAAAAGGACTCCATCCTACCTCTCTCTGTGAGTTATGGTTAGGTTTTGATTTCAAGATTGATTTGTCTTATGACTTTTTATCAATATTTCTTAATGTACATATTCATGAAAATTTTAGAAATAAGACAAATTTGTTTTAGAAGAAAGTTCTGGATAGCTAAAATGTATATTGGAGTACACAATAATTCATTGTTTAATTTTCAATCGTTAGTGAGATGAATACTAAAACAGAAACACAGGGAAAACAATAAGAAGTCATAAAATCCAGAATAATGACATAATCAATAATAGATTTCAATCCGCATGTTGGTTGTATCCATATCTTAAGTTGGTGTTGTTGGCATAGCTCTAGAAGTCTCATCTATTGTTAATAAATTGGAAATTATCGCCAATTAAGCAAAACCGTCAGAAATTCAAAATCAGGTTGAGAAACGTCTCAGAAGGAGGAATCCGGGAGTCAAGAAGAACAAATGAGGTGCAGGATTGCCATCTTGAACATATTACAAGAAAAGATGAAATCTGTTTAGCAGATCAGTTGCCGATGATTGTTTATGTAGCGAAGGTCGTCCATTGAACAATTTCCTGCAGCATCAGAGGTTTCTGTTTGCAGTCCTATTTACCGTATATGTGTTACCATAACGACTCAACAACAACGTTTTGTTTGAATTATAAAATCATGCCTCCTTAATTGTGTTTGAGGAAAAATTTCTTGGTAATGTCGTATTGTTTAATTTTCTGTCACGTGGCATGATCACCAAACTATTTGGATTATGGTATAGGATATTATAACTTTTACTCTGCTTTTGCACAAGCACAAATTTCATCAGCTTGATTGGTTTGATCCTCTTGAGTCTTCTGATCTGGTTCGGAACGTTGATGATTCAGATGTTCGTGACTTTTCGCGAATTTGCTAATGGCTTGACTCTCTCTATAGCTTTTTACATGTATTTTACATATTTTCGTCCACTGCTAGACCTAAGCCTCCTCCATAAACCTCATGGCCTTAAATCGCCATGACAAGGGGTCAGTTTTGGTCAAATGGCTTGACTAATGGTGACTATTTCCATGTCTCTATGTAAATTTTGCAATACCAAGAAGTATTGACAACGCCACTTTGTTTCCACACATTCCAAGCCTTATCATTTAAAAATGTCCGCTATCATAGTGGTCTTAAGCATGTTATAGACATGCTCTTCCATATCACTATATTTAATTCTTTTGTTGACTCTTAGTTATATGTATAGTATTTGTTTCCCTTTTCGGATCTACTTTATTTTTCCATCAATTAATATAAGTTACTTTTTACGTGGGGAAAATGAAGCGTGGTAGGGAAAATGGCAATATTCGACCGAGGCTTGGGTAACATCGACGAGCAGATAGACTAGTACACATTATCAATCTCGAGAAGAAGGTTTTGAATGTTGTTGAAGAGCAGCCTGGCATAAGCACTACTTAGGATACTAGCAGAACAACATGGGGTATCAAAATCCACAATTGGGCAAACTCCATCCATATCACGTGCAATGTGTACAAGCCCTACTACCGGAGGATCATCCCCCTCGAGCACATTTTTGCGAGTGGTTGCTACATCAGCACCAGTTGAACTCAACCAAAAGATTAATTTATGATTCGTTTTATAAATACATCAATCATTTTTATACAGTATATATTTATACATTTATTTTCAAAATTACAGATAAAAACAACACCAGAATGTATATTACGTTTGATACATATCCTTTAGTATAATTCAGATCCTTTATAAATTTTTGATATTTTTGTTATCATCACCATTCTTTAAATCTTGCCCAGTTTTTGGTTCGATTACATCAACAGTTTTCAATTTTACTTGTGACTGCGGCTTAGCATTATCGATATTAACACTTTCTTCTCCCGACTTGATTTCTGTTTTTTTCTCGCCATCAATTTCCAATTTTTGTTTCAATATAGGCCCCGAATATTTTAAATTAAGCATATTTTTTATAGTTTCGTCAATCTCTTCCAATCTAACGGCATAAATCGATGCTTTTTTAGCTTTATACTTTTTCAAAATAGATTTGTACATATTAACATCATCATTATCGTTTAGGATTTCGCTCCTAAAATCAAAAAAATTATTTTAGAATTATATTTTTGTGGAAACTTACTCTTTTTTCATTTTCTCAAGATAAACTTGAACTTCATCTAAAGTATTAAATGGAACATTTTCTTTTAAAAATTGGTAAAATTGCGCCGATGCGTGTAATAAAGTAGCAAACTCGTCATCTAAATCTTTAATTTCGGTTTCAATGTCTTCGCGTTCTTGTTTTGCTTTGTTGAGATGTCTTTCATTTTCGCTCAATTTGGCTTTCACATCCGGATCTTCAACTTTTTTTTCTAAAACGACCGTATTTGTCGTATCTCGTTCATTAAATTCTGTACTTATATCTTCATTGTAATTAACACCCAGAAATCCACCAATTTTTGTTGTTGTTGTAGTTTGATGGGTGCTTACTCTGGTTAACTAAAATATTAATATAATAAGATATAATAAAATATTTTTATAAATTGCTTTTACTTGTTCTGCTGGTACTTTTACATCAACCATTAACTCGTCTTCTAACTGTTTTTTTGTACTTGAAATGACTTCGGTTTTTATGGTAGCGGTATTAAGTCGTATCCAGTTTTTTCTTTGCGTAGTTAAACAAGAAGCGATTGTTGACGATAATCGACGTATTAAACGTTTAGCCTCGTTAACCGATAATAATCCTTTGATTTGTCGTGGCGGTGCTGATTTAATATATTTTATCATTCTACAAAGACAAAAAAAGTTTTTGAAATTTCAAGCTCTAAAAGTATCTTTTTAAATACCTTTTAACTTCTTCAGATGATTTTTTAAAACTATCCTCAAAATTAGAAACTTGATTATGAGCAAATTTAACTTGGGCTGATTTCGCAGCAATATACCTAAACCAATCACTTTCAATGCAAAAAGTATTTTGATAATCAAAAGGAACGGGATTCCTTCTGGTTATATCCACCGATTTTAAAACTTTTTCTAAAGGTATTTGAGTATCACCTGGTGTATAAAAACTCGACCGCCCATTTGAAAATATGAAAATAACGTTTTTACGAATGTTTTCATCCAATTGACCCAAAATAGTTTTGATACAATACTCAAAAATCACGCTTAATCGTGAATTATTCGGCTTCATCATTATACAAATTCCGTGTAAATATTCCATTTCTGATATAAATTCTAAAACTTTTTCGACGTTTTTGTAATCGGTCTCAATACCTTGGGTATCTCCTAATCCGGGAGTATCGATTATATTTAAAATTGAACCATCTTGTAAATCAATACGATGCATTTGTGGTCGTTTCGTTGCCGATTTTCCCACTTGATGCTCTTCATTACTATCATGATCAACCACAATCGTTCGTTCTGTAAAATCGTCATCCATTACTGTAAATCTTACCCCGATGGAATATTTTAATTGTTTTATATCCGATAATTCATTATAAGCGATGTAATTTAAAACGGTGTTTATAAATGTTGACTTCCCAACACCTGTTTCACCCAATAAAAGAACATTATATATTTTTTGGAATTCCATTTTCTTTACTTTTCTCTATAAGTTTGCAATGGTAATGTAAAAACTAAAAAGAAAATATTTGAAATGGGTTTTATATGAATCTTTTTAAAGAAAAACAAACGTTAGTTTAGATATAGAATTGTGGTTTATTTAATAAATAATAAATTTAAAAAATAGGCAATTCTGGTCAATAACAATTTACAACGATAATAACAAGTTGATAACGGTTATATCTTTTACTTTAATAAAAACAAGTTATTTGAGAATGTTTCCTTATTTTTTATTAAAAATATTTTCTGTTTTTGATAAAAATGTTTACATGTTCTAATAGAAAAACAAGGTAGTATTTTGATTATAACATGAGAAACTCTCAATTTCGGGATTGGGAACGTTTTAGAAAAAAGTTTTAGTATAAAAGTTGTTGCAAATTTTATTCTTAACGATTGTTTTTTTTACACTTTTTCTCTCAGATGCATAAATATCGAGAAATATTCAAGAATGTGAAAATTAGATGAAATCGTGGTTTTACATATTGTTGTTGGTAGAGCATGGGGTTCGGAACGTTTTAAAAAAAGAGTTTTTTTATAAAAGTTGTTGCAAATTTTATTCTAATAATATTGCTCTTTTACACTTTTGCTCTCAAATCCATAAATAGCGAGAAATATACACACAAGTGAAAATTAAATGCAAGGCATTCAACACATTGAAAAACTTAACAAAAATTAGTATCGAGGGCCCTATATAAATTAGTATCCCTATATAAGGATAACGGGAAAGAATTAAAATCGGTCATATTATGATTTCGATAGAAGAAAATATGGCGAATCGATTGACGTATTGATTTTAATAATCGAGTACATCGTTTACGAATTATGACCAAATTTTAATAAGCGTTTTATTGTTTTTTTTTATATTCACAATTTTCCTTTTCCTAATATAATACAATATAATATGTGTATATATATATGTATATACCTCCAGATCCTCTACCCTCCTCCCACCTTTCCACACCTTCGCCTCCTCGCTCCCATCAGCTTCCTCATCCATTTTTTGTGCTCGCCCCCATCTCCCAAAATCTGCTTCCTGACCATTGCCTCCTCCCTTAGCTCACTACACCCTCTCAGCATGTGTTTCAGCGTCTCCCAATCCTCTCCACACAGTCTACACCACCTCTCCACATCGTCCGCCCAGTACCTATTCCTCCTCTCCTCATTGCCACATCGGAATCTGGCCACCAATCCCTTCCCTTCATCATCCCTTTCCATCAACAAATACTTTGGCAGTTCCTCTGTCACTATCTCCCCATACCTTTCATTGTATCTCCCTTCTCGTATATGTGACCTTCTTTCCTGCCTCTGTATGTCCCTGTCCCTATCTCTCAGTTCTCTCCACATTTCACCTCTTTCCGCTCTTCTGTTTTCGATCCCACTTAGTGAGTATCCCACTCTTCTATAATATTCTCCTTAATTTCCCTCCAGCACTCTCCCAGGATCATACAATGCAGTCTAGCTTCGATTATTTCCTCATACTTCACTGCTCTTCTCCCAGCATCCACCCTTACTGCAGGAGGTTAAGGTGGACCTCCTCACTACATACCCTGGAGTCTTCCTTGCCAACTCTAGTACCCATCTCCAATACCGTGTTTGTATATCCTCCAACAAACCTTGTTCTCTCCATCCCCATACTTCTGCGCCTTACATCGTTGTGCTCCTTACCAAGCCATCAAACATAACCTTTCTTTTTCCCACGTTCCTCCCAAAAGTTCTTTCCCCCCATCCCCAAACCTGTCCCATCACCCTTTTCGCCATCGCCCTCATGTGCGCCCCGATCTTATTACTAACCCATATGTCAGGTACGTGTACTCTTTCACTTGCCCTATTTCTCTTTTCTGCCACCTCCATTCCTCCTTCTTTCTTCTCCACCTTTACAGAACTTCATTATCTTTATTTTCTCGACGTTTACCTCTAACCCCTTCGCCTTAAAATATCTTTCCAGGGACCTCATTATCTCCTTCATGCGGTGGTGATGAATAGTGAGGAAATTCTTTAGCCACGACCACCAAATCGCCCGCATACGCCAAAGCGTGCACCTTTGTTCCTCCTATTACCACCCCACCCATTTTCCCCTTCACAAGTTTCTTTTCCAAGTCCCTGCGTATATATTACAAATAGTATGGAACTAAACGGGCACCCCTGTCTCAATCCCTTTGTCGTCCAGGTTACCTCACCTAACTCTTCCCCACTTTAACCTTAGCTATCGTCTCCCTGTACATCTCCTTCGAATGTAGGCTATCGAATGTAGCCTTCAGATCAATAAAGAATCCATACAGCTTTCCTCCCTTCTTGTTCAACTCTCTATCTACCAGGTATTTCAGAATGTATATATTGTCAATTGCCCCTCTTCCCTTCCTGAAGACGGAATCGTAAGCATTTTTGATGTATAATAACCCCTCCATAGTATACTAACTTTTTTCTGGGTAAGGTCCAAAGTACTACTGAGATTCATAACGTGGTGAATTCAACTGATTTTTTTGGGAATTGACCTTTTCTTCACGATTTTACAGCATATTTCTTTCTGTAATTATAGATAACCCGCTCACCAGACTGATTAGTCTCCATCTTCTTTAGAAACTTTCACATGGCTAGGATTACGTATCCACATTCCTGCAGTATGCTCATCTGGCGCTTTCTAACCCGTTTCTATAGCTTATTGTACCTTTTTCGTGGTGTAGATTTCTCGGCTCCATTTCTTTTCTTTGCAGTATTTTTCTCTCTTCCTTCCATAAAATTCAATTTATTTTCCATTGTTAACCGGAGCACCTTTGTTTCCGTAATTGCTTTCTTAAAAGAATTAAAAACCGAAACTGTTACAAGCTGCTAGATACTACCAATGGCAGACTAGATAGTGCTTGCGGAAGACTTCTTACTGCTTACAGAAGACTTGATACTGTTGAGAGATAACTAGATACAGCTTGCAAAAACTAGATACTGCAATCAGAAGTCAAAATATTCCGAATGGAAGATTCCTCCTTATTACACCCTGCTGGTAGACCAACCATAGCATTAAAGTACCCAGCAATTATTTGGTATACATGAGATGTACACCCAGTAATTGCAAATAATAATACAACAACATAAATATCATATCTTTATTCATCTTAATTATTTCAAATCTCTTTATGGATTCCAAAAAGGTTCTCCCTTATTCATACCCTCTGTATACCATAATATGATATTCAAGCCCAAACGTTTTCAACTCTATGATCTATCTCCCCCATGATAACAATCAAGAATTCTTCTCTCACTCACCCAGACACCTCAATGTCATAATTTACGTTGTATTACGTTTTGTGCAAGTTTTACAAACTCAAAGTAACAGTAACTTAAGATCCCTCGTTTAAGTTCTTTTTCCAAACCTATTTTATTACGTCTTGTTCCGTCTTTAATTGCATTTACTTCCTTGATTGATTTTCCTTCCACAATTACCTTGTGAATTTTGCATAAAATTTTAACTAAATGTCTCAAGAATAATGCAATGCGTGAACAAAATTTGTATTATTAAACCGTTGATTTAATAAATGATTTCCAAACATTTATGTTCAATTTAGATAGGAATACATAATGTTTATATTATGTTAGTAATCCAAGTGCTTTTGAAGGAGGTTTATATTTTTTTTTTAATAAACAATAGTTAGGGCAAAACTTTTTAAGGCAATTTTATTTTCTAAATTACATTAATCTTTTTACAAACAATATATTATTGTGTACTTTAATAACTTTAAACTCACTCGGGTAAAGAAACTTTTGGTTTAGAACCCGAAAATAATATGCATCTGGTATTCTCCGGATTTTGCTCAGTTTTTGGTTCAACCACATCATCACTTTGCTTTTGCTCAGACTTTTTGATTGTATGATGAACTTCAATATCTTCGGACCTCGTTTCTAACGCTTGTTTATTATCAACTTCCAATTCTCCCTGCGCTTTTGGTTCAGGTTTTTTTACGTTAATTGTATCTTTCTCGTTTTGTTCAGTTTCCGTTTTTTTCTCATCATCAATTCCTAATTTTTTTTTCAATGAAGGCCCCGAATGTTTTAAATTAAACAATTTTTTGATGGTTTCATCGATATCTTTCAGAGTAACACCAATAATAGATTTCTTTTTAGCCTCATACTTTTTCAAAATATTGTGGTACATAGTAACATTTTGTTTATCATTGAGAGTTTCGCTCCTAAAATGAAAGAAAAGTAATTGTTTTTGTATTTTATGTTGGTTGAACCTCACTCTTTTTTCATCTTCTCAAGGTGATCTTGAATTTCATCCAAAGGGTTAAATGGAACGTTTTCTTTTAAAAATATGTTAAATTGAGCCGCTGCATGTAATAATGTAATAAACTCGTGATTTAAACCGTCAATGTCGTCCTGTTCTTGTTTTGCTTTGTTTGTATCTGTTTCATTTTCATTCTGATTGGTTTTCCCATCAGGATCTTCATCAATTTTTACTTCTAAGGTGATTGTCGGTTCAACACCTTGCTCATAAAATTTTGATTGATGGTTATGATTACAATTTCTATCAGAAGATCCACCAAGTTTTGTTGTTGCTGGAGATTGATGGGTTCTTACTCTTGGTGGCTAAAATATTATTTTTTTATTTTTTAAAATAAAAGAAAATTTAAAAAATATATTAATCTTACTTGATTTCCTGGTAATTTTCTTCCAGGCTTCAAATTTTCTTCGGGTTTTTTATTGGTATTTGAATTGGTTTTTGTATTTTTCTTAACGGCGTTAAGTTGTCTCCAGTTTTTTCTTTGAGTTGCTAAATTAGATGCGATCGTTGCTGACAATCGACGTATTATACGTTTAGCCTCGTTAATCGATAACAATCCTTTAATTTGTTGTGGAGCTAACGATTTAATATATTTTATCATTCTATAAAAAATTAATTAATTTCTATTATTTTTTAATTTTACTTTATGTTTATTTAAAAATGTTCAATAATCAAAAGTGTTTTCTTAATACCTTATAACTTCTTCCGATGATTTTTTAAAACTATCCTCAAAATTAGAAACTTGATTATCGTTAAACTTAACCTGAGCTGATTTAGCAGCAACATATCTGAACCAATCACTTTCAACACAAAAAGTATTTTGTTTATTAAAAGGAATAGGATTTCTGCTTGTTGTATCCGCCGATTTTAAAACTTCTTCTAAAGGTATTTGAGTATCTCCTGGTGTATAAAAACTCGAACGCCCATTTGAGAAAAGAAAAATTATATTTTTACGAATATTTTCATCCAGTTGACCCAAAATAGTTGTGAGGCAATACTCAAATATCACGCTTAATCTTGAATTGTTTGGTTTCAGCATTATACAGATTCCGTGTAAATATTCCATTTCTGATATAAATTCTAAGACTTTTTCGAAGTTTTTGTGGTCATTTTCAATACCTTGATTATCTCCTAATCCAGGGGTATCAATTATATTTAAAATTGAACCATCTGGTAAAGGAATACGATGGTTTTGTGCTTGTATCGTAGCAGATTTTCCAGCATAACGCCCTTCATTGCTATCTTCACCAATCACAATTCTTCTTTCTGTAAAATCATCATCCATTAATGTAAATCTTACCCCGACTGAATGTTTTAACTGGTTTATATCTGATAATTTATCGTAAGCCAGGTAATTAAAAATGGTGTTTATAAATGTTGACTTGCCAACACCGGTTTCACCCACCAAAAGAACATTATATGTTTTTTGGGATTCCATTTATCTGTACTTTTTTGTTCGTAAGTTTACAATATCACTGAAATGAACTGAAATGAAAACATTTCAAATGGAATTTTATACCATTTTTTTAAAGAAAAATAAATGATTGTGGTTTATTTGATAATGGTAAATTTATAACAAAATAGGAAATCACGCAAATAACAGTTTGTTATCGTTTATATTTTTTTATTCTAAATAAACAAAGTTATTCGAGAATTTTCCTTATTTTGAATAAATTCTTTATTATTTATGTTTTTGAAAAAAATATTTACACATCTTTATGATTACAATGAATTGAATGATTTATATTTGTTAAATAACGTCCATAATCTTGTGCCTAGGAAGCAGAGCAAATCCATATTTTCTTCATATATGATCTTATGTATTCATTTAGGCGGTTTAATTGTCTTTTCTACATAGACTTTTCCTCCAGTTTTAAATAACGTTTCTTTAGTCTTGAACTAATGGTTTTTTCTTCTTTCCTTTTCTTGTAACATCTTCATTTTTTATGCTGAGTACACATTTTCATTTGTACTTTATATTTTGTAATCATATCTTAAATATTTTTTATGTCAGAATAGAAATCCATAAATCACTATAACGTATCAGTGTACAAATATATCAAGTTCATCTGTAAGACATGTCTATAAAATTCCAACGTGATGTACAAGATAGTCCAAAAAGTATACGCTAAGCTCTAGATATCACGGAGATCCCTTCAGGCAACTTTAGCTACATTGTATATATATCCACATAAGGTCTAGATCGTACAAATATTGAACCTGATAGATGAGTTGCAATTGAAGGATTATACCATTACATCACAATATGATAATAGACTCTAATACTATAAGATATGTGTCCTCGAATTTATAGAAAATTAACTTGCTCACTTTGAAAATGAACAATGTATTTAAAACAACAAAGACCTCCTAAAATTCCGAAAAATACAACACATAATTACAGCCATTAAATTCGTTCAAAGAAACCTGGTACGAACCAGTATAGAGAAGTTCAGGTTTGAGAGAAAACCAGTCAATTAGATTGGGTTGGGTTAGATTATCTGTATAGAAATAAACTTCAAAGGTTAAATCGGAAGCTCGCAATAAGGAGTATCATGGCGAAACTATCTCGGCGGCGAGTTCTGATTGGATTGCCACCTCTGAACTGGCTGGCTGATGAAAAATATCAAATCTATAGAGGAGGTAGAAAGTATAGAACCGAAGCCAGAGAGCAGGTGCTCACTAAATTACAGGATAAGATGGGAAGGCTATATGGGTTCTGCCGGACAGCTGATAATAAGCATCAAGTAATGGAACGATCTACGTGATCCGAAGATGAACGGGCCATGGAGTGTTTGGGAGTTATCTGAAGATCAAAAAAGCGAGAGAAAAGCTAAAGCTGAAGATATCTGCGGATGTTAACATATGGTGGCACTAATGTTGGAAACTGAGACATAATAGTAGTGGCTGATTGCTTGAGGAAGATTATCAGTAAGAAGGACTAGGATGAAAGGCGGCGCCTAAAGCCCGAAGAGGCATTTTCATATAGGAGACGCGGAAAGAAGAGGAATTTTTAGTGGGTTGGGTTGGATACAATCAACTCTATGTGAAACTGTAAAATCGCTAGTTGATAATAGTGTTGTCAAAGGTCAGGTGGTGATAAGCAAAGTAGGAAAATCCAATATACTAAGTTTTATACTTTGCTGAATAGAAAACACAAACTCATTCCTACATCTAAAACCCAGAATCCTCCAAATCGCCGAAGACTAACAATGCTGCCACAATCTGATCATCGCTCATAAGCAATTCACGAACATAAGAAGTTTAATATAAATTTCGTCTTACTTAGAAGCCGGACATGTAGATTTTATAATTCCGTACAACAAAAGTTTGCAAATTCTTATAACCTCAATGACACTGCCTCAATGTACTTACATCAACTATGAAGATATTGCACGATAGGGTAAAATGATGTTATATCCATGCTATTACATGGTACTTACATGGCACCTTGTCCTTTTCAGTGGCGGATCTTCTTGATAACACAAACATTACATCATGTTGCACTTCCTGTACAAGATATTTCATTGTTAAGATATTTAATGACGTAACGTATTCTTTTCCAATTAGGGACCACTTGTTTCTTCCGTGCGTATATCCTTACTTGAAAATACGGCATAATTACAAAAATACCACAGCATTGGGATAAATTATCACAAAGTCATCACTATATAAATTCGTTAGCATGTACCAGCGAAAATTGACAACTGATATTTTTTTAAGAACTTTAAAGAAGTCTCATCGAATGTATTGGATTCAGGAATGTAATCAATGTATGACAGTGATAAATATTTACGTTAGCGTTTGAAGACAATGCACTCCTAGAAACAAAACTGTCTAAATGGTCGAACAATGTAGAATATGGAATATGTGGCGATCTGAATGAAACCAAATGTTCCTCTGTAAAATGGTTTAATTCCAAATAAATTTGTTGCATTAGAAACAAAGCAAAAGACATGTGTTGGTCCAGTTGTAAAAGAATAATCAAACAACAACAAATGCAAAAACCTCTTGAAAAGGTCTAATCATCGTACTAGATTACTAGACGCATAGACAGAAGTAAAGGCAGTATTCAAAAATACCAGTTCTAAATTCCTCAGGTTACGACGTAATTCTATACACAGCATTAAAACTTCTCCCGCGCAAAATCATTCTAATCTGCCTATTAATAGTGCTGGAAGTTAAACAAGAGGGGTTTGCTTAGACGTTTCGTTATGCTGCCACTTATCAGCTGCTATTTCTTATTGAACATTGCGCCGAAGAGTTCCATTCTCATGAATTCACTACCACTGCGATAGTGAATTCTGAATGTTCCATAAGCACTCTAACTACCATGACACCACGCATTGTTGTAAAAAGTACACCAACCTGGTCAACGATCGATCCACAATACAAACCATGACAGCAGATATTCCATACTTGTCGTCTTACTACATAATACATTTACTTAGGACTTTCTTGAACTCGGAATAAACCTTAACGTAGCCATCTGTAAGAAATTGTCTCCACTTTTGCATTTAACCAGAAAGTTTGCCAAGGTAAATACGCAACAGGTACTCTGCTAATTCTGCATCTTCTATCTTTATATTCTTTACATTCCTCAAAAAGAAAGCTACTGTCTACTCTTCTTTTTTACTAAGCAAGATTTTCACCCTGTAGTATCCAAATAAAGTGATATCACAGAAAAATCGTATGTTCTGGCCTGTCGATATCTTCTTTATATTTCTTTTTATGATATGTACTAAGCACATCATATCGTTTTAGGTAATGATCCATTACTCTCTATTATCATTTAAATATCGCTAAATACAAAGTAATCGATACAACCAATACATACTGAATAAACAACCAATTTTGCATACACTCGGTTTATAGTATACTTGAACGATTGTTCCGCATTGATTGGTCAGGAAATAAATCAAATTTTGTTAAACGTCCACTCTCGAATAAGAAATATAGAAACATTTAATAAACATAAAATTACTTTAATTTTGTTTAGGTTCGGATTCACTCTATTTTTAGGAAAGTTTTGTAAATGAAAAATAAATTTCTTCTAAGATTTAGATATTTTATTTGTTTTGCAAAAAAACATTTAAAAAAAAATTACTTATTTCAAAATTAATTTTAATTTATGGTTGTATCATTTGCTAAAACGTCTAATTCATAGTAATATTTCAAAATGTCTCCAAAATGTTTCTGTTTTAATAATTCCGTTTTAACATCGTCAACATCTTGAGGAGTAACATTTGAAACATTAGCGATTTCATCTAGATAGGTTGATAAAAGGTTTTCATAGCTTTCCAATCGTCGCGGATTTATTTTAATTTCTCTCTCCCTGAAAAAAGAAATAATTATTAAATGTGTAAAATAAGCGATAAGTTTTCTTACTTTTTAATCAATGTGGTTAAATCATTTTTAAATATATCAGCCCCCATTAGAAAAGCATTTTCTTTTAAGAATACCGTAAATTTAACGAGGGCAGTCAAAATAAGATTTTCCTCCTTTTCGAGATCTTCAAGACTCTTTTTTAGTTGCTGTTTGATTTCAACCATCGTTGCTTTTGCTCGTTCTTTTTCATCAATCGTTGATTTAATATTACTAGCTTCCACGTACAAAACGTAAGGGGTCTGAATAGTAGTCACAACTATTTTACGCCTTGTAGTTGTTTTCACGCCAACCGAAATGAATGGAGGTGTCCATGACAAATCCAGATAAGGCTTTATTGTACCTTTTTTATGCTCAACATCTCTCTTCTCTTCTATTTTATGTTTAACAACTGGAATATATAAATAGGGTTTTAATTTTTCTAAATTATTTTCATTTTCATTTATTTTTCGTTCGTGTTCAATTAAAATATCTTTCGCATCTTCGCATTTTTCCATTACGTCTATCATTGGTATTGCTAATTTAAAAATTATTCTTCGAGAATCATTTATTGATAATGTATCTTTCATTGAAGCTGGTGATAAAGTTTTAATGTAGTCGATCATTCTAATAAAATTAATTAAAAATATTAAAAAAGAAATTATTAATATTTTTTTATTTACCTCTTAATTGAATTTGAAGATATTTGATAACTTTCTTGGTAATCTTTTTCAACATTATCATTAATCTTAATTCCTTTATTTTTAATAGCTAGATATCGTATGGATTCGTTATCGATGCAAAAAATGTTGTCACGATCAAATTTTATTTTGTGTGGTTCAGATGCAATTCCTTCGAGAAGTATTTGTAGAGGTAAAAAGGTGTCTCCGGGGGTAAAAAAGCTCGATCTAGCGTTTGTAAAGATGAAAACAAAATTCTCAAAGACTTTCTTATCCAATTTGGAAAATAAATGCTTCATGCAATGTTCAAAAAGCACCGTAATTCGAGAATTGTTCGGTTTTACCAGCACACAAAAAGCGTTTACATGATTCAATTCCCCCAATAGAGCTAAAATCTTTTCCATGTTTTCTTCGTCGAATTTTAAACCTCGAGTATCGCCAATCCCTGGTGTATCAATTAGTCTTATCTTCAAATTTTTTTCTGGTATTTCTAATAAGTAACTTTTCGGATGTTGAGTTGATGAAACGCCCGGATCTGTTTTTTCATTTTCACTTTTACCGATTTGTATAACTTTTTCTTGAAAATTTTCATCCATTACTGTAAATTTTATGGGTACAGGAGCCAATAATTCTCCATTAGAAGCCGCAATCAACGTATCGTATTTTAAATAATTTGCGAAAGCATTTACAAAAGTTGATTTACCTACACCTGTTTCACCAAAAAGAACAATATTTAATATATTTTTATCGCCGAGTGACACATTATTCTCAGATTCAGACATTGTGTAACAATCGTTCAATTAATTAAAGGAGTGGGAAAGAAAAATTTGTGTTTTGAAGAAAATCTAAAAGAGGATTAGTTTTTATACTAATTTTATTGTGGATTTTCAAAAACAGAAAGATAAATTGCGGATATTGACTGCGGTTGTGTGACAGAAACATCCTGTTTCGTTTAATCATAATTTTCATAAACAAAAAAATATGTTTTTATAATAAATAAGTTAGATTATACAACCACATCTACATCCATAAAAATTTAAAAAAAATCTTTGTTCCCCATTGATTTCCTACCCAATGTCCTTGTAGGCATATAAAACACATACTTAAAGAATAAAATCATCCATCATATCTGGTTGAAAGAAAGTGTGAAAAAGCACAATGTATTAATCCATATTTCTGCCATATACTTCCAGGAACGCCTTTAACATAGCATTTTGGGATGAGATCCTGTTGGGATTAGAACATTTTGCACGTCGAATTTCCTGGTAAGATTTCTGAAAGACAACACTCAACCAATGAATGGGTTTCGGGTTCGAGCAGGTGAGCCTTTTAACCCAAAGGCCAGGTAAGTGGCTAACCTTACCTGTTAGAAAAAGTTCCACATCTTTTTAGACTAATTAACAAAAAGATACAACCTCGTCCATGAAATACTGTCATTAATCGTAGGCGCCCATAAAATAAATCGTAAGTAAAGCAGTAAAGCAATAAGTCATATTAATGGTCATCAATAAAAAGTATTTTTTCTAAACACGCAGCATCAATATTACATTTTTCCATCATAGTATGATCAACACTGATCAACAATTTTTAATTCTTGTACTGTCGACAAGTGGTATGGATGCAATTGCTGTTCGTATGGCACACGTCAAGAAGTACTTTTGGATATTAAAAATTTGTCGGAACTGTTGATATTAACAGTATTATCAGTTATTTGCAATATCATCTTATCACTGCGTTAGCATTGCCTAAATACTTTTCCAACGTTAAAAGTAAAGTTTGCTCACTAAAACTGTAACTATTTGTCATTTTAAACAACTATTACTGACTGGCGAATGTTGGGTAATCATTTGACAGTTGCTGTACTGCTCCAGTTACAATTTGCTTACGATTAATGAAAACATTTCATAATCGAGGTTGTATCTTTTTGCAAATAACTCGAAAACAATACGTCTAAACAAAAATTTCTAAGAGTGCAAATAATTTTAGAATGAAATAGGATTTTAGAATAAGTTGGAAAATTTAAAGGTTTATGACATAATAAAAAAGTTTTAAGGAATTAACCTTTATGAACACCTGTATAGCATTGATCTCGTGGCTGTATATTTGAAAAAGTGATATTAACCGATTTTTCATGATGAAATTGCACTGTTTACCAAATTTTATCTTTCTAAAACAAACCGTATTGAAAATATTTAAGAAAATGTTTAAATAATTTAATGTTTAATATTTGTGATTAAAATTATGCCACGACTTACAGGAACACCTGTATAGAGTTAATTCTCCGTAACAGATCCTGTATGTACAGGTGTCCCGCAAGGGTACGGAGCGGCTGTATCTCGACAACGGTAAGGCCTAGAGGTTTGAGGAAAAAATCCTTATGCGCAAAGTGGACAACGATTACATTTTTTCTGATTTTTAAATAAAGTTAAACGGAACGGTACTATTTACTGTACAGACTCTTAGTTACCATAAAATGCTAGTGAAAACCGCATCTCGATATCTCCATCCATTCCTGAATTATAGAAGAAAATGTTAAAAATTCGTATATTTTAACCGGATCAAGATACCATAGCAAACAAATAAGAGAACACAAAAATGTTATTACCTAGAAGCATCGTGCACACTTTATCCAAGCTTAGAACTGGTTCAAAACTACTTTTGAGGCGTGTTTAAAAACCAACGGATCAATGAAACATTAACAACGATAATAGAACAAAATAAAACCAAAACACTTAGAATTACTCCAATTTTTGGCAAAAATAGCTCACAAATGTTCGAAATGCCTTGCATAAACCCCGATGCATTTATTTAATCTAGTTTCGACGAAAAAAAAATGCTGTTTAAGTCTCAGCCCTGGACACCTTTCTAATGGCATTTACTGTTTTGTCATATTTTCACTGGTTATTGGTTTTTCTTGAAGTCGTTTAGTAAAATCCCCATAGATAAAGGGGTGAAAGCAATGTGGGTTTTGCTCGAACCAAGAATGCATATTATGTAAGTTTATACCAGCTTGTTGAAAGATGCTTCATGCATCCATTTGTGATAAAAGGTTTGGATTTGCCCGAATCATATTTAAAAGTCAATGATAGTAGTTGTGTTATCATAATCGGTAGCTGTTAAGGCCTGATGTAAAAACAATGTAGTGGAGATACATATTAGTCTCTTAAGGAATCATGTGGACAATTGTTTTCGAGGTTCCCAGATTATGTGGGATCGCATTGCTCAGCAATGTGATTTACGAATTCATAGAGATGTGACAATAGGCTACACGTTGCCAGTTTTCCGTAATCGCTAAGCCAATCTTANGTGTTCCCTTAAGGGTACGGAGCGGCTGTATCTCGACAACGGTAAGGCCTAGAGGTTTGAGGAAAAAATCCTTATGCGCAAAGTGGACAACGATTACATTTTTTCTGATTTTTAAATAAAGTTAAACGGAACGGTACTATTTACTGTACAGACTCTTAGTCACCATAAAATACTAGTGAAAACCGCATCTCGATATCTCCATCCATTCTTGAATTATAGAAGAAAATGTTAAAAATTCGTATATTTTAACCGGATCAAGATACCATAGCAAACAAATAAGAGAGCACAAAAATGTTATTACCTAGAAGCATCGTGCGCACTTTATCCAAGCTTAGAACTGGTTCAAAACTACTTTTGAGGCGTGTTTAAAAACCAACGGATCAATGAAACATTAACAATGATAATAGAACAAAATAAAAAACACTTAGAATTACTCCAATTTTTGGCAAAAATAACTCACAAATGTTCGAAATGCCTTGCATAAACCCCGATGCATTTATTTAATCTAGTTTCGACGAAAAAAAAATGCTGTTTAAGTCTCAGTCCTGGACACCTTTCTAATGGCATTTACTGTTTTGTCATATTTTCCCTGATTATTGGTTTTTCTTGAAAAGTCAGGTCGTTTAGTAAAAGCCCCATAGATAAAGGGGTGAAAGCAATGTGGGTTTTGCTCGAACCAAGAATGCATATTATGCAAGTTTATACCAGCTTATTGAAAGATGCTTCATGCATCCATTTGTGATAAAAGGTTTGGATTTGCCCGAATCATATTTAAAGGTTAATGATAGTAGTTGTGTCTGTTATCATAATCGGTATCTGTTAAGGCCTGATGTAAAACAATGTAGTGGGGATACATATTATTCTCTTAAGGAATCATGTGGACAATTGTTTTCGAGGTTCCCAGATTATGCAGGATCGCATTGCTCAGCAATGTGATTTACGAATTCATAGAGATGTGACAATAGGCTACACGTCGCCAGTTTCCCGTAATCGCTAAGCCAATCTTAAAAACACTTCTAGAGAAAAATGTCTTTCTTTGTCGTAATTGCATTGCAGATTTTTGCCATGCAGTCTACGCCATGCCATATGCTCTATGATACGCTTCTGCGTTGGTAAATGACATATTCACAGTTACCATGGTTATATGATTTGCTTTTTTCGATGAGGTAACTGGAAACTAGATACGATTGATGGCAGCGGAGTTTTCAACATTTTCTTCTATCATACGGGAACGTATGATAGCATAAAATGCTCTTTCAAACAAGACCAAAAATATTCAAATCGGTAGAATGGTCCAGGAGATATTAAAATGTAAACATTTGAAAACGCATTGGCCTCACCTTCCCTTATTATGACAGACATGAGAAATATCGCAAAATAAAAGCGATGCGGTATTATAAAAGCTGTTAAATGATGTTGTCAAAGTTATAGCTCATCGTCTAACTTTCTGAGATAGCGGGAATTTTATGTTGCGGTAGAATTACGAATTTCAAAATAATTTCCAGCTATATCTCTTGCTCACCTTGCCTATAAGGATTTTGTCCCAAACCTCTGGGCCTTACCGTTGTCGAGATCCAGCCACTCCGTACCCTTAACGGGACATTCTGTATAGACTTAGCTCGTAGTAACAGACACTGTATGTACAGAGTTTCCCAAAACTCCCGGGACGGAGCTATAAGTTTTGAACGGGTGGAGAAAAAAATTTGAAAATTTGGGGATCACTAAAGAGTCATAAAAGCTACAGTCTTAGATAGTTTAGAACTTTCATGCAATTTGAAGTTTTTTTGAGGGGATGACCACCCCTACATTTTTAAATAGCAACCCCTGTCGAGTTTTACCTTATTTTAAAGGTAATGAAAAAAGAAACAACCCCATAAACTAAAACCCGATATCTTAATTCTTTCAAGAATTATGAGGGGTCGACTACCAAATGGAAAAATAAAATGTTTTCATGTTTTTTTACACGTTTATTAGGATTTTTAGAACAAATGTTCAAATTGTCGACCTTCTTCGGTCTCGCAGTGACCCAAACGCTCATAGATAGAATTTTGAACCATCAGGAGCATGTCCCTACTATCCGTGCAAAAAGTCAAGGCCCCTCACTTTAGATATCGATATTTTGGTAACCGCTCGATGAAAAAAAAATGTGGTAAAGTTTATTGTAATCAGTCAACATTTCTGCGTATCACGTGTTAAATTGGAATTTTTCTGGTCCACGGTTTTTCTTTCCGCGAGTTAAGTGAAAAAAGTACCCGATTTTTGAAAGTGTTTTTGACAGGTGGTAGTCTGATGAGTTCTTAATAAGGGGCATATTTTATTTTTACGATATTCCATATAGTTTCACGGAAAATCGCGATTTAGTTGGACGCCTTTATATCGAAAACGGCTGGGTGGATTTCAACACAGTTTTAACCAAAATGTGTCAAATAATCGCATTTGTCAGATACTGTTATCAGCTTTTCAAAGTTATGTCTCTCTAATTTTTTTTAATTTTTTGAGCAGAAATAAGTCATACTGAGAGAGGAGAGTTTCGTCCAATCGGAAAAGATGGTCCTGGTGTGTGTTCCAGAGACAGAACGGCGCGCCTTATTTCTTTATATAGGTAAGATAAAGGCGCGACGTACTGTCTGGAACGCAGCACCTCTTCCGATCGGACGGAACCCCCCTCTACCCGCATGGCTTATTTCTGTTTCTCTTTAATTTGTAATTCCATTAAATCAGTCTTAAAAAATTAGGCAGCCCTAATATTCAAAAACTGATAACGGAATCCAACAACCGACATTATTTGATAAATTTTAGTAAAAACCGCGTTGAAATCCGCCAGGGTGTTTTCGAAATAACCGCATCCTACTAAACCACAGTTTTCCGCGAAACTACATGGAATATCGATAAAATAAAATATGCCCCACATTAAGAACACACGCGTTTACCACCAGTTCAAATTTGAACAATTTTTTCGTCAAATAGTTTTGAGAAAAGAAATCGCAAAGTAGACAAAGTTGCTCTCAAAAATCGGGCACTTTTTTCACATAACTCGCGATAAAAGAAAACCTGGTTTTGTTGCATACACTTTACTTTTCAGAAATCCCCAAAAGAAAAAATCGAGTGGTGTTAGATCAGGAGATCGTGGTGCCCCTCAATTTCACCTCTACTACCAAGCCAACGGTTTGGAAAATTTCTGTCAACATATTTTTCCATTTGGTGGTTAACCCCTCATAATTTTTAAAAGAATAGAGATATCGGGTTTTGGTTTATGGGGTTGTGTTTCTTTTTTCATTAGCTTTAAAATAAGGTAAAACCCGACAGGGGTTGCTATTGAAAAATGTAGGGGCAATCATCCCCTAAAAAAACTCCACATTGCATGGAAGTTCTAAACTATCTAAGAATGTAGTTTTTGTGACCCTTTAGTGATCCCCAAATTTTCAAATTTTTTTCTTCACTCGATCAAAACTTATAGCTACGTCCCGGGAGTTTTGGGAAGCCCTGTATATGAACAAATATTTTATAATGCAACCCAACATACACCTGAGACTGTCATAAAAATATAATATAAAATAAGCATGAAATAATTAATATAATATAAAAATTAATCTGTAAAATTAAAACGTTTATAATCTTTTCATATTGAAAATAAATAAAGTTAAAAAAAAGTTTTTATTTGAAACTCATCCTATAGACTCGTAATTTTTGTAATCAAATTAACACAAAACTTTTGCTACTAAATAATTGTAATGAGTAAAGATTAATTAATTAAAATTAAAAAGTATTTCATTAAATATATAAATGTTTTTTAATGAATCTAAAATAAGATGTAAAATTAAACAAATACTTNTACATATTAGTCTCTTAAGGAATCATGTGGACAATTGTTTTCGAGGTTCCCAGATTATGTGGGATCGCATTGCTCAGCAATGTGATTTACGAATTCATAGAGATGTGACAATAGGCTACACGTTGCCAGTTTTCCGTAATCGCTAAGCCAATCTTAAAAACACTTCTAGAGAAAAATGTCTTTCTTTGTCGTAATTGCATTGCAGATTATTGCCATGCAGTTGCATCATATTCGAACCATTAAAAATCAATCATCATACGCTTCTGCGTTAGTAAATGACATCTTCACAGTTACCATGGTTATCTGATTTGCTTTTTTCGATGAGGTAACTGGAAACTAGATACGATTGATGGCACTGGAGTTTTTAACATTTTCTTCTATTATACGGGAACGGATTGAAAACGCATTGGCCTCACCCTCCCTTATTATGACAGATATGAGAAATATCGCAAAATAAAAGCGATGTGGTATTATCCAAGCTGTTAAATGATGTTGACAAAGTTATAGCTCATCGTCTAACTTTACTTCATTACTTCACTCAGGATTATTTCAAAATAATTTCCAGCTATTTCTCTTGCTCACCTTGCCTATAACGATTTTGTCCCAAACCTCTAGGCCTTACCGTTGTCGAGATCCAGCCACTTCGTACCTTTAACGGGACATTAGACTTAGCTCGTCGTAACAGACACTGTATGTACAGGGTTTTTCAAAACTCTCGGGTTGGAACTATAAGTTTTGAACCAGTGAAGAAAAAAATTTGAAAATTTGGGGATCACTAAAGAGTCATAAAAGCTACAGTCTTAGATAGTTTAGAACTTCCATGCAATTTGAAGTTTTTTTTAGGGGATTATTACTTATTTTAAAGGTAATGAAAGAAGAAATACAACCCCATAAATCAAAACCCGATATCTTAATTCTTTCAAGAATTATGAGGGGTCGACTACCAAATGGGAAAATAAAATGTTTTCATGTTTTTTTGCACGTTTATTACGATTTTTAGAACAAATGTTCAAATTGTCGACCTTCTTCGGTCTTGCAATGACCCAAACGCTCATAGATAGAATTTTTAACCATCAGGAGCATATCCCTACTATCCGTGCAAAAAGTTAAGGCCCTTCACTTTAGAGATCGATATTTTCGTAACCGCTCGATGAAAAAAATTGCGGTAAAGTTTATTGTAATCAGTAAACATTTATGTGTATCACATGTTAATTTGGAATTTTTCGGGACCACGGTTTTTCTTTTATCGGGAGTTAAGTGAAAAAAGTACAACTTTACGATTTTTTTCTTGAAAACTATCATAAGAAAAAATTTCAATTTTTTGACAGGTGGTAGTCTGATGTGTTCTTAATAAGGGGCATATTTTATTTTTACGATATTCCATATAGTTTCGCGGAAAATCGCGATTTAGTTGGACGCCGTTATGTCGAAAACGGCTGTGTGGATTTCAACGCGGTTTTAACCAAAATGTGTCAAATAATCGCATTTGTCAGATACTGTTATCAGCTTTTCAAAGTCATGTCTCTCTAATTTTTTTAGAGCGATTTAAGCGAATTATAAATTAAAAAGGAACAGAAATAAGCGATGCGGAGAGAGGAGAGTTTCGTCTAATCGGAAAAGATGGTCCTGGTGTGTGTTCCAGAGACAGGACGGCGCGCCTTATTTCTTTATGTAGGTAAGATAAACGCGCGACGTACTGTCTGGAACGCAGCACCTTTTCCGATTGGACGGAACCCCCCTTTCCCCGCATGGATTATTTCTCTTTCTCTTTAATTTGTAATTCCATTAAATCGCTCTTAAAAAGTTAGGCAGCCCTAATTTTGAAAAACTGATAACGGAATCCGACAACCGACATTATTTGATAAATTTTGGTAAAAACCGCGATGAAATCCGCCAGGTCGTTTTCGAAATAACCGCATCCTACTAAACCGCGATTTTCCGCGAAACTACATGGAATATCGATAAAATAAAATATGCCCCACATTAAGAATACATGCGTTTACCACCAGTTCAAATTTGAATAATTTTTTCGTCAAATAGTTTTGGAGAAAAAAGATCGCAAAGTAGACAAAGTTGCTCTCAAAAATCGGGTACTTTTTTCACATAACTCGCGATAAAAGAAAAACTGGTTTTGTTGCGTACACTCTACTTTTCAGAAATCCCCAAAAGAAAAAATCGAGTGGTGTTAGCTCAGGAGATCGTGGTGCCCCTCAATTTCACCTCTACTACCAAGCCAACGATTTGGAAAATTTCTGTCAACATATTATCCCATTTGGTGGTTAACCCCTCATAATTTTTGAAAGAATTGAGATATCAGGTTTTGGTTTATGGGGTTGTGTATCTTTTTTCGTTAGCTTTAAAATAAGGTAAAACTCGACAGGGGTTGCTATTTAAAAATGTCATCCCCTAAAAAAACTCCACATTGCATGGAAGTTCTAAACTATCTAAGAATGTAGTTTTTGTGACCCGTTAGTGATCCCCAAATTTTCAAATTTTTTTCTTCACTCGATCAAAACTTATAGCTACGTCCCGAGAGTTTTGGGAAGCCCTGTATATGAACAAATATTTTATAATGCAACCCAACATACACCTGAGCTTGTCATAGAAATATAAAATAAGCATGAAATAATAATTAATATAACATAAAAATTAATCTATAAAATTAAAACATTTATAATCTTTTAGTTAAAAAAACCTCATCCTATAGACTCATAATTTTTATAACCAAATTAACACAAAACTTCTGCTACTAAATAATTGTAATGATTAAAGATTAATTAATTAAAATTAAAAAGTATTTCATTAAATATATAAAATATTTTTTAATTAATCTAAAATAAGATGTAAAATTAAACAAATACTTAAAAAGTTTAAATGCAACCCAATATACATCAAACTCTTTTAATCGTATCAAACCCACAAAAGATGTCGCCACGTTCATTTATTGTTCAGTCAACCGGTTAGTCCGCCATATTTATTGCTAGTGTTGTGTGTGTCCTGTCAAAATTAACAATAATCCCGAAGAAAAAACCATCCAGGTCGGTTAAAACCCAAAAAACTTAATTCGTTAATTGATTACTAATCCCTTTACGTACACTATGACTCAATTTTAACAGGACACCAGCTTTTTTTCGCTTTTCCACCTTGCTCATCTCTTTCATCGTATCTCTTTACCTGCTTTTTTTATAAACTTTACTATTGTATTTATAACATTCCTTGGGCGTATGAATAATACCAGGTCGTATTCGGTTTTTCAGGTGGAATATGTTCTTGTGAAAACCACTTTTCTTTAAATTCTTTGGGAAGTGGTCTGGATTAATTTTTTATTTATTTTAGTGAAGGGTTATGGAAGATCGACCAAAGTAAGTAACATTTTTATTTTATTGGTTTATATTATTTATATTTATCATTTAGTGGTTTTTTTAAGAAAATGTAAATAAAAAGTTGATTTAATAGTTGTGGTCTAGTTACTTAATTGATGTTGTAATATTTTAAGAAATCTCTCAATAGAAAACTCTTTATTTTTTATTTTTTTTCTTGGTTAATACTTTTTTTTTTTTCGAAATCGATTAAACAACGGCGCATGCGTCTTTTTTTTAGAGGCGCCCGCATTGGGACTGTAGTGCAGGCGTCGCGACGTCACTTCAGTAGACGCCCCGTAACATCAACTACAACCTTCACATTCACACACTAACCAACCAAAAAACGAACTATTTTCGTTAAAATGTAATCCGTACACCGTTCAGTTTTGTAGTGATTAAGTTTTTTTCCAAACTACAAGTTTTAATCCGGTATTATTAAAAAGTTTCACCTCTTTAGTGAAAATAAGTTAAAATATTGATTGACGTCGCCATTGATATAAAACTTTTCGTTATTTTCCTTAACGTCTGCTACATAATAAGAAGTTAACAAGCAAATAAGAATACGCCCGCTTTTTTAAGCTTAAACTATAGAAACGTGCTGTATAACTCAAGAAGATAATAATAAAAATACATAGATAATCAAAAAAAATCAGAACAGCCACAAAAATATTCTATTCTTCCTATGCTCAATTATTAAACGTGGTTTTACGATTTTTAGAAAACGTATTTTTAAACTTGTTTACAACGTGATATGTTAAATAGATCAAAAAACGATGAGTAAAGCCATCAACGCTTACAGGATGTAAGTTAATCACATCATTTATTAAATTAATTTTTTAATGTAAATCTATCTCCTTGTACACATATGATTTTTCAATTACATTTTCTATTCGCACGCGTTACGCAAGCAAAATTAATCTTTTTTATTCATTTGCTATTTAGCTGTTAATGAGGTCGTTTCATTTTCAATTTTTTTTTTCTTAACGTTAGCAAGAAAATCGAAAGTTACGGAAAGATGACCGCTATGTCCCAAGAAGAAATCGTGTCGGCCGTAAAAACGGTCGCCCAAGGTTTGGAGGCCCTTAGATCGGAACACGCGGGAATTTTACATGGTTTACACGAAACACCTGATCCGATAGCTTTTGAAAGGGCTGGAATGGTTCAACAAAGCGCCGATATGATCGAATTGGGTTTAGGCGAAGCCCAGGTAAGTTATATTTAAAAAATAAAAACTATATTTGGCACAAACTTTTCTATTTTGGTGTTATTACATAGTTGGTCATCTCTATTTTTAATCTTATGAGTATAATTTTACCTTGAAGTTGATTATGAAGTGTTTTATTTACTTAAACATGGGCAAAAATCGGGCAAAAGATGGCGTTAGTTAGAAAGTATTAAACTTAAAATTTATTATCCAAATTCTTTTGTATTAAATCCATATAACTTAACTCATTTACATCATATACTGAGATATTTACGGAATAATTAAAACTAGAACTAACACTAGAAATATTCGGGTTTAGCCGTGCGTCTCTTAAGACTGCTAAACCCGAATGTTTCTAGGTCTAGTGTTAGTTTGATAGTTTCGGCATTAAAGCCATAAATATTTCGCACTAACTGTTAATATATGGTAATGTCACCTTGAGTGGACCGCCTAAGGACAAGTTCAAAAAAACTTTTTGTGGAAAAAGATTGCTCGTGGTTTTATATATCAATATTTGGTTTATATCGCTAGATAACTTTTTATGGTATGATATCTTATATTTGTTATTTGGCAGAAAAAAATTTTATATTACTGAGAGAGAAAAATGTAAATAGAGGAAAATAAGTGACTTATCTCATATAGAGCAATAAAATTTATGCTTATCACAATGTTTGCATGTGAAGTCTTAGCACATGACTGTGACATCTTAGCACCACACCGGCTTTGTCAATGGCTACAACTGATAGATGTGACGAATGATTATCGAGCAGCACGAGAGTTGGCGATTCTTTTGATATCTTGGAGTACCATGAGTAGCATCATCCATGATACCTTTAAGCATTCTAACTTTGTTGAATAAGAAGAAAGGTGGCATCGAGTTCCCACTAGCACTAATAGCCAAAGCCATGATGATCATGCTACCACGCTCAGCAGCTGTTTAATTTCCAATTCAATGGAAAATAGGTTAAAACCAGTTTAGTGTCAATTTATCTTCTAAGTCTCAAGCTATTTTATTCGGTAGTTCTTTGGTGATCAAATCGCTTACCCCACAGATTACAATTAGTATTAATAATGTTACTATCCTGATAAGTGAAAGTGTAAAAAACTTTGGTTGTTATCATGGATAATTCATTTAGATACAAAGAGTTTTCGTTACTTATGCGTAAAGCATATGCCAGTCTACGTGCATTCTACCCTCATCGTCGATCTTTACCGTTAACACTAAAGAAACAGTTGTGTGATTCACTGCTTGTATCCCATTTTGCTTACTGTGCTCCGCTTTACCATGCCTCAATTGATAGTGTTGATACTCTACGCATTCAAAGAGTGTAGAATGCTTGTTTGAGGTTTGTATACGGTATTTGAAAGTATCCTTGTATTTCGCATAAACTTCGTGACATTGGTTGGTTAAATATGTTCAATAGACGTAAATTGCTAACGCTCTGTCTCAATCATAAGATTTTGACCAGTGGGACTTGTCTTCCTACCTGACAAACAAAATAAGATATCGTTGTGATGTGCACAATCTGAATACGATGTTCAGGGGTAGAATTTATCCTCCTAAGTATAAGTTGTCACTATTTAGAAGATCATTAACGTACCAGATTTGTGTGCTTTACAACGATTTGCCTGATGACCTAAAGAGGCTATCTCTCAGAGTCTTTAAGTCTACCCTTGACAACTTGCTAATGAGAGATCAATAGCTTTTTTTTTTTAAATTTATTTTACCTTTTAGTGGGTTGTGTGTGAGCAAGGACACATTTTTGATGTACCATCTGGATCCCGCCTGACATATTTTATTTATACATTGTAATTAAGTGTATTTATTTCGTAAGCATTATTATTATATCCATGAAAATCGTAATTTAGCACTAAGAATGAAAAAAAAATTGGCGGTTTACTCAAGGTAACAAACGCAATTCTGAGAGAGCCACTGACTTGTTTTTCAACATCAAAATTATTACTTAGTGAATTTAGACGATGAATTTCAATGTCCAAACTAACAGAAATTATATGTCCAATCTTTACAAATTTGACTTTTACAATATTTTTACACTTCATAATATTGTGCAAAATGATAATTCGGACTTTGTTTATGGTTTTTTATAACAAAATGCTCGCTTGTGCACCGAAACACGTCGGTTCTTTATCTCGACCCTTATTAACTTATGATGTTCGGATGTGGTGCTGCTGTTCACGCTATTAGCTTCACACTTCGACTGTCACATCACATAAATGTTTCAGGCGGTCCACTCAAGGCATGAAATAATACGAAACTTTGTTTTTTTTTGTTATCGCATAAAGAAACCTTACATTTGTTGCAAATTCAAGAAGTAGACTTTCTACAATTGTTACATTTACATTAATTTCTCGAATCCATAAATACTTTTTATCTCCAACATGATCGTAACATATGTCAGTTGAGAGTAAACTTGGGATCAAAGTCTTTTGAAAAGTTCTGCGGTCTCTTGGTCTTCCCCTGATATTTTTTTAACCGACTTTGACATCAGCGTAAAGTCTCAGCAAACTCAGTTCTGAAGTCAGCTAATTTCATCATGTCTTTCTGAGATTATCTTTTCATTGTACTAACTTTTTTGTACAGTACCCAAGCATTTATCACAGTCATGTCCATGAGGTGATGGAAAAGCCTCATTGTGCACTTTCTTGATTTTATGCGGATACGATATCGACGAGCTATCCATCAGATTAACACCTCCCATATGGGCATTGTATTCTTTTATGAATCGAGGACACCATATTTGGACATTTTTTGTCGTAGCGGGTTATACTCTCTGCTGGTGCAGAACCAACATTGGTGGAATGTAATAAATCTTGCTTATTGTGTTTCCAGCTTGGATAACCGCAAATGGTTATCATCACTGGGTCTAATTTTGTGCAGTCTGTCGTGTTGAGGATGATCAGATGGCAAATGTTTAGTATCGTCTTAAGAGACGCACGGCTAAACCCGAATATTTCTAGTTTTAGTTTTAATTCTGGTTTCATGTCTTAAACGTACGCCCAAATAGACTTTTCTTTTGTATACACATTTGACAAATATTAATATTTATTAGAATTATTATTATTGCGAAATTAATAATTTAATTTGTTCGGACTGATAGTATTAAAAGGTTAAACTACATAATCTTATCATTTTGTCACCACTTGAACTTCACTTATTTCTTTTTTATCCTATTTTTTTTTATTCAAGGAAATGCAGTGTAATAAATCAAATTAATTTGAAAACGCTACGAGCCATGAAAAACTATGCTTTCAAATTTCCTTCACTTCTCATTCGTTGAACTAATTTCATTGGAATTCCGTCTTTTTTTAATACGTTCTGGCGTCATCGTCTATGAGTCATCGTTAGTTCAAGCGGATCGATGAATCCGTAGACTTTGCGGCGGCACGAATGTTACGAGAAAGTATGAACCGAGCCAGATATTGAAGCTCCGATTCTCTCGTTATCCGTTCCCCGGTTTCAGGCCATTATAAATATAAACGTTTAGCCTTGACTTAGCCTTCCTTTAAAACTCTCCTTCTATCCGGGGAAACAGATAGAGAGAAAGAGATAATTGGAATCTCAAACAGGCGGTCAATGCGTGATTTAGATTACTTTTGGGTTGGGAGAAACTAATTTTGTTCTAGAATTTTTTTTTTAGGTTTTATAAAATGGTTTAAAGTGTTTAAATTGTTAGGATTTCGATTTACAATCAGTAATTTTAATCCTTTGATTCATTTCTTTATAATTAAAGGATTTTATTTTGAAATATCACTTTTAAAGTTGGAAATATTGTTATTGATGTTTATATGTTACATCATAATAATACATCATCTAACAAATGAGGATTATAAATATCTTCCAATAGATGAATAATTTTCTTATACTTTGATACTTTTACTGCCATATTCAATTTATCAACGGATAGCTTTAAAATTCCTCTTCTGCTAAACTAAGACAAATTTTGTTATCAATTTATAACTTATTGTTATTAAAGCAGATTGTTAAAAAATACTAACGACTCATATTTTGCGATAAAATAAGTTGCATTTGTATGCTTCGTTAATTTTTTGCTTATTCAGTGTTGATGAGTTATACAATACAAAATGTTTGAATTCTATTTAATAGTTTGTGTGAGAAATTGAAGAAGTTGTCTAATTTAGGACGAAAATCAAAATCTAATTGATGTATCAGCTTGGTGCGTAAATATCTGGTATTTTTTTAAACAATAAATCTTTTCTAAAGAAACATTTTTAAATGCCTATTCCAAAATGTGGGTCACAATTTTTGGAGACAATCTAGACTTTCACATCGACCACCAACATATCCAAATGTTTATCTGTCAATTTTTTTACCGACCAATTCACGTTGTCGTTCGCAGGCGCTTTTGTAAGAGAACATGGCGGATATAGAAGTGGTTTCCAATCCTTATTGGCAATAATTGACACCCATCGTCTTTATTCTATCAATAACAAATATTATTTAAGATGATTTTGTTCTACCAAGTACATCACATTATCTTCTTACAGAGCTCATGTTCTTTCTTTTGATGTTTTTGAAAAGAAGCCATGATTTAGCTCCAGTGAAGATACTTCAGAAACAGAGCTTGTTACGTTGCAGAAAATCGGTGAATATTCAGATATGTTCTGGAACTGGTATTGACGGAGAGTCAATTTTTATACTTTTCCAAGCTTTTTTTGAGACTGCGGAAACAGCTTATAATCTCATCATTACAATAATAGTAAAAGTACTAGAAACAAGAGTATAGTATGAGATTCTATTAACATGCTCAGATATAGAATAACATTACTATTTATTTACGATATTATGTTTCACCACTGAATTTATCGTTTATTATTAGGAAATGGATGTAAAAGAATAGTTATATTACTTCGTTGCGTTACTGGCTATTCTTACTACCTACTGCGCATAAACCATGTAGCGAAATAATAAACATCCCAGATTATAGAATGTACAATTTTGTTGAGTGCCGGATTATAGAATTAATTATAAGAGTTCTCAAGTATTAGATTAGTGGAAGTGTCGGATTAAAGAATGCCTTTATGTACTGAGAAATATCGAATTTAAAAAATTTTAAATTCTTTTCTGCATCGAATATCTTTATTTTAGCAATGATTCCATATCTTTTTGTCCTGTATCACACTTTTTAGTTAATTTCGTAATATAATAAACAGTAAAATTATGGACTAATTATTTTTTTTATTCTAACAACAAAAATTATTTGGCGAAGAAGACGAAACATATGTTTATGTTCTTATTTTGTCTAGGATATTACTACGGAATATCAAAATAAGAAAAAAATACTAACCCCAACTCACTCTCTTTAAAATTTGATAGTTGGATCTGGAAGGGACCTGAGCGCGGATGAACTCCCTTGCTTTAGCTTAGTCTGTCTGGTTCATTCTTTCGCCGAACAATGTTTTAAATGAAACAAAAACAAAGGAAGCTGCGAGAGCGAGTGCTATTATATAGTATAAATAGTCTTAGAAACAATAAGGAACATAAAAGGAAAAATATACCAGGACCGGATTACATCCATGACGAGGTGATAAAGAAATAAGATGTGCTAAATTCTCTTTTAACCATCTGTTCAATTCCTGTTTAATACACTGAAATATTTACAATATTTTTAAACAAGCAGTTTAATGTTTTGCAAAATAGAATTAATGCATATGCAATAATTTCATAATCTTACAAAGAAGTCTTTTTTTTGCACACAGTCGGTAAATTTCTTGAAAGACTCTTAAATTTCAGAATAAACTTCTGTGGTCTACAACCAATGTGCTTAATGCAAGACTCGCTCTAACAAAGAAATTATAGGCATTTTAGGCGCATTTAATAAATTACGCTGGCAGGTTCCTTTTGCAATCTCAAAGGAGCCATAATTTCCGGAATCTTTTTTCAGGCGTTTCTGAAATTACTGCCAAGAGTGCATAAGCTGAGAACGTTCGCCCAAAAGTATTATAACATATCACTTCCAACAATTTAGGTTTATAAGAAAGTATAACTAAAGTGATGAAAATTACCTACAGAATTGGTGTATGGCTTTGGATTTGTCATTTATGACTGAATTTTTAATTTTACAAGATTTGAGTTTAAAAAATTATAATTATAAAGCATTAAGGTCTAAATTTCAAAACCATCCGTTTTTATTATTCACCTTGTTCAATATCAATTTCCTCTCCGAGTTTGCGATGAGGACTACATCATGTGCATATATCGACAACTGAAGTTTTTGTTCTTCTCTTACATGTCCCTGCGTGCCGTTTGAAACCCGCATGCTCCTTATCCGGTTCTTCTTCAATGCAAGTCTTTAGGCACCTGCAGGATACCTCCAGGATTGTGGAGTATAGCTTTGTAATGACATTAATGAAACACATTGTCCTGTAATTTTCACAGCATATCGAGTCCCCTTTCTTGTATATACATAGAGATGATTATGTTTCTTTGCCAATCTGCTGGTATCCGCCTAAGTCTCCATATCGTTTGGAAGACTTCTTTAATTTGATCGGCCAATACCATCCTCCTGCCTTCACCATTTCTGGTATTATTTTGTCCTCCCCAGCTGCCTTTCCATTCTTCATTTTCTTGATGGCGTCTTGCACCTTCTCGAGAATTATTGGCTCCTTTCTTTTATTGCTGATTCCACATTGATTGTGATGGTCAACTTCACCCAGGCAACCAGACGGGCAAGCTTACTGAAGAGATCAGAAACAGAGTGGATAAGGCTACCAAGGCTTACTATGCCCTGAGTCGATTTGTATTTGGAATGAATGAAATAAGCCGAAAGGTCAAGACAAGGATTTATAAAGCGGTCATTGAGCCTATACTTACTTATGGCAGTGAAAGCTGCTCCGTAAATAAAAGTGATATCAGTAGGGTTAATGCGGTCCAAATGAAAAGCCTCCGGAGTAATAATTCCAGATTGATTGAGAAACCTGGCTTAATGAGATACCTTTTTAAATTGGCAAAAAGAACAACTGAGATCACAACAAATAGTTGAATAACGCTAAAGCAATACCAGTGATAAACCAAAAACTTCAAGAAGTTGGAGTACTGCAGTTTTGTATTAGCTGGGAGATAACAACCTTAATATTGCGTAAACTGTTATTAACAGTACTTTTTTGTTTTGCACGGTCATCTTGAAAACGAATAAGCTAAATAAATCTCAAGCTGTAAGGTCTTATATTAAAAACAGCTGTATAAAGGAAAGCTTTTCTTATAAATTGAATTCCTAGACTTATTTACAATAAACACATTGAATTTATTTTCTTCTCCAAATAAAGGAGTATCTGCAATACCGCATCTTTTCAAGGAAACGTTTTTGTTAATATTTCACAATTTTCTTTAATCTGGAAAATTTTCGCTTTCTATATGGTTATTTATAACTACCTCTGGCGGGAGGGAGGGATGTCTGATTATTGGAGGGGACTTTACTGTACGAGGGGGAGGGGCGACGCTCCAAGGATAAGATTCTGAATAAAGAAGGAAGGGAGAATTGAGACAGTGGCAGAGAGGGGATGTAGAGATAGATAGATATATAGAGGCCAGGAGAAAATACAAAGAATAATGGAAGAAAAAGAAGAGGGAGCTGAAGGAAAGCGGAGAAGATTAAGGAGTTGAAAGAGGAAAATGAGGTATGGAGATATTTAAAGAGGATGAGGAAGGGAAGAGAGGAAATCAGCAGAGATATAAAAATGACTGAATGGAGAACCTACTTCATGGGATTGTTGGGAGGGGTGGAAGAGAGAAGACTGGGAGATAACATTGGAAGAAATGGAAACAGTTTTGAGGGGACTGAAAAGGGGAACATGGTTGGAGGCGACAGAGACAGTGAAAAGAAGCTATGGAAGGTAATAAACGACGTATGGATAGGGGAGAGATTTCAGGACAGGTGGAGAATGGGGATAATATGCCCACTGTATAAAAAGGGGAGTAAAAGGGTGGTGAGCAATTATAGGATCTGGAGGTATATATTATTATATATTGTATTATATTAGGAAAGGGAAAATTGTAAATATAAAAAAACAATAAAACGCTTATTATTAACTACCTCTAGCGTTGATTTTGATATTTTACATTCCCTACAGGTTCAGTGTTTCTTCTCAGCTTCCTCTAAAAACTCTAAATTTCTTTTTATAGGCATTAATGTTTTTTTCGTACTCATTTTTTCATTTAGACGGTAACTTATTCGGTAAATTTAACTTGAAGTGGGTGGACTCCTTTTGAAACTCTGTAAAGATCAAAAAGTGTTGTGAGTGTAAAAGATAAACACTATGAACTACGTATGATATAAATATCTATGAACTAAGGCATTAGTAGAGTTCCGAGCTTCAGATTTTCAAGGAATATCTCGACTTCTCTGACGTCACCTATGCAACGAATAAAGTGATAAATTTTAATGCGGTATTAGCATTAATTTTGTTCGCAAAATTAAAAAGAAAATCATTCAAATCAAATTTTAGCATTTTATATATTTAGCATTCCTATCTTTGCAGATCGTTGATTTTGTCGTTACTTTAATATATTTTCATTGTGGGTTGATTAGGTTGTTGAAAAAGTTCTATAACTAGGTTATTGCGTGACTTAAAGCGTTTACATCATTATAAAACGTAACATGCTAAAGAAATTGTGTATAATCAAACGAATTTCATTTACTTTTCATGTTGGGGAAATGAGAGTTTAGTAGGTCACAGAGCCATAATTGCCCAATTATTTTTTGCTGCACCATTTTGTTGATTTTACTTAAAAAAATATACTAAATAATGGATTATTTAAAAGGTAATAATGGCGCTCGCATCCCATTTGCAAATGGTTGAGGCGGAAAAACAAAAATTAAGGGCTCAAGTGCGTCGTTTGTGCCAAGAAAACGCCTGGTTAAGAGATGAATTAGCTTCGACTCAACAAAGATTACAAGCTAGTGAACAAGTCGTCGCTCAATTGGAAGAAGAAAAACGTCATTTGGAGTTTATGGCATCTGTAAGCCGTTATGATCAAGATTTGAACGAGGAGAATTCCTCGGAGCATCCTAGAACGGAGAAACCAGATCCGGTTGTCGATTTATTCCCGGATGATGAAAACGAAGAAAGAAATAGTAAGAAAATTAATTAACAAGGAAAAAGTAATAAAACTTTTTCTTTATATAGATATGTCACCAACTCCACCAAGTCATTTAGCCCAACAAGTAAATGCCGGTTACGAAATTCCTGCTCGTTTGAGAACATTGCACAATTTGGTGATTCAATACGCTTCGCAAGGTAGATACGAAGTCGCGGTTCCGCTGTGTAAACAAGCGTTGGAAGATCTCGAAAAAACTAGCGGCCATGATCATCCAGACGTGGCAACGATGTTAAATATTTTGGCTTTGGTATATCGCGACCAAAATAAATATAAAGAAGCCGCAAATTTATTGAACGACGCTTTGGCGATTCGTGAAAAAACTCTCGGCGAAAATCATCCTGCCGTTGCAGCCACGTTAAACAATTTAGCTGTTTTGTATGGAAAACGTGGTAAGTATAAGGAAGCTGAGCCACTTTGCAAACGAGCTTTGGAGATTCGACAGAAAGTTTTGGGAAAAGAACATCCGGATGTTGCGAAGCAATTGAATAATCTTGCTTTGTTATGTCAAAATCAAGTAAGAAAAATTAATTATTATGATTTTTTTTATTGATTTCTTTTTGTTTAAAGGGTAAATATGAAGAAGTTGAAAGGTATTACCAACGTGCGTTGGAAATTTACGAACAAACATTGGGTCCAGATGATCCAAATGTCGCAAAAACGAAAAATAACCTGGCTTCTTGTTATTTAAAACAAGGAAAGTACACGGAAGCTGAAAAATTGTACAAGCAAATTCTGAATAGGGCGCACGAACGAGAGTTTGGAACGATCGATGGTGAGCGATTGAAATAAGAGTTTTACTTTATTTCATTTATTTTTTTTTATATATTTTTGCTATGTTCGTTCACTACTTTTAGTTTAACTAGCGTAAAATTATTCCAACTTCATTAAAAAAGACCAGTATTATCTTAGGCAGCTTTAAAAATTTGTAAGGTTTTTGTAGCAAAAAGAATTCTAAATTCAAATTGTTTTCGATTTTGTTTGAAAACTGTTTTATGTAGAAAATGTTTTCTTTTAATATCCTCGTATTTTTTTTACTCATGTAAAACATTTCGAGTTTAATTTTTTAAATTTTCATTAATTATACGTCCAAATTGCATGCCTGTTGTTTTATTATTTATTCGTCAGTTTCCTATGCTTATCATTTTTGGTACAATTAGAAAAAGGGACGTAAAATTGTTAATATCGTTAAAACATCTAGTATTTTCAACGTGGTGACAAATTATAGGCGACAACAAACCGATTTGGCAAGTAGCCGAAGAGCGCGAAGAAAACAAAGCCAGGAATAGGGAAAACGCTCCTTATGGTGAATATGGTGGTTGGCACAAAGCTGCTAAAGTTGATTCCCCAACGGTTACAACGACTTTAAAGAACTTGGGGGCACTTTACCGTCGACAGGGAAAATACGAAGCTGCTGATACGCTTGAAGATTGTGCATTACGCAGCCGAAAAGAGGTAAGCTAAAGAAAAAATTATTTAAAACCATTAAAAGCTTTGGTAGTAATAGTTTAATTAAAAAAATTTCTTTATCTAAAACGCTGCAGCATGTGCAACAAGTAAGTTTTTAAAATGCTTTTTGAATGTTTTAATTTTGAATTCAAAATTTTTTTACCCACCATTAAAATGATGTTGGTTTAAACAGCACAAAAAATTTTAGTTATACAAAGTGAATCATAAAGAATGAGAAATCTTAAATAATTAATGATTAATATCTAAACATATCTTCTTAGAAATGCTTTTAAGAAATGCTTTTGTAGTTACTAAACAATATTCTTTATCAAAGGAAATGTATGCATACTTTTCATACATACTACTATGGTATACTTAAAAATATTGTGTTAGCGTTTAGCGACTATTGCATATAATATCAAACTCTTATAGTTTGTGAATCAGAGAATTTTAACATGTTTTTTCATTTGATTTACCGTCGATAAAGAAAGTACCAATTAAAATGTCATCTATAATCCCACACAACACATTGACTACCCAAGGTCGTTGGTATTTATTTCACGTAACCAAGAAAGATTTGAAACTGACCAGTAATGCATATTTGCGCTTAATGTTGATGAAACTCTTGATGTTATCACACTGTGTTGGGATACCGCTGAGCCACGAGAAATAGCGCGAGAAGAAATCTATTGATTAGTAAGAACAGCAGCTTAAACTTTCTTTGTGTTATCATCACCCAAAGATTTCCAGCTTTGGCAAATTGTTTCACAATACGATGAAATAATGCACGAGTATAAGATGTTTCTGTCGCGAAATCTTTCTTCGTATAAATTTGAAAATATTACAAAACAATTTAAATACCTCACCCGGTATAAGATAATTACACTAGTCTACAAAAGAAAAATAATAAAATGTACATTTGACGCCACTGTATTTTTCTTATGTAGTTTGATCCCTTAAACCCATTTAACATTTTTTCTATGGATACGTTTTGGAGCTGATTTGATTACTATTTGCAGCATATCTCGAGTTAAATATGTTCATCAAATTAAAGTGTATTGTATAGCCAATAAATGTTACTAATACTTATTCTAATCGGTTTGGTAGTTTTAAAACAATGAACCATAATATCTGAAAAATTGATTTTTTTAAACAAAATGTGAGCCAAAAATTTTTTTACCTTCTACGTAAAGTTTGCTCTTTTAAGAAGACAACAAGGAAGTCTACAACCTTATAGATGTGGATGAGATAAGTCGTACTACTAAATTGTAGTATTCCGTTTAAAATAACGAAGTTGTAGGCTACTTCCGATACACTGGATGTGGCAGCCATCTTGAAATTATTTTAAATCGAAAGATTGGGATGAATAGCTCCTACACGCAAAATCTCAGAAACGTACGAAATATGAAACCTAAACATTTTTAACGGTCTATTTGCGCGGAATTTCATGTACAACAAAAAGCTGTGCTCTCACATATACAGTGTGTCCTTGGATAGATGTTACAAGAGGTATATTGACTTAAAAATTTTTGAATTTTATTTTAAGGCTGAGGAATTAAGCCCTGCTTGGTGTGGAGAGAACTTTAAGTATATTTTCATATTTTGAAAATCAACTCGGCCTTGATAGTAAAGCGAAAACTATTTTTAGTTCAGGGAAAGTAACCTTTTTGTTCATAATACTGAAAAATTTTATTAAGAAAAGTTAAGTCAAAATGTAAAATTATGGTCCTATACAAAATTTCAGAAGGATCTATCTACTTTGGTCGAACCATCACATTTTAGTTTAAATAATATAAATATTGTACAATTTTATTTTATTTATAGAAAATCGAACGTAAACTTAACTGTCGCTTATTCAATATAACATCCACCTTTTGTTGCACTCTTTTCTATACGATGCCTAATTTCTCTAAAGCTGTTCTGAATTTCTTCGATGCGTATTTGTCGTATAGCAATTGTTATCCGTTCTTTTAATACTTTTCGATTATTCGATATTGATTGAGCGAAAACTAGTTATTTAAAGCGACCCCATGAAAGAAATCTAATATTGTAAGGTAATTGTTAGCAAATGTTGTTTGTTGTAAGCAATTTGACCATTTCTAGATATAATCTTTTCTCGAAATATTAAATTTAACCATTCAGCTACACGTGTTGTAGAATGTGCAGAGCATCCATCGTGTTGGAAGTAAATTGCCTGTCTTTCTGTCAGCAAAAAAAAATCTTATCTAAAATATGATGGTTTAATCAATGTAGGTAGATCTTTCTGCAATTTTGCATAGTGCCATAATTTCTCATTCTGAACAACTTTTCTTAATGATATTTTGCCGTATCAGGATCAAAAAGCTTACTTTCTCTGAACTAAAAATAATTTTCGTTTCACTATCAAGGCCGAGTTGATTTTCACAATATGAAAATATACTTAAAGTTCTCTCCACACCAAGCAGGGCTTAATTCCTCAGCCTTAAAATAAAATTCAAAATTTTTTAAGTCATTATACCTCTTGTAACATCTATCCTGGGACACACTGTAGAAGATCATAATTTTTGGTAATTTTTCCACAGATTCTCATCCTGCGTACCTTGTTGTCTTCTAAAAGGAGCAAACTTTACGTAGAAGGTAAAAAAGAATTTTTCTGCGACTCTCCACGGATATTGAATGAATTTTTGGTTCACATTTTGTCTAAAAAAATCCTTTTTTTACATATTATGGATCATTGTTTTAACCTCTTATGCGCTTTTTACGTTGAGCGTATGTGGATACCCTGGTGTGCGATTCGTTTTGCCACATGCGAACATATTCGTCACACCCAACATCTTTATTTCTAAAATCATCATGCCCACCGCGTATAAAAATGAATTACAGTTTCTGCTATTAGGTTTATTTCATTATTAGAACAACATACTATTACTAGAACGAACACTAGACCTAGAACTAGAAACTTTCTAATTAAGTCGTGCGTCTTTTGAAAAAATTTTCGGATGCCATGTTGCACCAGTATATTCAATCCTTTCTAATTTTGTTTTCATAACAAAGGACGCATCGTTTTGTCGGCTTTTGTTTTGTTGTAGGTGGAATGAAATCTGGGAAATGTCGCTGTAGTAACCAAGAAGGCCTTGGTGTTCTTGATCGGTCTTCTAAAAGATTTTTTCTTCAAACGTCATTAAATGACAACTTTGTTGTCGTGTTTACTCGCGGTAGAAGTAAGTCATTGTTGCATAACGACGGTTGCTAANCAAAGATTTCCAGCTTTGGCAAATTGTTTCACAATACGATGAAATAATGCACGAGTATAAGATGTTTCTGTCGCGAAATCTTTCTTCGTATAAATTTGAAAATATTACAAAACAATTTAAATACCTCACCCGGTATAAGATAATTACACTAGTCTATAAAAGAAAAATCATAAAATGTACATTTGACACCACTGTATTTTTCTTATGTAGTTTGGTCCCTTAAACCCAAAAATCACATTTCAAATTTTTTCTATGGATACGTTTTGGAGCTGATTTTTTTTTAGGGGAAGATGACTATTTGCAGCATATCTCAAGTTAGATATGTTCATCAAATTAAAGTGTATTGTATAGCCAATAAATGTTACTAATACTTATTCTAATCGGTTCGGTAGTTTTAAAACAATGGCCCATAATATGTGAAAAAGGGATTTTTTAAACAAAATGTGAACCAAAAATTCATTCAATATCCGTGGAGAGTCGCAAAAATAGTATATTAAGTATCCAGAACGGTAAGTACAATTTACCGGTTGACGACAATGTTTGGAGATTGAGCGACGCATAGCGAAGCGAAGTCTCCAATAGTGTCTGAAAAAAATCATAATTCTGCTACTTGCTGTTTGTTTGGGGAGCGCATTTGCAGTTAGAAAATAAACATAAAGGGACACTTTTTCACCATTAAATTGATAATATAGGGTGTCCACATAAAAGATTCTAACCAAAATTGCAATTTATTTGCTTAAACACTAATTAATTTTAGTATGAGATGTTAGCGTTCTAAAGTTAATAATTTTCTAGAAAGAAATTAAAAAAATTAATACTCTAGTATTAATACCAATACTCTAGTATTAATACCAATACTCTAGTATTAATGCCAATTGACGGTGTTAGTCTAGTGTTTGACGAAATAAAATCATTTTCAACGTCAACTAATGTTTACTGAGCATAATTAAATTTTGCAAAGTGCCTTTAAACAGTGATTATCCTGGAAACGGAGAACTTTAGAGAAGATTGGTAGGTATACCAAATTTATGTAAAAATGTCTAAGAAACTGTTTCAAGTTGTGCGAGTTGCAAAAATTTTAACGATGAAAAGGATACGTCTACTTTAAAGGAGTTTTTTAAGGCAGGCAGTGCCATCTGAAAAATAAATCAAAACTAATACCAAATTATTATTTTTATCGTCTTAAAAAATGGTCACCAATTTTCATGGTCATAATGCAAGAGAAAACGAAATATTTAAAGAAAAGCGAAAATAAAGTATTAACTTTAATCATCTGTATTTTCGTTATTATTAATAATTGGACTAACATAAATTGGGTTAAATCGTAACAATTTAATGTAAGGAATTCACTGTTCCTTTGTGTCCCAGTAGTAACGGACCACCCTATATATAAAAATATAGGTAGATACAATTAAATAAAATCGCAGTATATCATAAAATACTTCATCCTTGTTAATTGTATAGGTATTTTTTAATTTCCACCAATTTTGAAGTAAAAAATTGACAAAAATATCTTTTTGGCCAAGACTTTTAACTAATTCGCTTCTGTGGCGTCGTGTTAGCCGTAGCAAACAGTAAAATCAACTTACCGTCATAGAAACACTACTCGTAAATAAACAAAATAGTCCGATCGTGCAAAAAATTCTTGTTTACCTTCTACGTAAAGTTTGCTCTTTTAAGAAGACAACAAGACGCGTACCTTGTTATACTCCAATATATTTTATAAATTTAAACGAAGTTTCCTTATAAATGTGGATGAGATAAGTCGTACTACTAAATTGTAACATTCCGTTTAAAATAACGAAGTTATAGGTTACTTCCGGTACACTGGATGTGGCAGTCATCTTGAAATTATTTTAAATCGAAAGATTGGGATGAATAGCTCCTACACGCAAAATCTCAGAAACGTACGAAACATGAAACCTAAACATTTCTAACGGTCTAGTTGCGCGGAATTTCATGTACAACAAAAAGCTGTGCTCTGACATATAGAAGGTCATAATTTTTGGTAATTTCTCCACAGATTCTCATCCTGCGTACCTTGTTGTCTTCTAAAAAGAGCAAACTACGTAGAAAGTAAAAAGGAATTTTTCTGCGACTCTCCACGGATATTGAATGAATTTTTGGTTCACATTTTGTCTAAAAAAATCCTTTTTTTTTTACATATTATGGATCATTGTTTTAACCTCTTAAGCGCTTTTTACATTGAGCGGATGTGGACAACCTGGTGTGCGATTCATGTTGCACCAGTATCGTCATTTCTTTCTAATTTTGTTTTCATAACAAAGGACGCATCGTTTTGTCGGCTTTTGTTTTGTTGTAGGTGGAATGAAATCTGGGAAATGTGGCTGTAGTAACCAAGAAGGCCTTGGTGTTCTTGATCGGTCTTCTGAAAGATTTTTTTTCTTTAGCATGTTTTTCGACAAGCATTTCACCCAGGTCCATCAAAAAATGTTTTCTATCATCAAGTTTTCTATGAATTTGGTAACAATTTATGGCAGTTATGTCCAAAAAGTGGCGGAATATTTTCATGTGAAATTTTTTAGTCTCTTTCTGGCATCATTTCTGACAATCGTCCGCTAAGTCTACACCGCCCATGCTTGTGTTGTATTCTACAACTGCTATAGGCTTTTTTACTGTATGTCCTCCTTTTAAAATTACATCTTGAGTGTCATTGTCGTGGAAGGAGCTTACCGTTATTATATTTTTTTTGTCTTTCCATTTCAACATCATCTGCTTCTTTCTAAACTGTGCAATTTGTTCACATCTTGCTACTTTTGTGTTTTTAACTTTTTCTGGGATTCCTCTCCTGTTTGATCGGACAATTCCTACACAGTCAGTCTTACATTTCGCTAGTTTATCACTGAGATCAATATTTGAGCAATAATTATCTAAAAATAAACAGTAGTCACTTCCCAGAAGTGAATGTGTAAGTTCCAAATCCAGGATAGTTTTGGAACTTACACAGATTCATAGAAGATACCAGTTCATCAAGGTAATGAGAACCATATAACGTATCATCACCAGTGTATATAATGAAATGTGGTCGAGGAAGACCAGAATCACTCCAAGGAATGTCAACAAAAGAATTATTTTTATTTTCACTTCCAAAATTGTGATCTGAAGAATCACCAGAAGCAGCGTTGTAACTTTCGCTGTAATCGTCTTCCGTATCGGAATCTTCAGAATCACACATATTTACATCTATTTTTTTTTGCCATGTCTAAATGATAAGAACAAATAATAATTTCAATTAGAAATTATTAGAGTTTAATTACTTTTTCTGTATACTAATTTCACAATTTGCGTATAATTAAACTAATACACTCAATACGTGGAGCACCGAATAACAGCGTAGAAATGTGTTTTAAAAGCGAACAGCGAATTAAAACGTGAAACCAGTTCAAACATGTGTTAGACCGAAATCTATACTAGCCAAAAATAGAATATACGTGGCGAAAATCATCTTGTCTATTGAATATCACTTTAATTTCTAATATGCGAATATATCCGGCATACCCACTTCATGATGATGATTATATACGACATAAGTCCTTAAGAGGTTAAAACTACCGAACCAATTGGAAAAAGTATTAATAACATTTATTGGCTACACAATACTCATTAATTTGATGAATAGCACGACCAGATCGGTCATATCTAACTTGAGATATGCTGCAAATAGTCAACATACCCCTTAAAAAAAAATCATAGCTCCAAAACGTATCCATAGAACAAATTTTAAATGTGATTTTTGGGTTTAAGGAACCAAACTATATAAGAAAAATACAGTGGCGTCAAATGTACATTTTATGAATTTTTTTTTGTAGACTAGTGTTATTAAAAATTAATAAATTCTTTTAATAAGCTTCTTTTGACACAACATATAAAATAAATAATAAATTGAACATTGTCCCCATTAAGACGCAATGAATCATATGGTTTTATTTAGAATGGGATATACAATCCAATTTTAATTCTTGAGTTCAATGATTTCTCTTTTTTTTATGACTCATTGTATACATTGCTTTGTATAAAGCTTTGCTGTACCGCTTTTGGACGGCATTAACAAAATTATTTCTAAAATTTTTAAATGGAATTAGAAATTAGTTTGTTGGTTCGTTTTTGTAATGAAATAAATTTATACGTAGGCTCTAGATATCGTAAAACAGTCAAAAATGGCGGCACTGCTCGGCACAAACGAGCGGCGTAAACCGGGTTCAGCCTCAAAAGATAAAAATTCAAGGAGAGGATCAAGGGAAAGTCTGGACATGTCTTACGACGGCGAAGAGGTACGTAATAAACACAATCTATCTTTCAAAAAAATTTTAAAATAATTAAAGAAAAACAATCAACACATCGCTTTTATTAGTAGATTTAGAACGCTTTCGGTCTGTTTAAATGTTTCTTTTTTTCACAAAATTCGGTGCTTTCTTTTATTATGTTTTTTTTTAAATTTTAATAATAAAGCACTTCATAATTTTCTTTTGGTAAGTCAAAAAAAATTTGTGTTTTAAGACTGTTATAAAAAGTCGTAGTGATTTTTTTATTGTTTGTTGCAACTTTTTGTGTTTAAAATCAAAATTTATCAACTCCATTAAATTTAAATAAGGTGTTAAAACTATTATTTGTTTTTTCAAATTTTATTTTAATTTTATTAGTACAGTTTTAGATTTAAAACAACTGAAGCAACAATTTCTTATAAACTTTCTTTTTGTTTTTGTTGTTAACAGTCCTCAAACCCTGCACGTACCCCGGACGCCGAAAAAGGTGGATTAAAAACAAAATTGTTCAATGCACTCGGCATAAATTCGCCGGTTTCAAAACCGAGCTCTTAAGTTCTAATTAAAAAAAAAACATCTCGTTTGAGTTTCTACCGACTGCTACTTATTATATCGATTCTACCCATTTTTATAACAAAAAGATATACGAAAATGGTGATTTTAATCCTTCACTCGATGTTCATTAACTTATTTAAGTAATTGTTTTTTTTTTCTGGTTAATTCTTTTTGATTTTTTTTACTTTTTAACTTTGCGATTTTGTTTTATTTGAGTACATTCCAAACAATGATGAGTAATGCTTTTATTAAAAGGCGAAATAAAAATGAGATGAAGGAATTTTTAAAATATAATAATAACGTTCCTAAAATGATTAATCAATGATTTATATAAAGAATAATATCGAAGGGGTTAACAATTTTGAAGTGTGTTCAAAAAATTGTTTTAATCATGTAATTTTTAATTTTTTAAAAGCATTTATGTGCACAGAATTTTTTAAACAATGGTATTATATTGAAATTAATTTTTACAGTATTGAGGGGTTTAAATGAGCTTAACATAAAAAATTGATTAAAAGAATTAAGAAAAAATTTAGTTATTATTTAATTATTTTAAGGTATTTCGGTTGTGCACACACACAAAAAAGCCTATATAATATAATTTATTTTAATTAGTCTCAATTATTATACTGAATAATGCAATTTAAATTAAAAAAATAATAATGTTATTGATAGTGTGATAGCTTCCATATTTTTTTGCTTTTCTTTAGATACTTCTAAAGATAAAAAATTTAAAAAAATATCTTTATTTATTATAGAATCTGTATTATAAAATCAATTTTAACTTAACGATGGAAATTACAATGTCAATTAATTAAAAGAAAAAAAATACAAAAAAAAATATTAATTAAAAAGAAAATCGAATCCGTGCAATTTCTGTTCTGTAACAAAGATTTCCAACATTCTAAGATTTAACTAAAAAATAGTCTTCTCTAAAACTTAAGTGGCGAATACATTTGAGTTTTCGGAAATCTTAAAAAACAAACTGAATCAGACGGCTTCCAATTGAAAGAAAACGTTCGTTTCGTAAAGAAAGATTTAAAAAAAACAATACGCTGCATGTGATAGAAATGTAGTAGGCATTTCGTATTATAAGATGTTTTAAAAATAAAAAAGAATATATTAAAATGAAAGTATAAGTATACAGATAAAGATCACAACGAACACATTTGGTTCTTCCAAATAAAACATTAACTTTTTACTTTTTACTGAAACCATTTTTGCACATTAAAAAAGATAAGATAAAACATAGAGGTAACTGCAATGTTAGCGAGATTTTTAAAAAAACAAAGAAAATTAAGGACTATGTTTGTTAACTTTTGTTTAAATAAATATCTTTATTAGAAAAAAATTTAAAGTTGTTTTCTTTTTTTACCTTTCATCATCAAGCCATTTATATTTTGTTATTTCTTATTTAATTTACCTTTATTTTATTATTATTTAGCATGTATTGTATATTTTGGTTTATTTTTAAATTTATTTTTATTTTTTAATTCATCATTAACTTCATGGAGTTGATAAAATTTAACACTTTTTCAGCTTCTTGTTCACGTATAAATGTATTTGAAAGTTTGTTTCGTGTCGTTTTACGCTTTTTAATCACTTTTACATTATTTTTTATATATAGGATGTTTGGGAATTTCTTTATCAAATTGTAGAAGATTGAGGCGTTTAATTTGTTGACAGTGGATTTACCATTTTTTGTTAATAATCCACTTCAAAATAAACGGCTTAATTTTATATTGCAAAAACTTCGGAAAAAATTGTTTTGGATCAGCTCTTTTCTCTGCTTCCTTTTATACTAAAAAGTAAATGCGCTTACTTTCGCTCTAAGGAGAAGAAAAGATATTTCTCGCATTAATCTCTTCTTTTATATAAAAAGGAACATAGTTTTTGAGGTACTGCTTCAGTAATGAATGTAATTATACTATATAAATACTAAAAATGGTTTAATACTTTAATTGCTGTAACTAACATAATACATAGAGTTGACTAATTAGGCCACTTTATTATAAAAAGGACCAGAACAAAAAAGATTGCAGTGGTAAAACTTCAAAAGAAATGGAAAGAATACTTTAATACCGTAAAATCTATGAAAGAAGAGGATAATGTTTATCTCTCAAGAGGATTGATTCAATAAAATTGAAAATGGCTATGAAATATTTAGTCAAAAAAAATGAATATAATTGACTGAGCTCATGAATCCTGCAAATTCTTGAAGAGAAGAGGAAAAATTGGATCACATTGAAAAAAAAAGTTATTTCATTAATTATACTAGCTAGATGTTTCAACATTGTAGCACAAACTGCGTAAACATTAAGGTGGAAATGAACTTCATCGTTCTCATGACATGGTGACTTCATGATAAGGTGTTGACAATCTTCAATTCTTCTACTAATTAAATGTAGTTTCTGATTAATACACATGTCTCAATAATTTTAATTGAAAAATTTAGGACAGCATAACTTTTCTGTTGATAAAGCAGAACGAAATTTTATTCAAACATTAACATACAACAATGCACAATCAAAGTTCGAAGTATCCACCCTTCACCTTTATATAGACTTGCAGACGCTTGGAGAACGTAGCGTGGTGGAGAGGTACCCATGCCTTCTGAAGGACGCGCTTCAGACTGTCAAGATTCTTGTGGTACATGCCTTACTCTCAAGGACCGACCACATGGCAAAGTCAAGGTTCAAATCAGACATCAGTGCTGAACCTTAGCCTTCTGCGTGGGCGTTGGTACTTACCTGCTAGAACGTCCAGGGGCGTCTGTTGAAGTGAGATTGACTCCAAAGAAGCACTTCTTTTATCAGAATGTCATCAAGGTAGTTCTGGGAATTGATCTTGACCTTGATCCACTAAAATCAGCGGTGTTTCGGTGTTTTCCCAGTCGAAGTCACTCCGGTCTAAATTATGAGGTTCCTGAATCATTTGCGCCAGTTATGTTGTTTTGGCAGTTGTATGTTTGCTCAATAGTGAATAACTTCTCGTCAGTGAAGAGGATGCCGGTGAGAAGCATTTCAGAAGTTCGCGACATCTTTGTTTAGGTTTCCTTCATAGTGCGAGTCTTTTACATCTTGATGCTAATAACGCTCAAATGATGTTACACAATCCTGTGCGCAGGATCAATTTACGGTTGATATTTAGCTCCTTAGCCTTTTTTCGGAATGATCTATGGTCTTCTACTTCTGGGACGAACCTCGATACTAGCGGACTCCTGAATACTACGAATTGCGCATTGACCTCTACGGGAAACAAACAAAGGAATTCTTTGGATTTTTGGGGGAGTCTTATAACAATAAGAAAAATATGCAAGGAAAAATTCACATTCATTCAACAAAAGCGAACAAAGTTACAACATCGCAAAGTTAGGCTCTTGGACTTCTGTTCCACCCTGTATGGCATAAACAATACCAATGTTTCTGGCGAAAATATTTTTCTTTGTGTAAATTTCATACTTTTAATAAACGAATCTGAGCTTAAAATTAGCTTTTAATTAATTCGAATTATGATTCTGGTTGTGTGACTCAAAAGGTGGCAGAAAAGATTTGCTGATATAGTCCAAAATGTTAGTTACAACTTCTTGGGCAATGCTTGAACAGCATCGTTTCTAGCAAATCAAGTTTGTATAGACACAAAACTGCATATTATTGGATTTGGATCAATACTCAAAATCTATTATGTCTCCTAACTTGATAGATGCATTCATCTCCTGTTCTAAAACTCTGCTTTTCATTAAAATTACATCATATCACTCTCGGCTTTATATAAAACTGCATCAATGGGTGTATCAAGACTTCAAAACCACATAAAATCTTCATATATTCTTTATAAAATCTGCATTGAGTTTATGAAATATGAATCAATCCATAACGAAATTTCCATTATGCCTAATGTCTTAATAGATGCAGCAAGTCTACATGATGTTTGCATCAGGACAATTCCATACAAAGCGTATGTCACCTCTGTATCAAGTGTATACGATGTTTCTATTAAGTCAAACTCGTGTAGAGTGAAGACTATCAAGTCTGCATCAACATTGCAACATGTCTACTACAAATGCTGCAAATCTGGGTCTACGAGTGTACCAAAACTCCAAGACCGAATAAAAAATTCGTGCAGCCTTCCACTTCATCAGCATTATACTTCAATTATATGTCACACCTGCAAGAAGTCTCCATCATGTCTTGATGAACTCGAAGGAAATCAAATGTCTATCAATTACACATCAAAACGATATGTAGGTGTGGAAATATACACCTCTATCAAGTCTACTTTATACTTTTATCAAACTGGCATCGAGACGATTCCGCATAAAGTCTACATTGTCACTTCATTAAGTCGTCATCACTGAAATCATCAAATCTGATTCCGCTTAACTTCCGATTCACAGAAAATTGTCAGGTAAGATGGCAAAATCGTTTCTGTCAATCTGTGAAGGTGCATAATTTACACATTTAACTTAATTCAAGAATCACAAAAAAATGTTCTTTCATGTTTCGTAATAAAAATGATGAAATGGTACAAAAGAGTACGAAAAATGAAGATTATGAATAATGCTATGCCTTTTTATCCTTTGGCGAGGGCTACAAGAAGGAAAAAATTTTCTCTTTGCATTTCTTATTATTCCATAGTATTCTTGTGAGATTAGTTTCCTCAAAAATTGATAACATTCATTAGTTTCTGTGGTATTTGTTGATTTATCTTATAAACTGTTTGTTTATATCTTACTGCCTGTTATGGAGAAGTTTTTTTTTTTATTGTATTTCCTAGCCTTTGTTATTTCATTTGAGCCACATGCACCATAATGTCTTCGTCACCATCACAACATCTTTCATTTCAACTTCCGTTGGCGATATTTCCATTGCTACATTAGCCTCTTACATTTTAGTGCTAGAAATGATTTTTCATTCCTACTTAAGTTGAACACTTCTACCTCATATCTTTGAATTGTTATTGCCAATTGGACTCAATATTTCGTTACGAGTGTTTTAAGTATATCTGAGTCATCAAGTTGTTGTTGAAGCAACATTTATTTTGTTTTGATCTATTCTAGTAGGCGAGAAGTTCCTGCTATATCTGAGCCTCATTAAACACAAACTAGGGATTCTGCAAAGGCTTCTGATCCAATCGTGCACTTATCTTTAAGATACATATATATATTATTTATGGCCTTCAGAGTGTTGCAATAACACAAGATATATTTCATCGCCTCGTCTCTTCGTCGGGTACACAAAGAAGATATTTAGGCTATTCCAACTAAATGCTACAATATGTTAGAAATGTCATGCAAAGCTGATACAATCTCAAGTATCCGTAAATCTTGGCGTAAAATTTAGACAAAGGAAATTTCCAAACACCTATATGTATAATCTGATTTTAAGATCTCGTTTTCAATAACAATCTTTTTTACTAGTTGGAGATCTAAATGTTTTAAACTTCAAATTAATATCTATATTCATATTTGAAAACGGGTTTTAAAAAAAGGTTATTACTTTTATTTGCGTATTTGTCTTTAAAATTGATATATATCGGTATAGAGCACGAAACTTGCAAGTACACTGAACTATATCAAACACACTCTACCTGTATCTGTGGTCAACTTACTTAGTGTCCTTTCGGGAAAGAAGGAAAAACCGGGAAAAGACAGGTAAGTATTTGAAATGCACATTTATTATTATTCGTGCATGTTTTTGTGCAGTCGGCAAGTATTGTTTTAATTATTTTTGTGTTACTTGAGCAATTTAGCTATCTTATTAATTTATTAAGGAAAAAATCTTCAAATTTTAAATATGTTTATGAAAGATTTTCAGAGACATAAAAGAAGATTGTTTTTTCTTCTAGATGTTGTCTTTAAATTTTGGCTTTCTAAATGTTGCTTTAAAATCAAAAGACAGAAATTCAAGGAATTATTTAATTTAATTAAATAAATTAATTTCTATTTTTTATAATTGTTTTGTAAATTCTTTTTTTACAGAACGAAACAAGAAAGGCCCAAGTCAGAGCACATTAAATACTCGAAAATGTCTCCACAATCTGGCCAAGTTTCCTTTCACATTTAATCTTATTAATATTTATTCCATTAACGGTATTATTATTGTACATTATAATTACAACATAAACTAAAGGTGTGTGGATATTTCAAGTTATTTTTTATCTTTTTTTTTTAGTTTTAAAATAACTTTTGGCCGGTATAGAACAATTTTTTACTTCAACATTTTTTTATATTGCATTTTCTTAAGATTTTCATATCAAGAAGATACACAAAAAAACGAAAACAAACTATTAAGATATACTATCAACTGTAAACTTAAAAATTCACAAGTTATTACAAAAAAAAAACGTTCGCTACAAAGCTCGTTGTATTTTCCAGCTTCTCAAAAATAAAATAAGATGTGGTAAGCTTGTGATGTACTGATGATAATAATAATTAAAGTTAATTTAGCTTCACCATTTCACTTTTACATTTTTTTAATTATTATTTTATTGTACTCATAAGTAATTTATTTATAATCATAGTATTAGGAAAGGTCTAGGTTTTGTAGTTATTTTGTATTTTATTGTTAATAATGTTAATATTATTAAGGAAAGAAAATGGGATATTTGTAGTGCTTCTTTTTTGCTAATGTATTATTTATGGATAATAAAACAATATATAAGAATAATTATAGTGTTTTTAATAAGGTTATTAATTCATAAACTGTTTAAATGAATAATTTTAATGCACACAAATCTCAACAGCTATCCACTTCGTTGCGTTGTCCAAGAACAGTAAAATCTAAGAGGCCCGTTCGTGACGTCACGCATAGGGTAGCAACAACTATTTCACTACTTCTTGGAAAAATACTAATATACCATATGATTATAACAATATTTCCTTTCATAAATATTAGGATGGTGCAAATAACAAACTACAATCTTTACAAAAAATATAATTTATTTCCAAATTGGCATTTTACTTATTATAGATCCATCTATATTCTTCTTTTCATCATTATGATTTAATTCTTTAAAAACGTTTGCTAAAAAAGATTTCAAATTGTTTTTCTCTTAATCAAAAAAAAAAGCAATGATAACAATAATAACATACTCTCCTGGTCGTTGAGTTTCAATTCATTGACATTATCCATTAATGTTTTTAAAACAAATTTGTACTGACAAAATATTGATTGTTTATTGAAAACATCCACACATTTAAACTTTATTAGATGAAGAAAATTGATCGATTCTTTTAAGATTAATTTGTAATCTTCTAAACATTCTAATAAAAAATATTTAAAAAATTGAAACAATTAAAAATAACATTTAACAACTCACCTTGACTTACGATTTTGTTTATTTCAATTAAAAACGATTTTGTTATTTTATGGATAATTTGTATTCCTATTTCTGTGATTTTCCTGAGACAATTACACCTTAAAATAAGTAAAATAAGGATGTATAAAATTAATTATTTAATCTCTTACTCATTATTATCTGAATTATAATACATCCACACTAAGTTATAATCAAAAATTTTATTCAGAAATGTTATTAAATCCAAAACACTCTTTATATTTTCGAATTTTTCGTTTTTATTAAAACGCTCTTTATAAATGAAGGAGAAAATATTTAATAAACAAGCATCTAAAAAAATTGTAATCATTATGATGCGATTTAATAATTTTAAGAAATAAAACCTTCATTGCAACGTAAAACTAATTGATCACTACTTCTAGAATAACTTCTTTGTGATGTTCTTGTACACAAGTTTTGAACGAAATCTTCATTAAAAACGGATTCTTTTAAAAATTCGCAAATGTATTCTAACGTTTTTAATGTGGGACGTGTAAAAATAATTTCTTTGATAATTTCTTTAACACAAAGATGTCGTTCAGAAAATTCAGGTGTAGACGTAATTTTTGTCATAAACAACACAACTGAGGACAAATAACCTGTACACTTTTCAGAGATACGCTAAAATAAATATAAAAAAATTAAAAATCAATAAATCTTATTCTTAAAACAATTTACCAACACCCCAATAATTTTTATTGTTGATTTGATCAATATAAAAATATCATCGTTATCATCAATCCTTTGAAAGATTGATTTGCGTAAATGTGGTGAATAAGGTACGATTTCGGAAAGAACGGCTATTATTCTTCGGCATTTTATGCCAATTTCTTTTTTATACCACTCCCTAAAAGTAGATAACAGCCAAAATCAATTAGTTAATTAAAAAAAAATTAATTACTCGTTCCCGAAAATAGAAGAATTTTTAGATAATTCCTCCTGCTTTAAATCTAAATAAAGACGATCTCTTTGTCTAATTGTTTCTTCTTGAACATCTTGTTCTAAAACATCCAAATTTTTTAAGAAACTTTTTATTAATTGCAATGTAGAAGAAAAGATCTAAAAACAATATGAGTATTCTTATTTTTATTTCTTATTACTATAGATGTCCACAAATAATCTCGATATAAGCTAAAATTTTGTTTAATGTATACTGAATGTGAGAAAATTATATTGTCAATATAATTAAAGTATCATACAGGAGAACACTTTGTTTCTGATTGTCGTAACCTAAGCAGAAACAATAACAAATTTATTGTAAACATTCTGTCCACACCAAGAAAACTCATTTCTACATATCTACATCAGGTTAGTGTATGTCATCATATTCAGTATTTGAATACAATGTGGTTCGATGATGATTTACAGGCGTCAGTAGCTGCAATTATTATTGTTTTGCAAAACCAGACCCGGCAGACTCTTTTAGAAAGAAATAGATATGGTAGCATGCGCCTTATGAGTCCATTAATCGATAATGGAAATATAAAGATATTTTATTTTTCTATTTATTTCATCAATATCAGCGCCAATCGCTTTACTAATTTCCACCGACAAATCTTGTTTTGTGTAACGATCTTTAAAATTATTGTCACGTGGGTTCCACAAACACTCGACATTTTTGTATATCTTAATTAAATGTGTAAATATATTCGGTAGACCACTGGAACGACATAGTTTCTGCTTTTCACAGATGATTAACCAAGTTACAGCGTGTCCACACTACGTCTGAAACAAACATGTTTCTAAATTTCCTAATGATATTTATCGCTAAACACGGAAACAAGCAACTTGTACATTTTGTAACATTTGTTTCTGCAACCAACAATAAGGAACATCCAGAAACTTTGAGATCACAGTTCCAGGAACAAGCAACATAAACACAATGTTCTTTCAGACATCAGTTCTGGTCAGGCATCAATTTCAGTTACCATCCGTTTGCTTTCTTTTCGTGGTTCTGTTTATGGTTATTCATCAGTTTCAACACATAAGGCGCGCGGTACACCGCTTTAAGGTCACACGCATATAAACATTTTCAGGCATTTCCAAGCAGAGCACCCCTTCATAACCAACCCAACCCCGTTTTGTGGTAAATGAGCATCCTCTCTGTGAAATAGTTTCAGTAAAAGTATTGCGTATGCCTTAATGACTTCAATGACCAAGATCATAATGAGTCTAGAGTAGTAATTTATAAGTTAGTCCTCAGCAAAGGTGTTTACAATTTCAAAGACAGCGCCGTTTGTCAAACCAGAAGACGTATTGTTGGTTAATTGTTAGATAACCCGCCTGAAGTTTTAATAGCGTCACTTAGCCTACACCGTAAAACGCTCTCGAAGAGTTTCCCTGCAGGGTCTTACAAGCACAAAGGTCTTAATGACACAACTTTCACAGAAGATGCCTTCCTTCAGAGAGCTTCTATAAATAAGGGAATTATGGTTGTTGCACTACAACTGAGCAGTCTGGGAATAAGACATCTATCAACGCTGACTTGCTGCCTGGTTTAACCTCTGTTTTTTTCATTACAAATTTATAATCCAGATCCTAAGGGTCTCAGTTAACATCTTCATTCATTTCGTCCCCTTTCTTCACATTGCTTCTTGACGCTTTTATGTTCCTTTGGATTTCTCCGCCTAACCCCGACGAGAGTCTTTTTTTTTGTAGGCTTATTTTTTGATGGTCTACAATCTCGGCTGTTCACCATTAACCTGCTAATTTATTGGTGAATCGCAAGCTTTTTTAATAATGCCACTGGGTCAGTTATGCGCGTCATCATGTTACAGCTCGAGAATATCACGACGTTCAGTCGTTTTGCAATATTCCACAGCAATGCAATTCTCTTCTTGCTTGAGACTATAATCCGGCAATCGTTTACCGTGAAACGGATGTATTGGTGGTCACTATCAAAGTATTCTTCCAGCACTTTCAAATGTTGTATAAATTCTCCATGAACTAACGCTAAAAGTGGATTCCCTTAAGTACGCGAGGTTGTGATAGTCACAAACAATATGAATTACCGTTTCGTCTTCCATTTCACACCCTCTACAGATGATTGTATTTGCCAGGTTCATGTAGAACGTCCGCTTACGTAACCTGCAGTGTCCTGCAAAAAGCTGGATGGGAGATAGAGTTGATCAACTTTGATGCTGTATTAAAAGTTAGAGGTACAAACCATTCAGGGGAGACCGGTGACTTTTTAGCAGCCCGTTTCGCCAACTTGTACCTTATTTCCGGTGTGTCCTTTCCGCCACTTTGTTGTGACGTTGTTATAAACGTTAACCTCTTCAAGTGATTGCCGATAGAACTTCACTAACAATGATATAGCTCCATGCCTACTAAGCGCCAGCATAGCCTGTCTGCTATCTGTGCAGATTATAACGTTTCTACTAACTTTTTTGGAGTCGATGATCACATTGGCTGCTATCTTTATAGCAGTTATTTCGGCCTGAGCAGTCGTGCAGTACGATCCTAGCGAAGTGGAACGGTGTAGCTGGAGTTCGTACGAGAAAATTCCCGCTCTAGAGCATCCAGTCCTCTTTGATCCATCAGTGTAGATGGTCAGCGATTTGCCAGTGCTTAAGTTGCTCCGGGTATCGTTTCAAGGAGGGTGGGTGTCGATCTCATGGCGAACGTAATTAACAGGCAGGCCACTTTTTGCAATTGATGCAGCAATTTAGCCTTATAAGCATGTTTCAGTGCTGAGCAGCAAACTATGACTCCGTGAGCTACCATGGGTTTTATCACAGACGTGTAAATCCACATTGTAAACTTCAGATTTAATTCCCTAGTATTCCCAATTGCACATCCACACTAGGTGAGTAGAATCGTTGTTTGCTTTGGTTTTGCAACTAATGTGTGATTTCCAAATCAGTCCTTTACCCAAGATAACACCAAGAGTCAGTCTTCTTATCTTACTGATGTATTAAATAGATAAGACTTAAAAATATTTTGTTCTAATAAGGTCTGTTATATTGAGGTTTTACTGTATCTAATTTTAGTCGCTCATCACCGAGTTGCCGCAACAAGAAACGTTTCGTCTACATAAGGTTAGTGTATGTTTCAGTATTTCAATACAATGTGCGATGATAATTTATAGGCATTAGTAGCTGCAATTATTATTGTTTTGCAAAAACAGAAAAAGAAAGTTCGTGAATGTTTGACTACTAGGCAGACTTTCAGAAAGAAATACACATGGTAGCATGCGCTTTATGAGTCCATTAAAGAAAGATGATTTAATAGCAGAATCCAGGATCGACTATAGAAATATAATGAACTTTTGTCGTAAGCAAACCATTTGCTTATAACCATTATATTTTTCTTTTCCCTGTAACACTGAGTCACTACATATTTTATTTTTCTATTTACTTCATCAATATCATCGCCAATCGCTTTACTATCTAATCTCGCTTTACTAATCACCACCCACAAATCTTGTTTTTTGTAGCGATCTTTAAAATTTTTCTCCCGTGGGTTCCACAAACACTCGGCATTTTTGTATATCTCAATTAAATGTATAAATATATTCGGTAGACCACTGCAACGACATAGTTTCTGCTTTTAACAGATGATTAAACAAGTTACAGCGTGTCCACACTGNTAATCCGGCAATCGTTTACCGTGAAACGGATGTATTGGTGGTCACTATCAGAGTATTCTTCCAATACTTTCAAATGTTGTATAAATTCTCCATGAACTAACGCCAAAAGTGGATTCCCTTAAGTACGCGAGGTTGGGACAGTCACAAACAATATGAATTACCGGTTCGGCTTCCATTTCACACCCTCTACAGAGGGTTGTATTTGCCAGGTTCATGTACAACATCTGCTTACGTAACCTGCAGTGTCCTGCAAAAAGCTGAATGGGAGATAGAGTTGATCAACTTTGATGCTGTATTACAAGTTAAAGGTACAACCGGTTCAGGGGAGGCCGGAGACTTTTTAGCCGCCCGTTTCGCCAACCTGTCCCTTATTTCCGGTACGTCTTTTCCGCCACTTTATCGTGACGTTGTTATAAACGTTAACCTCTTCAAGTGATTGCCGACAGAACTTCACTAACAATGATGTAGCTCGATGCCTCCTAACCGCCAGCATACCGTCTGCTATCTGTGCAGATTATAACGTTTCTGCTAACTTTTTTGGAGTCGATAATCACATTGGCTGCTATCTTTATAGTAGTTATTTCGGCCTAAGCAGTCGTGCAGTACGATCCTAACGAAGTGAAACGGTGTAGCTGGAGTTCGTGCGAGAAAATTCCCGCTCTAGAGCATCCAGTCCTCTTTGATCTATCAGTGTAGATGGTCAGCGATTTGCCAGTGCTTAAGTTGCTCCAGATATCGTTTCAAGGAGGGTGGGTGTCGATCTCATGACGAACGTAATTAACAGGCAAGCCACTCTTTGCAATTGATGCAGCAATTTAGCCTTATAGGCATGTTTCAGTGCTGAGCAACAAACTATCCGTGAGCTACCATGGGTTTTATCACAGACGTGTAGATCCACATTGTAAACTTCAGATTTAATTCCCTAGTATTCCCAATTGCACTTCCACACTAAGTAGTAAGAGTAAGACTTAAAAATATTTTGTTTTAATGAGGTCTGTAATATTGAAGTATTACTGTATCTAATTTTAGTCGCTCATCACCGAGTTGTCGCAAAAAGAAACTTTTCGTCTACATCAGGTTAGTGTATGTTTCAGTATTTCAATACAATGTGCGATGATAATTTATAGGCATTAGTGGCTGCAATTATTATTGTTTTGCAAAAACAGAAAAAGAAATTTCGTGAATGTTGGACTACTAGGCAGACTCTTTTAGAAAGAAATACACATGGTAGCATGCGCCTTATGAGTCCATTAAAAAAAGATGATTTAATAGCAGAATCCAGGATAGAGAATGGAAATATAAAGAACTTTTGTCGTAAGCAAACCATTTCTTAATAACCATTATATTTTTCTTTTCCTGTAATACTTAGCAACTACATATTTTATTTTTCTATTTACTATTATAACGTTTCTGCTAACTTTTTTAGAGTCGATGATCACATTGGCTGCTATCTTTATAGCAGTTATTTCGACCTGAGCTGTCGTGCAGTACGACCCTAGCGAAGTGGAATGGTGTAGCTGGACATTATACGAGAAAATTCCCGCTCTAAAGCCTCCAGTCTTCTTTGACCCATCAGTGTAGATGGTCAGCGTTTTGCCAGAGCTTAAGTTGCTCCAGGTATAGTTTCAAGGAGGGTGGATGTCTATCTCATGGCGAACGTAATTAACAGGCAGGCCACTTTTTGCAATTGATGCAGCTATTTAGCCTTATAGGCATGCTTCAGTACTCAGCAGCAAACTATGGTTCCATGAGCTACCATGGGTTTTATCACAGATGTGTAGATCCACATTGTAACCCTCAGATTTAATTGCCCTTCGACACTGGGTGGGTAGAATTGTTGCTTTTTTTGGTTTTGCAACTAATGTGTGATTTCCAAGTCAGTCCTTTGCCCAAGATAACAGCAAGATATTTCACCTCTGGAGCAAAGGTTAATGGACTGTTGCAGCAATGGGGTGGTGTTAAGTATCCCAGTTTCCTCTCTTTAGTGAAGAGAACAATCTCAGTCTTTTTATCTTACTGATGTATTAAATAGATAAGACTTAAAAATATTTTGTTCTAATGAGGTCTGTTTTAAAATTAATGAATGAAATGAAATGAATGATTGATAAAATCATTCATGTGCTCAGCAAGCTACACTTATAAGGAGATAATTTATGGACATACTTTACAAGAATATGATAAAAATCTTACTTTATCAATAATTTCTGTATAACAATCATTATTTAAATCGTTTTGGGTACAATTTAACAAAACAGAAAACGAAGAAAACAAATCGTCAAATTTAAAGTGATTATATTCGCAACTTGCTTTATATTGTTGATGAATTTTTTGTTCATCTTGAACATTGTATTTATTTAAATTCAATTTGAAATCATAAAAATGTTCGATTTTTGATAGTTTAAATATATCCTCATCAATCTTATTTCTTAAAGGATAATCTATAAGTTCCCCACAATAGTTATTAAGCTTTAAATCATCATCTCGAATATTTTTATTCTTCACATTTTGAGATAAATTCAATATTCCATTTAAAGTAACATCCCCGTGTTTGGTAACTTCACTGATTTTATGCTTTAAATTAACAACTTCTAAGTTTTTAAAATCTAAATCACTTTTTGTTGAAAGTAATTCTTTATTTATCAGTTGTATTTTCTCCATCCATTCCTTTTCTTTTTTTTGATGCTCACCGGTCAGGTTTAAACGAACCTGCTTTAATTGTTCCCTTAGCATAGTTATTTCACCTTCTTTTATTGTATAATCAGTTTTTAACTTTTTAATTTCGTCTTGTAAGTCTTCCGAATTAATAGGCTTTGTTTTAAGGGGGTTTGACACTCCATTTGAGGTAGTTTGAGTGGATGTAATAATATCATTTTGTTGAAAAAAACTGTAGTTGGGAAGAATTGAAACGTTATTTCTTTGAATAGGCCCAGGAGTGTTCTTAAATTTTTATTATTTATTATGATTTATAACCTCAAAAAAATTAACTTACTTGTTCGCAAACTTGTGAAGCTAATAAAAGGCAATCTTCAAGGTCGTCCGGGTTTAAATCTTCGCCCCATAAAGCGTCAATATTCGTTTCTTCTAATTTAAGTTTTTTTGAAGCACTTTCTTGATATACATTACTTCGTTTTGTCATAGCTAAAAATGTTTGGCGGTTTTTATATCACTTATGCGATAGTACATATATTTTAAAGTTAATTAATTTATTAAAAGTAGCTAACAAACATAAAGTACACTTAAAGTAGTTTTTTTTAAACACTTAATACATATTTAACAAAATTGTTGTTTATGACACTTAAATTTTTTTTAGGTTATGTTGAAACGTCAATATTATTCTATTTTATGATGTATAATGACAGAAAAAAGTTTTTGAACGTTACAATATAAAGTTGCACTTTTTTGAGTTTTTTTATGAGACAATATTATTTTATTATTATTTATAAAACAACCTTACTATTCTGAAGAAATGAAACACGCTAACCTCAAAAAATACTTTTGGCTTTATATCACAAAATGTATAATTAGGCCTGTTTTGGTTCAAGAAGGATGAATGATAAAAAAGTTAAACCAGTTTAGTTTTTCTTTATTTTCAATTATCCAAATCAACATTATCCAATTTCTTACTACAACTTTTAAAATGTACAGGAATGTACAGTCTCGGAAACTATAGAGTTAGAAAAAAAGTAGCTTACATGTCATTCTCGTTTTTCGAGAAACTGCTAATGCCAGAAACCTCAAAGCGAGGTCAGAATTGAAAATATCGTAAAACCAGCAAGTGCAATTATCGTGGTTATTTTATTATTGTAGGTGGAGTATTATAATTTATAACTAAGACGTTATATGGACACTTTTTTTTAAATTAAAGCAACCACTGATTATTTGCTTATTAAATTCCTTATTTTTTTCTGAATACAAAAATATGGGGTAAGATAGGTCTATTTCTTATTGTTTTAGAATAAAGCTAAGAACACGGTGTGTTTACTTATACTTATAAAATGAATACGTATATGTAGTACTAGTACAAACCTAGAGATGGCACTGCGAGCGCTATTTGCAATCTGTATTATCTGCACAAAACAAAGTGTGCATGCGTGGTTATACTTTCAACAAGTATCAGTGTTTTGTTCGACAGATTCAATCATTACTATTATGCCAAAAGAGGCTTGTCAAACTGCCCAAATTTTAAAATTTTTTGATAATGTGTTTGACTCGGTGAATGGAACCTTNAGCTCAATTTTTTGATTTTTAAATATTTCATTGTTGTTCTAGATTGTTCTAGAGTTGTTCTACATTGTTCCAAAGCGGCAAGCAGAGAAAATAAAAACTCGGCGAGAAAAACCGAAAATATTGGTTTTTTGACTAGCCCCCCATTTTTGGAAAAATCAAATTTTCTTTGTTGTTCTGGGTTTTTCTAAAATAGGTTTGGCTGCCAAAATGTCTAGTTGATTGCTGTGACCATAGTTTTTCTATTTTCAATTCCATATTACAAATATACACTTATTATACCTAAAGCAATCTGGTACAGCTATTATTTTCAGTAGAGCAACTCTATAAGGGACACTTTACTCTTTGAAAATTAAATTAGTTAATTAGTTTTTGGAAGTTTCAGTCAGTAATTCTTGCGTTAGCGGTTTTAAATTACACAATAAGAATTAATACACATAGAACAATCTAAAATAACTCAAACTTTGCTGATTCAAATTGTTTTAGATGTGTTTTACCTTTAAAGTAGGAAAAAAATGTTTTTCTGGCTACACAGACATTAATTATGCAAAATCGTATCTTCTTAAAAATACAGCAAAATGCAGACCTAACACGAAAAATGATAAATCAACAAATGAATAATCCAACTATTCGATCAGCAAACAAAAATACACTCGTTAATTTCTCACTTTCTTGCAACTCAATCAGTAAGTGGTAAAATCACTGGGTAAAACGCTTCTTTGCAGATACCAAGGTTTGCACCAACGTACACGGCATTTTTTTCTTTTTTCTTCTTCTAGCAACACTGCTGCAATTATGTAACAAACTGCGGCTCTTCTTTTTCTGTCACCCATTGAACTTCAATTATTTTAGAACACACATAGAACCAAACTTGTCGAATGAAAGGGGAGAACTGAGTAAAAATTGAAAGTATACTACACATCTGCAGTTCAGATAACTAATAGATTTTCACACAGTTATTTTCGACAGATAACTGAGCTGATAAACGGAAGATTAAGATTAAGGATTTATATTTCTTGCAATATTTTGGTATAGTTTTCAAATTTTTTCCGCCATTTTTAAACAAGTTGTGACATCATCGCTATTTTTTTCAAATAGCCCCATTTTATTATGGAATATGAAAGAGGATTTTTACTGAATTTGGTACCGCCAAAATTGATATTAGCTACATAATAAAATTTTCGAGAAGTATTGCCTTGAAGTTTCATGATTTCCCATTCATTTGAGGTAGAAAAATAGCAGTAGCCATACGTAACCATGGCAACCAGTTGTTACAGATACTTTATTAAGACAATGATTAATTTTTGATATCTGAAACTGTTCGTTGCCATGGTTAGCTATTGCTATTTTGCTATCTCAATTGAATAGGACATGTTTAATAGGATTGAGGTCAGGACTTAACGCCGGACATTCCATGATCTGAATTCCACGTTCTTGCAAAAAGTTTCTAGTGATGCCGGCGGTATGCGGCTTTGCATTGTTCTGCATTAGGATGAAATTTTGAGCGACTTCATATGAAGCAGGCACCACATGGTTCTCCAAGATATTTTCGATGTAATTCATGGCATTTAGTATACCAGGAACAACAACAAGATCAGTTCTGTTGTCTATAGCGATTCCAGCCCAAACCATAACAGATCCCCGACCAAATCTATCCACTTCCTGTATAGTAGCGGCTGCGTAGCGTTCACCAGGACGTCTATATACACGTACTCGACCGTCGCAACGAGTTAATCGAAATCTGGACTCGTCTGTAAACAGTATAGGCGTCCAGTGACGAAGTTGCCAATCTCTGTGATCCAGAGCAAACCTCATTCACGCTGCTTTGTGATGCTGCGTAAGGCGTGGTTCCAAAATAGGTCTTCTAGGTTTCAAATTCGCTTCTTTTAATGTGTTTCTAACAGTTTGATCAGAAATTTCTATTCCATGTGCTCGTCTTAGGTGGTTTAGGAGGTCTCGTGCTGTGGCAGTACGCGTACGTAGATAGGAAAAGTCTAGAAATCGGTCTTAATTTTGAGTAGTTTTTCGATTTCGACCTTGTCGAGCTTTTCTAACATGTTGGCCAGTCTTCCGAAACCGATTCCATAAACTCGGAATAACAGAAGGGGAAACTCGAAGATCCGTGCTAACATGTCGAGTGGCCATGCTGAATAAGAGTAACAGCACGAGCAACTTGCACTTTACTAAGATGCCTCATGACGGTTCTAATCAACGAAAATTGACAACTGAATTCATTTGTCATCTTTAGAAGGGTTCATTCGCAAATTCAATGCATACTTGACATTTTTCCACTTTGTTTTGCGTTATTAATTTACATTTTTAAGTGTAACTTAGAAGTAACTGAGAGTTGTAACATTGTTTTTGTAATTTTCTTTAGTTAAATATATGCCGTTGAAGTAAACCAAATTTGATTTGTCTAGAACTATTATATATAAAAAGTTACTAATTTCGAAAAGTGTTCCCCTAATTTTTTTGAGCAGGGTATATAAATATATGTATAGTATATATAAATATCTCTCTGTGTGGGTGGGACACAGAGATATTTAGTTTTTAATACATAATGTATAATACAGATAGTATATTCTGATCGAATAATTGGATTATTCATTTGTTGATTTATTATTTTTCTTGTTAGCTCTGCATTTTGCTGTATTTTTAAGAAGAGATGATTTTGCAAAATTAATGTCCGTGTAACCAGAAACACCGTTTTTTTTCCTAGTTTAAACATATCTAGAACAATTTGAATCAGCAAAGTTTGAGTTATTTTAGATTGTTCTATGTGTTTTAATTCTTATTGTGTAATTGAAAACCACTGACGCACGAATTATTGACTGAAACATCCAAAAACTTTAATTTCCAAAGAGTAAAGTGTCCTTTATAGAGTTGTTCAAGTGAAAATAGTAGCTGTTCCAGATTGCTTTAGGGTTAATAAGTATATATTTGTGATATGGAATTGAAAATAGAAAAACTATGGTCACAGCAATCAACTAGACATTTTGGCAGCCAAACCTATTTTTAGTTATAACTTTGTATTGATGTATCCCATAATTTTGATTTTCTAGAACAATAACTAGAACAACCCAGAACAACAAAGAAGCTTATTTTGATTGAAGAGAGGTGAAGGAAAAAAAGTTAAACAATTAATTTCTCTTTATTTTCAATTATCCAAATCAACATTATCCAATTTTTTACTACAACTTTTAAAATGTACATCCCTATTTCCTTTCCTAGCAAATTTTTTATGGCACAACAAACACTCATAACGTTTTTCACCACTATGCACTGCTAAGTGTCGATTTAAATCACTTTTGGTAGCAAACCTTTTACTACACATATGACAAAACCAAGGTTTTTCTCCGGTATGTATTCTTAAATGTTGATCTAACTTACTTTGTATAACAAAACATTTCCCGCAATACGAACACATTAATCTCTTATAATCCAAGCTGTGAGCTATTCGCATATGATAAGTGTATTGTCCGCGAACTGGAAATCCTCTTGCACAAATTTCACAAATAAAAGGGCGATCTTTTGAGTGAACCGAACGGATATGAGTTGTAACTGAACTGCTTTGTGTGAATGATTTTGGACAAAATTTACATTTATAAGGACGTTCGCCAGTATGAACACGCATATGTTCGGTTAATTGAAATTTTAAATTCTTACGAACACCACAAACATTGCATTCAAAGTATCTTTGGTTATTTTCATGATGACAATTACGGAGATGTTTGTTTAAAACTGTTTTGTACAAGAATTTTTTATTGCATTTCTGGCATTCATAACCAACACAAGCATGTTTTTTATGAGCAGTTAAATTGATACGGTTTGAAAATTGTTTGAAACAAATTTTACATGTGTATTTTGAATATGATTTGGTTTTATCAGATTCATCATTTGTATTAATGTTTAAATTATCTATACTAGGTTTCAAGTCATTTACTTCTTCGTATAAATCATAATTTGATTCAATAATAATTGTTTCAAAATCTGTTTTGCAAGAAAGAGCTTCGTTAACTTTTTCTTTCAGTTCTTCTTCCGTTTTTAGACAATTGTTTTTAAAATTAACTGCTGTTAATAACAGATCTAAACATTTTGAACAGATTACCGGGTTCGAAGTTAAATTAACATCCTAAAATTACACAAATATGAATAAGTAGTGTGAATTCGTTAAAATCTTTCTTACCAATTCAGGTAAAATAAAATTAATATCATTTAAATACACACTCATATCTTCATAACATTCTTCAGGACTGTTTAAACACAATCTACAAGCCTCAGTCATTTTTATTAATCATTTAAACCAATTTTTAACGTTTTAACCTCAAAAATCCTTTGACTTTTAACTTTGACAGTTATTATCAGAGTCGCCAACTTATAAGCACTTATAATTATAGAAGTAATTATTACAATTGAGTTAATATCAAACTGCGAATGAATTTAAAACGGATTTAATTCTTATATTTTGTAAATTAAATATAATTATTATTTTATTAAAAATTAAAATAAATTATAATTATAGAAACCTGCATGATGTCATGAAGCGCCATCTAAAATTCTAAACTGTTTTATATTTTAAAAAAGAACTAACCTTACCTAATCTAATCTATCCTATTACTTAATTAGATCCAGTTATTCAAGATCGTTTGAGATACGCCTGCGTTATAACTACTTTCCTTATTATAGGAAAATTGCATACATCATTCCAGTTTAGTTCACATCAGTCTTTTAAAAGAACTAAAATGTATAGGTTAATAATACTTTTTGGTTTGATCAATGCTAGTTTTGCGGCAAAACCAATTGTTGTAGGTACTTGGGTCTTTTCTTTAGGAGGGACACAATCGGGTAAATATTCAGATAAAACGATTTCTTAGTTATTAGTATTCAATTTAGATTTTATTTAATTTGACGTTTTAAATGTCATTTTGATTTTTGACAAGTCTTTGACATTTAAGTTGATAATTTAAATTTAGCTTGGAATGATTTGAAAAATGGAGCTGACGGTGTCGATTCCTTAGTTAGCGGTTGTTCATATTGCGAACAAGGAAATTGCGGATTAACTGTAGGTTTTGGAGGAAGTCCCGACGAATCTGGGGAAACAACTTTGGATGCTTTGATTTATGATGGGTAAGAATTAAAAAGAACGATAAATAAGGGATTGCTAATTGGTTGGTTTAGAAAAACCATGGATGTTGGTGCTGTTGCTGATTTGAGACGTGTTAAAAACGCTGTTGGTGTCGCAAAGCACGTTTTGCAACACACCAAGCATTCTATTTTGGCTGGCGATCAAGCCACTGAATTTGCAAAACAAATGGGATTTACAGAAGAATCATTATCGACGAACGTTTCAACGGATATGTGGGAAACTTGGAGGAATGGAAATTGCCAACCTAATTATTGGAAGGTAAGAGAGATTAAGGATAATATGAGTTAATCCTTAGATAAAAATTATTGAGGGTTTAGATGATTATTTATTGCATTTATTTTTAATCAAGGATTTAAAATTATAGCAATCGTTATCAAATTTGTTTATATACATTATAGAATGTTGATCCCGATCCAACACAATATTGCGGCCCATATACTCCTTTAAATAGAAATAACATTCGTTTTCATAACATAGTATCAGATTCTGAAATCGATATACATTTAACTCATGATACTATAGGAATGGTTGTTATTGACAACGATGATAATATTGTAGCGGGAACTTCAACGAACGGTTTAAGACATAAAATCGCTGGGTATAACAAAAATCTCCTCTTTTAATTTAATTTTAAAACGAATGTATTTTCTTTAATTTCGTAGACGCGTTGGTGATTCTCCCATAGCGGGATCTGGAGCTTATGCAGATAATGAAGTTGGCGGAGCTTGCGCGACAGGAGATGGAGATACTATGTTAAGATTTGTACCGAGGTAGGTATTAATATCTTACAGGATGTGTCTACCTTTAGTTGTCTCAATGTTAGAAGGAAAAATTGCATTTTCATATATTATACAACAAGATAAATCCATCGAAAATACTCGATAATACGAGACGTATTGCCTAAAACACCACGAGACCGAAGGTCGAGTGGTGTTTTTTAAGCCAATATGTCGATTTCGTCAATTGCTTTTCTATGCTCTCTAGTTTCTTGAAAATCAAATCGAAGGTAAAAAAGGATGAATAAAAAGGGATAAACAAAAGCACGGACAATATTGAGACCAGTACCATCGCTAGCAAACAAGCTGGTTACATCTTTTCGTGCAAAATTCATAGTTCCCAATAAATACAGTAAAACAATGAACGCTTTTAGTTCGATTTTATTCAGTGGTTCATAAGTTGTATGTAGGTTGCGATGGCTTGAATTTTATTTTTTCATTTTGAATTTTATTATTTGCATGTACTACCAAAATATCCAGTAAACCGTCTGAAATAAATAAGCTCCACACAGATAAAATGTTTTTAAACTCAATGTTTTAGGCCTGGTCTCCACCAGAACAGTGAAGGGTTGATGGAGTATGTTTTTCTGCTTCATTGTGAGCACTCTCCCTATATACCTTATTACAATTGCATCTTCAGGTGCATTGCATATATTCAAAGCAGTTTTGAATCTAATTAATGAATCATAAAATTGGCAATAAAGATATCACGCGAATTTGTGAAAGATCTAGCTAGAACAAATATTAAACAACCTGGACTACGAAACTAGCAACAGAATTAACTATTCTAGTTGCATCGTTGTGAAAACACTTTTCAACGCTCTATAAATTGTGATCTACCCACCACGTAAATAAAGTAACAACCAACAAATTCATAATTCAACACATTCAAATCGTCAACACAGGAGATTTAGTCTACAATTCCTAACTAATCTTCAGTCTCACTCCTTTTTATTATATTTCCGAGCAACGGGGTGAATGGTACTATTATAGAGCACGCCATCTTACAAAATATCAACCCAATCGCCTTAGATGAATTTTTTTCAGATTAATCTCTAAGATCTTTCTAATAAAGTTAGGTTCTAAACTATCCTGCAGCAAGTTAACCACATCTAAAAGTGCAATTCAAGAAATCTATCCAAGTCACTACCAACATTGACATAATTTCTGCACTAATGTGCACTTATCGCTAAAGACACATACCAACTCCTTCCATCATAACCGTAATAAGACAAAATTGTATCCAATACCAAAAGATTATAAGATATATTTCCATCCCACAAGAAATAAAACTTCTAGGTACCCGCAATTCCGTAGTGCGCGAAATCCGGGAAATTAAAAACTAATTATCAAAATTATCCACATAATGACTTTCCCATTTTTTCAATTCTGAAAAAGCTTACCTCTTTACAACTTAACGCTACTATTAATGAATCAGAACTGGGCTCCACTGACAAATATAGCAAACAAAACAGTTCATAGTTAGCCAATTATCCCTTTGTACATGTGGAATGTACAACTAGCGGTAATATACCGTTTCTTCATGCAGGCTAAAATGAAGCTTAATTACAATTTTTGAGAATAAGTTAAATATATTTCAGTAGCACATTTAAACAACGTACACGAAATACAAATTAATGTTACGATTCTGCTACATTCTGCACTTAAATGTTAAGTGTAGCTAGAATAAACGAATATAAATAAGACTGCAACAGAAAAACTTGTATGACATTGCGACGCATGTGTTTCATGAATCATTTGACTAGTTTTATTATTTTTACCATTACTTCGTCAGTCAAAATGATGGACAGTTCTTACCTTACTGGTTTGGAATGTTGTTAGTTTAGTCGATTCTACCGTTTCTTATTTGAACTGAATAGTTTAGATGCATCAAAATGAGTAGGTCTTCTATACAATTAGGATATTGTTCAACCCCAAAAAGAATCGCTACTATTTTTATATAGAATAGAATCCATTAGAGAGTTTGCGTTCCTTCAGAATTTTAATTTTCTACGTATACTAATTTACTCCGTAAATTGATTTCTGCTAAGCAGAATATGTATTATTTTTATAAAAAATCTCATATTTATTTGCTCTCTCCACCTTAAACCGGAAATACGAACCCGTCATATGCAAATGCCGTCGTGAGATACGCTCGAATTTTCGTGGGATGCTTTCTCTCACTTTATATTATAAGGAATATTCCCTAAAATCAGGAACTCCAACCTTGTACCTGTCGGCACTAAGATGTGCTACGGTTGCACTAAATATCTCGACGATATTAATTTCAAGATATGATGAAAACTAAAAACATTTCATCAAATTTTTACAAGATGCCTAACTTCCAAAGCAGTAGATGTACTGCTACAACAAAGTAATCTCAGATTCAGAACATTCTGATACGTTGTAAGTTTAGTATGCTGCTAAATATAAGAATTCCTGTCGCAGAAAATCCTGAAAAGATTTGAGCGTCATAAATGGCTTTGATATGTTTCTCAATCCCTAAATCTCATCAGCCTCTCATCGGCTCCAAATAAGTTCCAAAACCTCCTATAAGGCTTCTATTAAATCCATTTGTACCGTCCCTGATTACTTCCAGTATCCATTCAATAGTTTCCACTGGTCCTGAATGATTCTCACCCATACAACTTAAACGCACCTAATTCTTCATAATAGCTCTAAATACTTCTCAAAGGTTATTAAAGGAGCCAGTTTTGATCTCCCGGAATGTCTGCCAAATGACTAGAAATTGCTTATAATATGTCTTAATTATCTAATTTTGTACTGAAGTAGTTTTACAACCTTATAATGCCTCTCAAGTACTAACCATTGCTGTTAATGGTTAACATATATATACACTCAGGTGCAAAAAAAAACGCAACAAGCTAATATTTGGTAAAGTTTGAAACGTGATAACTTTTTTATTTTTCGTTCAATTTTCATGATTGTTTTCAGCAAACTGTAGATAAAAATGTCGAATTTTATGTAAAATTTCCAGCCTTTTGTTAAATGCTGGTCATTTAGTCGGTATACAGGATTAATTGAAACGTCGTTCTAGGATCCTAATTTGATAACACCCTGTGGAATAATTTAATGTATAAATTGTTTGAAAATATAATTTTTGTTAAGAACCTTTCGTTCCCTACATTTTGTTTTTTGGTTCATATCTCTAAGTGCATTCGTTCACTTTTAACAGCGAAATGAATTTGTTACTAACAATTTACTTAAGATACTTTAATTTTTAATAAGGTGGCCTTGTTCATTGTTATTCTAATGACAGTTTGATAGCATCAGTTTGTGAGATAACCAATGAAAAGAAAAAAGGTAAGAAAAGCAAACAAGAAAAAAAACTAAAAAGACAGAAAATAAGAAAATTTATTAATGCAAAATAATTCAATTCTAACCTAAAACGTAACCCTATGTACCACTTTTTTACAAGACATTTATCTTAATGTTTTGTGTTACAACCTCTAGCTCTTATCACAGCTTCCATACGTCGATTCATGCTGTCGATAACATTACAAATGGACTGCTGCGTAATGTTTTGCCGTAATGTTAACATTGTATTTAAAAAAACAGGTTAAGTTTACTAAATTACAGTTTGACAGATTGACATTGACAGGAAACCAATTTTGTTTTTCCATAGTAGTTTTTGTTAGAAATAAAATTCTTTGATATGGATTTTTATCAAAGTAGGCCGATCATTCCGAAAATTTGTATATGGCCATAGTTTTTTATTCTGAACAAAACTTCTTAGTAACACTTTCACGTACTGTAATTAGAAAAGGTACTTTACCTGCCAGAAAAAATGTATTTCTTTCACTGCCAAGGCTCTCTTGTTTTTTAAAAATTGAAAATATGTTCAAAATTAGTCCTTAATCAAGTAGGGCTAAACCGCAAAACAATGACAATTAATATCGAAACAAAAAAACCTTTTATAAGAGTCATTTCACCTATCCGGGGACACACTATATATATTAATATATACAGTGTGTCCCCGGATAGGTGAAACGACTCTTATAAAATGTAAATTTTTTTCGATATTAACTGTCATCTTTTGGGGTTCAGGCCTGCTTGATTAAAGACTAATTTTGAACATATTTTCAAATTTTAAAAAACAAGTNGTCTGCCAAACGACTAGAAATTGCTTATAATATGTCTTAATTATCTAATTTTGTACTGAAATAGTTTTACAACCTTATAATGCCTCTCAAGTACTAACCATTGCTGTTAATGGTTAACATATATATACACTCAGATACAAAAAAAAACGCAACTAGCTAATATTTGGTAAAGTTTGAAACGTGATAACTTTTTTATTTTTCGTTCAATTTTCATGATTTTCAGCAAACTGTAGATAAAAATGTCGAATTTTATGTAAAATATCCAGCCTTTTGTTAAATGCTGGTCATTTAGTCGGTATGCAGGATCTAGGATCCTAATTTGATAACACCCTGTGGAATAATTTAATGTATAAATTGTTTCAAAATATAATTTTTGTTAAGAACCATTCATTCCCTACATTTTGTTTTTTGGTTCATATCTCTAAGTGCATTCGTTCACTTTTTAAGAGCGAAATGAATTTGTCACTAACAATTTACTAAAAAGGTAACATTTTTTCGATATTAATTGTCATTTTTTGGGGTTGCTTGGTTAAAGATTAATTTTGAACATATTTTCAAGTTTTAGGAAACAAGTGAGTGTTGACGGTGAAGCAAAAACTCCTTGTGTGTCAGGTAAAGTACCTTTCCTGTTTACACTATGCTAAAATGTTACTAAGAAATTTTATTTGGAATGAAAAGTTATGACCATATGCAAATTATTAGAATCATCGGCCTATTTTGATAAAAGCCACTGTTTTTTATTTTTGTCAATAGTATTTTATTACGATTTTTTGTTTTGAGATGCAGATTATCCGGGAGAAATAAATAAACCGTTCTTAAAATGTTCACAAAAAATTAACTGTTTATTCGCCCACAAAAGAAAACAGTTAATCAGTTTCATCGTAATTTTTTTTCTTTTTTCTTATAGTGAACACTTTCCGCTGTAAGAAATCTTTTGATTAAACGCTAACTAGTACTTCTTTTAATTCTAGTTTTTGGAAAATTTTCACTAAATAAAACAATAACCATATTTATCCATTTTTCCCCGGTTCCATAACACTATTTAAAAAACAGTTTAAGTTTACTAAATTACAGTTTGACAGATTAACATTGACAGGAAACCAATTTTGTTTTTCCATAGTAGTCTTTGTTAGAAATAAAATTCTTTGCATATGGCCATAGTTTTTCATTCTGAACAAAACTTCTTAGTAATACTTTCACGTACTGTAATCAGAAAAGGTACTTTACCTGCCAGAAAAAGAGTATTTCCTTCACTGCCAAGGCTCACTTGTTTTTTAAAAATTGAAAATATGTTCAAAATTAGTCCTTAATCAAGCAGGGCTAAACCTCAAAAAAAGACAATTAATGTCGAAAAAAATTTACCTTTTATAAGAGTCGTTTCACCCATCCGGGGACAACTATATATATATAAGAAAAAAAAAAAAGAAAAAAAAAAAGATATATATATATACAGGCTGATTCTCAACCTATACGCATAAACTTTGGGATTTATTCCTTTTGACAAATAATGACTAATAGGTGAAAAAAATTGTAGTAAACGTTTTTTAGTTTAGTTCTGTTTTTAGCAAACAGAAAAATATAATAAAATATAATCTATAAACAGAAAAACTTTTGCTGCAATTTTTCCCCTATTAATCATTATTCTCCCCAAATTGATGCGTATAAGTTGAGAATCATCCTGTATATACAATATTATAAAATTCAAAAATATACATATTTGATTTATAACTTTATATACATATTACATTAGGATATCATTTATTGAATTAATGAATGCATGTGTTATTAAATAATTTTTTCTTATAGTTTTTTAGCAGTCGAAGAAATGCGTAACGGGAAAACACCAAAAGAAGCCGCCGACGAAGCCATCGCAAGAATTTCAAAGCATTACCCAAACTTTTCAGGTGCTGTCATTGCTGTCAACAAAAACGGCGAAGTCGGAGCTGCTTGTAACTACATGGTTGAGTTTCCTTACACTGTTATGACAGATGATTACAGCGAACCACAAATATTGACGGTACCGTGCACTAATACTCCTAGAGAGTTTAAGGGAAAATATTGTGCGGGTAATGCTAAATAATGTAACATTGTTATTAAATGTTTTATTACAAATAAAATTTTTAAATCTGTTTAATCGTTGCTGAATCCATAAAATTTTATTGCCATCCCTCAAAATGCTGTGAATGACTGTAATTTCAAAGATCGTGTTGAATTATACATTTTTTAAGGTGTATAATTATGGTTTTAACTCGATTTACTCGAGTAATAAATATTTATGGATATTGCAAAATCTTTTCTCGATTAATATTGGTGAAGAACTTTATCAGAAACTGAGAAAATTGTGTTTGCTTGTGCCACTAAAAGCACTTCGAAAATCGTTTTAAACTTTTTTTATGTTTATAACACTTTTTTTTATTAAATTCTTTTTAGTGTTTGGCGTCGCCGTTGATTTTCGTAGTCTTCACTGTCGTCGTTTTTGATATCGGGTGGAGAGAGCGTGTGTGGAGAGGAAAGAAAATGAGAACCGGTCGCGGCGCTTCGTAGTCGTCAGTAGGCTGGCGAACGCGAACGGGGTGACAGCGAACGACGACGACGCGCAGTGCCCCCGCGTGCAGCATGCTGCGTCTGCCGGTCTTGCTGGCGGCCGTCGTGATGCTTTGGACGCTACCAGCGGCGCCTCCGCCGACCGTTGCGGCACTTTTTGTGCACGCAGCCACACATCATGCCACCGTTTCCGAAGCACCCGCGACTTCCGTATCCTGTCCAATCCTCCGCGACAAGTGTCGGTGTACCGCAGATTTTCTGGAGTTCGAGTGTCGCACCGCCTGTTTTACTGTCGTACCTAGCGACGTTCTTCCAGATATCATAACAAAATTGTAAGTTTTTTTTATATAAGTAGTTTTGAAAACTTGTAGAGACCAATCTAACTTTTTGTTTTAAAACTTGTGTTTTGACGAAAAGTTTTTATATCTTATATTATTTATTTTTGAAAAGTCTTGGTCTTCAAAACCAAGACTTAAATATTTTATCTTAACATTTACTAGTTGTAGGATATTTCTTCATCCCATTTACTTTTTTTATCTAATATTCTTAATATTGGCAAATATTATACAGGATGATTTATTAGCTCACCAACTTTGACATATGATAGCTAATCCAATTACAAAAAAAAAAGTTAATGAACATATTGTCCTATTTCAATAATTTACGAAATTATAACACTTTAAAGTTTTAATTTTTATATCATAATTAACTGCAACATTTTTTTTAAAACACATAAATATTACAAATATTGTTCAAAATAGCCTTCTTCTGCTAGAATACATGCTTCACAACGACGAATTAAAGAGTTCTTCAGCCGAATTAAAATGTCTGGTTGATTTCTTATTTGAGTAGCATCCATTTGTATTCTATTTAATAACTGTTCTCGTGTGTTAATTTCCACTTGATACACAATTTGTTTCATATGACCCCATAAGTAGAAATCCAATGGATTAAGGTCGGGGGATCTAGGTGGCCAAGCAAATGGTCCATTATTACGAATCCACTTGTTTGGAAAATATTGGTTTAACCACTCGATAACTACTCTTCCGCAATGAGGTGGGGCACCATCGTGCTGGTACCACATATTTTGAATTACATTAAGAGGTATGTCTTCAAGTAAATCAAAAAGTGGATTGTTCAAAAAAATCTGTAATCTACAGCGTTCAAACGTCCATCAAGTACATGCAAACCTAATAAATTGTTGTTAAATATTCCACCCCAAACTTTGATGCTGAAACGTTGTTGAAATTTCCTTGGTCTAATCGCATGCAGATTTTGTAATGCCCAGATATGTTCATTATGGTAATTATTTATACCATCTCGTGTACAACATGATTCATCTGTCCAGAGAACATTTGAAATGGGCATGTTGCTTCAATAACCATTCACAAAATGCTAACCGTTGCTGATTATCTCCTGGCTAATTATCAATGACAGCATTAATTACAGCTTCTTCGTCCTCTACATTAACATGCGGTCGAATAGCTTTTGCTGGAGCAGGATTACCTGTTTCTCGAAGTCTTCTGAAAGAATCGCTAAAAACTGAATAATATGGCAAATGACGCTGTGGAAATTTTTCTTGACATTCTCGTACTGATTGTTTGAGCATTTCCTTTGCAAAAACCATACACGAAAATTATATCAGCATACTCTTTAGTGCTATAAGCGTACATTTTGAGTTTCTTCTTGTATGTAATAATTAAATCTTACAGCAAACTGACATATTACAATGACAACTTTGTTCCTGTTGAATGTTTGATTTTACTGACTATTAATAAATTCGTTGCAGAAAACTTTAAAGTGTTATAATTTCGTAAATAATTGAAATAGGACATATGTTCATTAACTTTTTTTTTGGTAATTGGATTAGCTATCATATGTCAAACTTTGATGGTGAGCTAATAAATCATCCCGTATAAAAATTATTAAAATGAATTAAATATTGATGTATTACATCACAGCAAAAAACCATGTAATTTAAAAGCAAATCCATTTAATCAACAGTATTTGAATGGTTACTAGAAGACATTCAGTGCAAGCGTGATTCATCTTATAAATTATTTCAAGGATTTTAAAAATAGAATTGAAAATAAAGTATACATATATTGGAGTTGATCTACAAACTTCAGTAATGAAGAAAAGATGATGAAAGATCTTTCGATTTAGTTGCGAATAATGACGGCAACCGTTTTGTTTAATAAACTCAACAATATATTTCATTTCACAATTATTAGTGCAATATTTATTTTACACGCTGTCAATATGTTTTATAAGTGCCATTCTCAATTTTTGCAATCTCTGATTAATCCATTATAGAAACCAAATGTTGAACTCCGAAGTTAACATTTACCTTATTTAGTTATTAGATACAGACTTAAATGTGAATTGAACTGCTGGTTATAGTTAACTCAAAACTTGTCGCTTTGACTGCACTAACTATAATACAAATGTAGTTGTGGTAACTATTTGGTACACTTCCACAACATTAACTATTACTGATAGTAGCGGAAGTAATAAATTAAAAAAAATTAAAAAGTAGTAAATAAAAAGTTGAAGATTTCTTATAATTGCAATAAGTTATAAAATTGATTTAGACAAAATGAACTCAAATTTTTAAATTGAAAGTTCTATAACTTTTTAATAACTAACGATAGACCTAAAAAGTTCCCGGGTCTTCCATTTAAAATTCTAAAGTTACTTAACATTTTCTACAACTTTTCTTTCGAGGAAAAAGTTGTGTATCTCGACTTCTTGATGCCATTAATGTGTTTTGTCGCTTTCGTTAGATACGCTGCACAACTTGATATTCCTAAATGTGGTTATGTTATAAACTCATTGGTCATACTACAGAATGTAGTTTTTATGTGATCAACCTTGTTCTTTTAAAACAAACATGATTCTCAATATAACTTACATTCAAAATTGTGTAATGGTTCACTTAATATATTTGGACATAGTTGTTTGAAGGACCAATAAGATTTATTGTATCCCGATAGATCGGTATCAGATTTTATCTAAAGAACCTAATAAATGTGAGTATGTTGTTCAAATTATGATGAAGATATTTACATGTTCATAACTGTTTTTGCGATTATTGTATCAAATCTGGAAACTAATTTGTGATTTTGTAAAGTTTACGTATACTGAGTTTTGCAAATCTTTCAAATGCAATAAAAAGTCAAAATATTACCATATTGGCAATAGTTGCTATGGTGCAGATTATTGTAAAACGAGTGCTAGATGTCTTATAGGCTTACCTTCAGTCTTGCAGATCCTTCAACTTTCTTTTCTAGACTGCCAAGATTACGCTATAGAAAGGTTTTACATGGTCTGATGTATATGTATTAAACTCAATGATATATGACTCTTATTGCGGATTATATGATCACCAGTTTAATATAAGCTCCTTCTTCGAACCAGAACGAATACTTTTGCAATACCGAATAACAATCAGAATAACAAAAAATGTCTTTCTCCAGGCATATAATGTTATTGTTTTCTCATTTATTTTTAGTATGACACCATGCATGCATATCCTCATCTGCACACAACCAACTTGTAAATATTTCTGGTACAGTGTAATTCCGTTAGTTTGTATGAAGGCGTTCCTGGGGTATACTTATAGGAGAGTATCAAAGTGGACCAAATATTTTTTCCATGCCAGATCTTGCAGAAGCATCCAGAGCACTACATCGACACATTCCATATGATCATCGACTTCAAGTTCACTTATCACAACATCATACGATCTTATCTATAGGATCTCGATGCAGTTTCAACATCCTAAGAAATCTGGCAGCCTGGTAAAAATCGAATTGAGGACGTTCTTCATTCCAGATGCTGCATAAAAGCATAAAATATCATCTCAGAGAATATAGGAGTAAGTAACATAGGTACTAGGGGCACCAGATTCTGCCGCAGATGGTAGGAACTTATACAGCACTAATACAGCACAGGTAACGGTTACATCTTACATTTAAATTAAACAAAAAGCAAGCTTATGCCAGTAACTACCTCGATGCGTATCATTTATGACCTCGGAGAGAATCTTGCAATTAGCACTAACGAAAGAATTTTGACGTGGTGCGAGGGTTTATGTATCATGATTTCAACGTGAACTTGAAGAACAATTGTAGTATAGAAGTAAGAAGTCTTGTCGCGTTGGGCAACAAGTGTATAATGCGTTGCGTAAACAACTCCCCGCTGGTAACAAGAAAGATAATGTTAATAATTCAGAAATCTTATAGTACTTATGGTTATATACGGTGTGGAGACATGGACAATTAGCAGGCGCGACGCCAACCTCATCTTCTAGATATAAATCCTTCGCACGATTTTCAAAGAACCGTGTAAGAACAGAACATGATGACGCAGTTATAATTTTGAATTATACCAACTATTGGGAAAACACGACGAACCAGATTTTATGACTAGAATTAAGATCATGCGATTGCAACGGGTGCGCCATGTGGAACCAGCACAAGATGTGTATGTGCCGAAGAGAATCATAAACTCAGGTGGAAGAACGAGATAATAGAGGACGCGGTCCAGGTTGAATTTAGAGGCTGGGATAGAGCTGCATGAAATAAGGATGAATGGAGAAGGAAACTTTGAGAAGCCAGGATTTTCACAGATCATATTATCATACTAAATTCGACAAAAGCTTTCCAATCCAATGTGTTGTGCCTTATATTTAGGAACATACAGTTCGCTATCTTGAAATAAAAGATCTGTGATCAGTAGTCCGCAAACTTTATGATCAATTTGGTTTGAAGTGCCCAGTTTTCCTCATCATCTATAGTAGCAAAAAACGAAAAGAATGCCCATCCCAAACGATTCTTACCACGTACAGAGTATGTTCCCTAAATCTAGAATCTTGTGAAAATTTCGAAGTTGTATGTAATGTATGTATAACTATTATTTAATTAATGTAACTGATAATAACGGAATAATCTATAAGAAAAGGGTCAAAGTTTAATTATGAGTAAATCACACTTTTTTTGCTCTTTCTGTTTTATCCCTACAGCCCTTTATAGGAGTTCACATGACTTCGAATCTTCGGAATTCTTAATCCCGTCCAGCCACCACAGTTTAGATCTTCTTCGCATTCGGTGTCGCAGCACTTTTCATCAAAATCTTTCTTCTCGCTCCGCTTTCTTGCATGTGAACTACGTGTTCAGCCTATCTTAGTTTCACTGGCTTTTTGAATCGAATTACTTAGTTCCTAATCTATGCCCCTATGCTTTAAAGTATGCTATAATAAGACCCTATTCCTCTTTATTGATTTTTTCCTTATTTCCTTTCATACACTAAATAGCAGCTAATCTCAATC